AAAAACTCGTAATACAAAACTAAAATGTCAAAACGAATGACAATGTCAGAAAATAAATAAATAAATGTAGCAACTTTAATCAGCCCGGCGTTACGTAACTGAAAGTTTAACTGGTATCAAATATATGTAATATTGTTAATAAGAAATTTGATTTAATCTTAATCTTGTGACAGTTTATCGATTTGTCAAAAATTAAAAGATGCATTAAAATTGTTAGTCAAACTTTTGTGTCTTTTATTTATTGTACAAAGCTATTAGCAGAAAATTACTATAGCATTAAACTTTTTATACATTACTAAATCAAATATTATTGGAAAAGTAACTCAGAAAAAGTATCTTCCTTGAAACCTTATACGTTTGTTTACAAGAAATAAAGTGCCTCTAGATTATTTGTCCATTAAACGGCCTAAAATAATTTTCGACAGGGATGTTTTGTCAGTCACTGCCACTATCGACCTATATATAAACCTCAAAGGAAAGGTCACTTTTATTGGCTGTCCATAGCTGGACAGACCCTTGTCGACGCACAAAATCAAATTTCCTTTAACAGGATAGAAGATATTTTGCTTCCAGACCATTTTTCATTTTGTTACATATTTGAAGTCATTTATCTTCAGAACGGATTTGCGTCTGCATTATTTTATGTCTGTGGTAATCCTATACATGTAATTTACTTCAAATATATATCATAAAACTTTGTATGTCTAATTGCATTCGTTTTTGAACTTAACTATTGAAAAATACATTTAAATTAAAGGGTAAATATTTGAAGCATTTTTATAGAATACAAGATACAAAAAACATAACACAAAGACACGAGACACGAGAAAATGTACTATAATATATGCATCTATGAATATTATAGTAATTGTTTCTTTATTTATCGAAAAATTTATAAATATTAAAAAAAAATATATAGTTCATATCAAATAAACTTTTAGTCACGTGATTAAGTTTGACCGGCACAGCGTTGCCCACTTTTACATATTTTCTTTTCATCAAAATATTTTAGGAAACAAAAATAAATTAATTATAAATATATAAACAGTTATTATTTACATCAACAAAACTTACCTCCTTAACAGCACTTGAGGGACATAAACGGCCATTACTACCGCTTTTCCGTTCCAAATATTCCAATAAAGTTGCGATGAGTTTTTTACGGCTATTAAGCTATCTTCTAGACTTCGCACTAAAAGAGGTCCTAAAAAAATTATGTTCAACTGCAAGATGTGCTAGTAAACATTTTTAAGCTTAAAGTATGACAACGCTATTTATTTAAACCAAAAACTCGTAATACAAAACTAAAATGTCAAAACGAATGACAATGTCAGAAAATAAATAAATAAATGTAGCAACTTTAATCAGCCCGGCGTTACGTAACTGAAAATTTAACTGGTATCAAATATATGTAATATTGTTAATAATAAATTTGATTTAATCTTAATCTAGTGACAGTTTATCGATTTGTCAAAAATTAAAAGATGCATTAAAATTGTTAGTCAAACTTTTGTGTCTTTTATTTATTGTACAAAGTTATTAGCAGAAAATTACTATAGCATTAAACTTTTTATACATTACTAAATCAAATATTATTGGAAAAGTAACTCAGAAAAAGTATCTTCCTTGAAACCTTATACGTTTGTTTACAAGAAATAAAGTGCCTCTAGATTATTTGTCCATTAAACGGCCTAAAATAATTTTCGACAGGGATGTTTTTGTCAGTCACTGCCACTATCGACCTATATATAAACCTCAAAGGAAAGGTCACTCTTTATTGGCTGTCCATAGCTGGACAGACCCTTGTCGACGCACAAAATCAAATTTCCTTTAACAGGATAGAAGATATTTTGCTTCCAGACCATTTTTCATTTTGTTACATATTTGAAGTCATTTATCTTCAGAACGGATTTGCGTCTGCATTATTTTATGTCTGTGGTAATCCTATACATGTAATTTACTTCAAATATATATCATAAAACTTTGTATGTCTAATTGCATTCGTTTTTGAACTTAACTACTGAAAAATACATTTAAATTAAAGGGTAAATATTTGAAGCATATGAAATGGTAGAAAATGAAAAAAAAATCCTATATTTAGGGGAGTGCTTTAAGCTCTCGCGTATGGGATACAAACCTCGGAATTCATTTATTGTGAACGAATTTTTATGACTTTTTGCATTGTATTGTTAATACGATATATTACAAAGTTTGCCCATTTAAATTCGTTGCTTTCACTTTAGTGTTTAAATAAACACACATATACAAATGCATACATACAAGATAGCTTCGTTCCGAAAAAGATCTGGATCTGGATTCCTATTTGAGATTTTCATTCCAAACTTTTTACAAAATATGTGTTTAATGGTAGTTCACATTTCAAAAATATTTTTATAGATATACAGGATGAATCAAATATATTTTTATACTTAAAATACGTTTTAGTTTTTCAAATGAAATACTTTATATTTGTTTAGTTCAGTGAAATGGCTATATTCCAAAAATACCTTAATACCTACTATAGAGTATATTGAGTGATTTTGAATTATGACCACGTCAATCTCGACGTCCAGGAACCTTCGTATGAGAACTTCTAATCGAGACGATCGACTTAGTTTATCGCTAAAAAACCGCTGTTTGTCAGCTTTTCAAATTTATAATGAATGGCACCTAAGGGACGTACATATTAACTGACGAACTATAAGAAGAAGACTAAATCTTATGTCAAGAAGGCCTGCTTCAGGAGAAGAACTTAGTAGATCTGTTGACTAAGACCAAAAGCAAAGGCATGGTCTTAATGTAAAAATTACGAAAATATGTTAGTGTCTTTTCAAGATCGAATATCTCCAACAAAAATAGAGCTAATGAGATGAACCAAAAAACAAACTATCGAGGAAGGATGTATCTAGCTGATAAAATTATTTTTAAATTTGTTGCTGTTTTAACGTATTCCACAGGGTGTTTCAAACTTTCACCAAAATATCAACATTTTGTTTTCCCTCGTATAATTAACAGATGGGGAGTTTCATTTTTAATCTAGAAAGAGATACTAAAATGTAAATGTCAAATGATTTGGCTACATACTACTTAACTGATCATCAAAATCGTGTCCATTTTTCGCGCCGGTGAATGTATTTCATAAATTATACATTTTAGTCATATAATTTTCTAAAGAAAATCGCCTTTATTTCTTTACTAGAATCCGAAAATCAATTAATATACAGGGTCCGGCAATAGTGCGTCGGGCATCTGTAACTCCTAGAATAAAAAACTTGAGAATTTTGTTTAAGTGCAAGTATTTCAGGAAAATATTTTAACTTCTATAGGGTGGCTCAAAAAAGTGTGAGTGGACCTAGATGATTTTTTTTTAAATGGAACACCCTGTATATTTTTGCATTTTTGGCTTTCTTTCCGATCACTTTACATAACCCTAAGATATGAATAAACACATTTCGATAGTTTCAGAGATATTAAAAAATAAATCAAAAATATATATTTTTCAGCCCTTCTTAAAAAAATTATTAAAAATACAAGAACTGTTCTGAAATCAAAACGATATTAGGTATATACTTTAGATAGTCTGTACTTACTTTGCTATAAATATGAATAACGTAAATTATACAGGATGTTCAAAATTCTACGCCAAACTTTCTAAAATGTAAAATAATTTTTCTTCGTTTTTTTAAATGGAACACCCTGTATATTATTTTTTCAATAGACGGAGAATTAAAAAATGAAAATTTTTTGTATTTACAGTATTTCAAAATTTTTAACGGTTTCGTAGATATTTGCGGTTTTATATTTCATATGGCATTTTCCACAGTAAATTTTTATCATCAGCCACACCCAATGATTTTTCTCTCGTATTTTACCATTGAAAGCGCCATATGAAATAATACTGCGTGTATCTGCGAAACCGTTAAGAATTTTGAAATACTCTAAATACAAAAAATATTCATTTTTAAACTCTCCATCTAATAAAAAAATAATATACAGGGTATTCCATTTAAAAAAACGAAGAAAAATTATTTTATATTTTAGAAAGTTTGGCGTAGAATTTTGAACATCCTGTATAATTTACGATATTCATATTTATAGCAAAGAAAGTACAGACTATCTAAAGTAAATACCTAATATAGTTTTGATTTCAGAACAGTTCTTGTATTTTTAATAATTTTTTTAAGAAGGGCTGAAAAATATATATTTTTGATTTATTTTTTAATATCTCTGAAACTATAGAAATATATTTATTTATATCTTAGGTGTATGTAAAGTGATCTGAAAGGAATCCAAAAATGCAATAATATACAGGGTGTTCCATTTAAAAAAAATCATCCACGTCCACCCACACTTTTTTGAGCCACCCTATAGAAGTTAAATATTTTCCTGAAATACATCCTGGTACATACTTTAGGTTTGCACTAAAACAAAATTCTCAAATATTTTATTCTATGAGCTACAGATGCCCGACGCACTATTGCCGGACCCTGTATAGGGTGTTCCATTATAAAAAACACAACTTTGATGTGTAACTTTTTTAGGGACACCCTATAGAACTGTATAATTTTAGAAAATGCTTTAAATTGACTTACATAAGCTCACAAAATTTCACTTCAATACAAACTTTTGTTCTTGCAAAAACCGCGTCGTATAAGACGCGCCACCCTGTATAATTAGTTTTCAATCAAAATTTCAATGATTAGAATATAAGCAGAATGGGTATAGCTTATGCATTAGACATTTATTTCAATAAATTTACATACTAAATTTAAAAAAATCAAATAAATAAGAAGGAAATAACTAAGAATTTACTAAAATACAAAATTAAAAGCAACGGAAAAAAATGGGTAAACATTTTAGTGTATTTTATCTATAAAACACAATACAGAAGGTTTCGCCTTAATACATTCACAGTAATTGAATTCCGAGGTAAAAGTCTCTGGGCACTCCACTAGTTCCCAATTAAGTCGATTATTATATTATTTCATGTTTTATTCCAGAGAGGAATGGGAATACCTGAAACAGCAACATCTTCCGGACGTGGTTGACAACGCCAGCGAACTACAACGAAACTTTCTCGAGCTGATGACCAGCGCGGCCAAAAGACTGTTCAACTACATGGACATCCCCAGCGACGAAGCCAATACACATCGACTCTACGACACCGAAGTGATCGAACTCACCGGCGAAATTAGTTTTATCGCTATCTGCCCTTCGGCAGAATTCTCCTGCGCCGTCCCTGGTCAAAGGGAGATACTGTTACAGAGGGGTGATTTGATCAGCTTGCCTATACAGGTAACTTGACAAATTTTGAAGTTATATTACAACTTACCCACGTAACAAGTAACAACCGACTAGAAACTGATTAATATTTCTTTTTCAGGTGTTCGAAATGATTCATCTCAACACATACCAAAGCAACATCGTTCAAAAGTACTGCAAACTAAGCTGCTTATTAGAGCTGGACTCAGCAACAGCCAGTCACTTGCACCGAGAGGCTTTCTCCAACACCGAAGTTGCCGTTGCCAGAGAACGTCTTGCCAGACTACAGGATCTCCAAAACAAACTCGAAAGTATCTGGAAGAGCGTACGATGGCTAGCCGATGTCATTACCTTCGCCAGAGACCGAACCGTAGGCTCTATAGTGATGAGACACATTTTGGAGAAAGAAATCGGAGTATCAACTAGTCCTAAGAGAGATCTGTTACAGATTCCTCCGCCTAAAGTTATTAAAACCACTCCGGGACGGGGATCTTGGCCAGGTCCAGGAGGCACAACCCAAAATGTTAGTGCTAGTTTAGTGAGTGAACACAGTAAGAGCGAACAACACCTCAACATAAACGGTAGCTCTTCTCATTATTTAAGCGCGAGAAGTGATCCAGAATGTCGGAAAAACAGCGAGAGCTTTACTAGCGCCAGTGATTATCTTTCCCAGCTCACCCCCAGCAGAAGTGAGGATGTTCTGTTCTCCGTCCCAAGCTGTAGTAACGTCCCAAATTCTCGACCTCGAAACGTTGCTGTTTCTAGTATGTCAGTTACAACGAGTCCTTTACTCAGCGTCAAACCTATGTATGGAGGAAGTATGGTCAGTGTGAATACGATTAACACAACCGACAGTCTGCACAGTCTTAGTTCAGACAGCGATCAGCAGCCTTTGAGTTCATCAACGCCTCAAAAAAAGAAACCTAGACCCAGAATGGTTCCGAGCAAAAGCATGGCAAACGTTAAACAGAATTTTTTAGAACCGACTAGTTCAGATCAAAACGTCATGTTCCTAACCGTCGATCACGCTTTCCCGGGGTTGTCGAATTTAGACAGTAACCTATCGAAAAGTCTGACGAATATTGGATCAACGTTATCCGATATGGACAGGTTAGATCCATACCTTCCTGAACTGGACTCGCCCAATTGCCCCGTAGTCTTTCCAGAGATATTCAATCTTCCTTCCGATGATCCAGAACCCTATGCCAAAGATAACTACGACATTCTACAAATTTATGCGGCATACGAGACAGGGTTGGTCATTGGGACTAGCTTAAAAGTATATGTAACTCCTAGAACCACTGCTAGGGAGGTGGTAAATGTTGTTGTGAGGCAACTAAACATGGCGGTGATATTGAAGGGAAAGAAGGGACCTATTTATAACAGGGATATGTTGAAGAATTTTTGTTTGGTGGCTATCATAGGAGCTAGGGAGAGGTGTTTGAGGGACGATTTCAAACCGTTGTTGTTGCAAAACCCTTGGAAGTTAGGGAGGTTGTACGTAAGAAGAAAACACGATGTTTTAGCCGCTTTAGATCATAGTAGCAAGTTGGATAGGATAGAGTCAAATCGGATAGATCGGATTTAAGAAGATGATAGTTTCAAATGAGTCTGTGTTACAAGAAAAATGTTGGTAAATACAGGATAAAAATAAATAACAATTTGTACAATATTAGTTAATTTATTAAAGGAAAACACTTTGAAGGCAAAAAATGACATGACAACATCAAATACAGTTAAATTATAATATACACCCAGGAGTTTGCAAAAGTATTTTTAAAAACTTTAAATAAACAAGAAAGGATAGATTACATTACATTATCAAATCTATAAACTTTCTTGTAACACAGATCGATAATAATTTAGTCAAATTGAAATGGTGCTAGTTTTCTTATGATAATATTAATTGAAAAATATCATTGTTGCCTATAACAATAAATGAATGAAAGAAATGGAGAGTAAATACAAAGAAAATAATATTTGTAGCGCTAAAAATAGTTTTATGTATAGAAACATTTTGCCACACTCCAATGTTAGCAATTAAATATAATATTTTTTAATGTAATTGACAAAAATTTTAGAAATGTGGCCAGTTTTTGATCATGAACGAAATAACATTGGACGTGTATATTAAGACTGTGATGATATCGTTTATTAAAAAATGTTAGGACCATATTTAATGAATTTAACTTAGTGTTAAGTAAAGGAAAGAAAAAAATAATGAAGGGGTATAAACAATTATTGTTAGTAATTAAAAGAAAATGTTTTTTTTTCTTAAAAATCAAACTATATAACAAGTTACGTCCTAGATATTAACGAAGATGTTCCAAAGCTTTAACCAAAATAGTTTTTGCTTCCTGATTTTTATTAAATATTATAAAAAAATTATAAAAAAATAAAATTGTGGAATATGGTAGGTTTCATCAAAATGTACAAATTATACAGTTGCAAGTGGTAAAAAAATAGTTACTTCTTGATGTTACCTATGATAGATTTAAAAACAAATGGTTTTTTATCAAAATAGAAATTCCAGCCATTTTATAACTAGTTCTTTATATTGAAATTTTATTATTATTTTTAGTGGTGAAATACTCTAGTAGCAAAGAAACTATATTTATAAAAAGTTCATGTTCCAAAAAGATATATTTGTAAACATAATCTAGAGATGTTGATGAAGTTACAAAATCTGTAATAGTCTCGAATGTTTAGCTATGCATTTAAAAAACTGTAATTATTTAATTTCTTGATCAGGAAACTATACAAACAAATCATATCATTTCCAATTTTACAAAATGCGACAAAATAGTATAAATATGTATAAGTACGATTTTTTTACTAATTATTTTTCTAGTACAAAGAAATTATATATTTTTATTTTCTTTTTTACTGTAAATTATTTGTATCTCGTATTGAGAAAGTTAGAGATTTAGTTTTATTAGAGTTTAAAAAGATATAAATGTTTGTAGGAGCAAATAAATCGATTGCCACTAATGATCTGTATATAGTAGGGTTAAAACGTATTTTTTCAAGTATTTTTTCAAAGAGATAATATTTGAAAAAAGATGATAATGAACGGTGCATGTCGTATAAGCACGATTGTGATGCACATCTGAATTTGCAGGTTGCGGATATTGTATTTATAGCGCGTAAGGATCATGTGTAATAAATAAATATGTCCTCAGCAATTTAAATTGGATTTTATTTACATCCCATACTTATTCACTTTTTAACTCGTAATAAAATGTTTCACTACTTAATACTGCCAGAAGTTTCTAGAAAACTACAATATCTAGATCAGAGATTTTTTGCGCATCATTGTTACACAACAAGATTGATTAAAAATATTTTTAATATGGCGGCACTTTCGGAAATAACGGAAGTTGGCATCAACTTTCTTATTTTAAACGAGTGCCCCCATTTTTATTATTATAAATGTTACTTAAATTCTCTTTAAAATTTTATGAATTTTGGTATTAAACACTCTATACATAATAATTACCGTTTTTAAAAAAGTGTCAAAAGGAAGGAATTGCAGATAGATGATATTTTCAAATTGATGGTACGAAATTGTAATGAAGAATGATGGTTTGCAAAAAAAAATATTTTTTATATTATCCAAGGAATTGGCATGGCGAGGAGGAGAGGGAGAAAAATGTTTTGTTTCCTATTTTAAAGATGATATTAATAATATAGGACAACCCACCGGTCGCATTGAATACAACCCGATATTCGATAAAACCACTCAAGGAGGAGATAAACCTTGTGCTCCGTCAAAATGGCTGGTCATAAATAGAGGTCAATGGATATATGTCCAGTAAGGCTACTCAAAAAATGTATGGAAAAAATAAATAAATAATTAATGTTCCAAGATTATTTTTAACTGTAAATCCTTCTCTAAGTCTATATAATTTTTTTAACAGGCAGTTTTTTTCCTCCAAAAATTTTAAATATTTTCTTTCTCAAAAACGGTTAATGCTTATAGAGTATTTAATATCAAAATTCTTAAAATTTTACAGAGAATTTAAATATGTAATAATAAATGTGTGTACCTATTTGAATTATGAATGTTGCTGTCTACTTCCGGTATTTCCGAGTGTAACTGTTTACACTTTTACTTTTAAAATATAACAATATTTATAATTGCTACAACTTTAATGCAGTTAGTGAGTTGAATTCTTTTAAATAGCGGTTCCTCATCTAAAATTTTATTAAAAAACAATATTATTGACAGTAAAAATCTTTCTGTCAAACCAGACAGTTTATTAATTCATTTAATAAAATTATATCGACCCTAATATAGAATATTACAAAAAACAATGGTTGATAAAAGCACCACACTAATTTCACTGCCTCAAATGGTAGATTTGGCACTGAACTCTCCAGAGGTAAAATAAAATACACTCTTATATAACAAAATAACTAAAATAAATCATTTTCAAGGTGGGAATAGTAAATTTTACTGTACTCCATTCCCTGTTGCACGTTATTGTCAACCAACTGGATCTTGGTGAGGTGAATGTTGAGTTTCGTGGTAGTGATAGTGAAAGGCTCCAAAACTATATATCTACTGCCAGACCTGGACCTATAGTTACGTTAACTGAGTACACTATTGGTGCTGATGGAAAAAGCACAAAGAAGAAAACCAGGCGTACAAATAAAGGAAAAGCTGAAGGTAATCACTACTCCATTGCAGTTTTAACTTTACCCGTTTTGTTAAAACTGTTTGGGTAAACATAAACAACAACTTTATTTACGCACAAAAAGTAGTGACAATGTCAGTCCTATATTTTATTAAATAATTCATCTCTTCTAATCAATCAATGATTTTCTAGTAGTTTTAAACAGATTTCTATATTTCCGATACACCTATAATTAGTAATTTTTAATGTTAATAATTATTAATTTTTAGAGGAGAAGGGTCAAAAAGATGAATCTCAAAAAGAAAAAGAAATAGCCATCATTAAAAAAGAAACTGATTCTACAGTACCAGAAACAGGTAAGTCACTAATTATCAGTAGCGGACATATCCTAAAGGAAAATAAAAAATTAAAACAAAACCAATCTAAAATTTTGAAGTGAAATTTCTTTACACGCGTTGGTAGTTTTCAAGGCCGTGACAAATTCAAGGCCGTGACACACAGAAGCTAGCGAGACGGCCGCGACACAAGCTAGAGAGATGAAAAGGAAAAGGACGTAAAAAACTATTTTTACGCATATAAAACTATTGGTTACACGGAGAAAACTGTTTTTAAGGAGAGGGGGGGTTAATCACTGCGACCTTAAAGATCTATATTGTGCCCCCCTTCCTTGAATCATCACACAATCTATAACCTATCATCCCCTGTTGTAGAGGGGACAGGGTATTTTCCAATTCCTTTTCAATACTGCAAGATGGGGAGAAATTATACAAGCCTTGGATAGAAAAGATTTCCCAGAATATTTGAAAAATATGGTGAATAGCTATCTTACAGAGAGAAAAATTTTCTATCTAACGTCTGAAGGAACAAAAACGTATGACATGACAATGGGAGTTCCCCAAGGATCGGTCCTAGGACCCCTCCTATGGAACATATTTTATGACGAGCTTATGGAACTGGAAATGGCTGAAAACACAGATATAGTGGGATTTGCAGATGATATTGCTGTTGTGGCAACGTCAAGTAAAACAGAACAACTGGAGATTGAAGTTAACGATAGTTTAGATAGAATACACCGTTGGCTGAAGATGAAAAATTTGCAACTGGCTGTCCATAAAACAGAGGCTGTACTGATAACGGATAAGCGATCTTTTACGTATCCAAAGATTGTGTTGGATGGGACGGAAATCAAATGGTCCAAAAGCCTCAGGTATCTTGGAGTGCAAATTGATAAAAAACTGAATTTCAAAGAACACATACATGCAGTAGTGGTAAAGGCTCAGACAACAGTGGCTAAATTAGCAAGAGTAATGCCAAACATCGGAGGTCCAAGACAGGAGAAAAGGATACTTTTAAATGAAGTGGTCCACGCCAGTATTTTGTACACCGCTCCAATATGGGCAAAGGCACTGGAGGTTAAAAAAGAAAAACAGAAACTTCTATCAGTTCAGCGACGGAACGCCTTGAGAGTTGTTTCTGCCTACAGAAATGTAGCGGAGCAAGCGGTATTCGTAATCGTAGACTGGGACACCAATAGACTTGGTAGTAAAGGAAAGGACTTATATATATGATCAGAAAACTAGAGGAAGAACAGATAAGGCTGATATCAAAAATGAAGCGAAGGAGATATTATATCAAGAGTGGCAAAGAAGATGGAATGAGGCGTAAGGTGGAAAATGGACACATATGTTAATCCCGAATATAAGAAGATGGACTGAACGAAAGCATGGACAGGTAGACTATTATATTTCCCAGATACTTAGCGGTCACGGAGCTTTCGAACATTATTTATATCGTTTCAAGAAAAGAGTTAGTGCGGCCTGTAAATATTGCAGCAGTGCCATCGACGATGTCAGTCACACCATTTTTGAATGCCCGGCCTGGGAACCAGGTAGATTAAAGATCAAGGGGATTTTTAAGGTACCCTTTAAAAAAGAAAACTTAGTACCATCTATTGTGGAGGACGAAGATATATGGGAGGCTTTCGTGGCGTTTATATCAAAAATTCTACGACAGAAGGAGCTGGATCAACGGAGGGTTGAAGAATGACCAAAGTCTAACGTAGAGAGGGGCATCTGCGCCGAAGTAATGCGTGAGCAGTTCCAGCGCAGTTTTGTCTACCAAATAGGGTGGATTGACCTTAAAGATCTATATTGTGCCCCCTTCCTTCAGTCATCACACAATCTATAACCTATCATACCCCTGTTGTAGTGGGGACAGGGTATTTCCCATCCTCCTCTGACAACAGTTCTTCCTCCAAGGGTACACACCCTTCCACGGTTGGAGTTTAGCCCTCCGTGCCGCTCTTCACAATCGAGGAGCTCGCCTCCGGCTGAGGAACCCGTGAAGTGGAGGCTGAAGGATCTGTCTCCATTTTCTCCACCTCTTTAACATGGTCTCTCCTTAGACCTGATACCGGTGTTGTCCCGTATCTATAATAGAGGATATGTCCCTCTTTCTCTATTGCCTCCTTGGATTTGAGGTCAATTCCTATTGTGAGGACCTGACAATGACCCTCCTCCCTCGAGTTGATGACTCGCCAACTCGATGTCCTTATTACATTGAAGTTCTGACCTTGGATAAGGCTCAGCAGGTAGGTGGTGTCTTTCCCCTAGCTCCTCGGCAGAAAGACCGTTATGGCCGCCCCTTTAGGGATGTTTTCTCCCTTCACTGCAACCAGTTCCGGCCCTTGCTAATTTTTAAGCTTAGGTGCGATTTCCACCAACCAAATCGCCGATTCTTGAGATACATAATCTAGGAGGATCATGCCAACCCAAAAGTGTATCCCCGCAAAACGCAGCTGATCCACATTTTGTAGATCGTTGTGTTGGGATCCGATCGCCACTACTTTTGCTGGTCGGTGGCCAGAGCAACCTCTGGGAGGTCCTTTGGCAGCACAGCCATTTTTACTTGTCCAGCAAAGCTGGTGATACGTCCCTGCTTGCCTCCCGCTGTTAAACGGCTTTCCATCCTGGCTTTTTTCTCTCCCTGCCGGAGAAGAGTTGAGAGGTTCTCGCTCCCTCTCTTGCCCTTTGATGGAGACGAGTCAGGTTGTTTCTTGGTTTCATTACTCTCCCCTTTTCGGAAGAGTGTTTTCGCTTTTGCTTCCTCTGGAGCGAGTCCTTCGTGGAGTAGTCGGAGGTATCTCCGTGCTTCTGCTCCGCTAAGGACCTACTCTCAGAGGATCGTCTAGCTCGCCTGGTTGATCCAGGCCGGGTAGACGAAACGGTACCTTATGTCGCTTATTGGGTCTAGAGGTAGGCTCGCGACCAGGCTCCCAACCCTTGCTGGAGAAGGTGGTAGATTGTGTGCCACTTGTGGAGGATGATCCCAAGCAAGTGTCAGCCGCCTCTCCTGTAGTTTCCTTTGGATTTGGTCAACAGAGCCCCGCATGCAGAAGTAAAGGGTAAATACAATGGGGTGCCCCCTGATGCCGCAAATTTGAGGCCAGTAATGGCTAGTCCTCTATCTAGCCACGCATACCTTTGATCTGGTCCCGCCATCGTGGGATTGAGGTTTTTGGTGAGGTTGTCTCCTCTTGGTCCAGGCGGTTAAGCCAAGACCCCCCACGCCCTCTACCCGCGAGACATGACCGCAGTCAGTAGAGGGTGTCTGGTACAGGGGTAGCCCCGTCCGGCATCGTTATATGTCTTTGTGCAATTCCCTGGCCACGACACTACAGCCAGGGACAAGACAGTGAGATGCTTCTTAGACCGAGCTAAAGTGCTAGAGGAGATTCCTCCAGCACCTGACAAGGAGCTTCCCCACCGACGACAAGGTCTTGCATCTCCTAGGGGAAGATTATGCGCACAAAGTGTACACACAATTTTTTTCCTTCACTAATAAAACGAAAAATTCAATAAAAAAATAATTTAAAATTTCAGAAAACTTGATTTACTTCTAGAAAAGAAATTTTCATATTCCTTCTTTCTTACTGAATAGTAAGAAATATTTTACTTGTTCATATTAAATAATTAGGTTTTTGTTATATTTCGTATAGGTTCTGGATCGTTTCAAACTATAGTAGTGGTGGAACCGGCTTCAAGAGAGAAAGTAGCAGACGCGCCCAAATTTGCCATAGCCATAACCAAAGAACAACTGAACAAACTACAACATGACATTAAAGAGCTTCAAAGACAAGTAAAGGAGTTAACAGAAATGCCCGGAAGCATTGGTCTGATAGAAGCAATTAGGTAAAAAAATTACTAATAATTTTATTCATCATCATCATCATCATTTTCAGCATATTCGACCATTTCCAATTATGGTGTAGCCTTTCTCATATATTTAGATGCTCTCTTTGTAGTTGGGCCCATTGTTGTCTATTGTTGGTTATGCGGTATTCCTGCTAATTTCCTAATATCATGGTCTGATCTCAGGTTTGGTCTTCTTCTAGGTCTCTTAATTCCTCGTGGATACCATGCTGTAATTTTTGTGGTCCACCTGTTGTTCGTCCTTCTTGCCAGGTGTCCTGCCCATTGCCACCTGAGGGATTTGATTCTATGGATAACATCTATTACCTGGCTCTTTTGTTGTATCCACTCTATTCTTTTACGGTCTTTCTTGGTTAGTCCCAGCATATTTCGGCTGTCCCAAGGAGAAACACAGTATATGCATTTTTTTTTGTAAATATCTTTTTTAACATACCGAACGTACTTGGTCATTATCTATCTATTGCAATCGTAAAAAAATAGATTTACAGCAAAATAATATACATACAGATACATAGATACAGACTAAAAAACAGTATTTTAAATGTGATCTGTATTATAACAAAGCAATTTTTACTCTTAATTTCTCACAAAAACCTTTTTATCATATACTGTGTTTTTCCTTGGGACAGCCGATTTCGTTCCATTAAGCATTGTGCGACCTGCAGTTTTCTTATAAAGTTGGTTTTAAGATTTCGCATGCATAAGTCATGACTGGTAGTAGTGGTAATACATACTGGTCGAACATGGTCTTCTTTAGATGAAGTGACATTCCATGATTGGGTTTCTTTCGTAAGTATACTCCATCCTAACTTAATAATTTTATTAATAATCAATATATTGTTATTAACCATTCATTAAGCAGAAGAGAGAGATTAAAGAGATTAAAGAAAAAAACACTTAAAGAGAAATAGTACACATGAAGTGTGTATAGTATTGTCTAAAATTTTCTGATTAACCACCTTTCCTGGATGTACGATTTTAATATTACAGGACAAGCAAAGAGGGAAGTGCCACCCCATTACTGGACATGTTTCAGATTCTAACATTGGTGAAGAGACTAGACGCTACAGAGGAAGCCATGAACAAACTGGCGAGCATGATGGAAGAGCTTGCTAAAGGACAAGCCAGTTTAGCAATGGAACACAGTAAGTGTATAATTTAGTTTTTATATGTTTTTTGATTCTTTTCTTTGACCTCTCAATAATATATATTTAAATAAAACGTTTCGGGAAGTATAACAGCGCTTTTGGATGGAGCGGAGTGTCCGCGACGGACCGTCCGTCGTGTTTTTTCAAGATAGCCGTCGGACGGAGCATACGCGCCCATGTGAACTGGTTCATATAAACTCATGGTACTTGCTCGAAGTCGCGGACGCTCCGCTGCATCTGAAAGCGCTGTAAAATATGCAGCCATCGTTTACCATCACGTCATATATTGTCGAACTCTCTCAATCACTTGATAACCAGATAAAAGAGATGGGTGACGTCATTACGGAATTTCGTAAATTACTGCATATTCATTTTAGTAATTGTCATTGTCATTTGATTTGGGCTTTGAATAAGAAGACTAAGGAAGGAGCATAATGCTATCCATGTATTCATGCATGGTGGGCGGAAAAAGCACTCTAGGTTGGGATCCTTGACAGTTCTGTTTGACGATTCATTTGACACATTTGAATTTGATTTGAAATTTTATGGATTTGTCAGTCGGAGCTTATTTTATGTTATTTATTATTTATTCTACTACTGATAGTTGTATAAAGGTAGTAAATCTAGATGGAAATTGTGGCAGAACTTAAATTAACAGTGACACTATCGCGATTTATCGAAAAGGACTCTAAAATAGTTGGTTGTGTAGCGTGCGGTAGATCTCGGCAAAAATCGAGTGAAATAATGGAACAACTTGTAGCATTTTATTTAAAATTCACACAATTTAAATAAATGTACAGAATTATTTTATTTAAACAATTCAAGTTTGAGTCCTCGCACCGAGATGGCATTCTAAGTATTCTTATTATCTTTTATTTTTTTACAAGTTTATTTCTGGATAGTTATTTCAGTCCGGTCGAAGTGGTTCGTCACTTTATTTCTGACGGTATAGGTATATACCTCGTGCCTACCTTTATCGCTATATTGGTGGTTGAAGCTGAACCCGATAGAATTATCGGCGTTTTTTTTGCATTTTTGAAATTTGTGTGGGAAAACCCTCTGAGCGGAGGTAAGACTTTTATTTTTTACATAACGTTTCCTAATACCTTTTTTCTATTTGTACAGGGTTTTATTTTATGAATTTTGCATTTCTGGTGCCATTTTGTTTATTGTATCTGACATTTGGGCCACGTTTGTCCCTACAATATACACGTTGAATAACGGAAGAATCTCCTGAATATACAGCATTTTCCGATCCTGTCTGTGTGGAGACGTTATAATAACGATCCAGTTCCAGCAGTTCACCACAACCAGCTTGTGACCAGAACGGATATAAAAGGCCAGATCATTTCTTATTATATAATTTAAGTTCACTTTAATGCTTTAAGCCCTTCAGGCATATTAGATATTTTATTACTTTAGAGTCACTTGAAATATTTTATTCATGTTATGCATATTTCTGATATCTACATAGTACGGTTTTTTTTAATATAAAGAGTCCCTATATTTTGGTACCAAGATCGCCAGACTTTTTGCGGAATAATTAATAAAATATTAATATTCAGAAGCGTGCAGATTTAACTACCATCTTGAGTGATCTATTTTAATACATACTATTTACCAACAAACATTTTCAAACATCAAATTATTCATAGTCTTATTTTATTCTAATTAACATTTAATTATTAATTATACTTAGTCTAGTTTATCTCAGCGTTTCATTTGTATTCTAAAATAAATATACTATATATTCTGAGTTGATTTCTCAGTTCTCAACTTGGAAGTTTTTGAAAGTAAATGGAAAACTGAGTGGCGCCCAGTATATTATAAAGACGTAATTATCACAATTTAATTTTCACTAGCTTACGACCCATTGCTCACCGGCGAACAGCTCCGTCGCATAGTATTAGTTGTTTTAATATTTTTTCTAAAAGAAAATTCTTATAAAAAAAACATTCCATCATTTTTTTTATAACTTCTAATGCTACAAACTTTTCGCTAGTAAGTGACTATATAATATACATACGTGTAGTAAACCGATTATTTACAAAATTCATTTAAATTAACTAATTATATATTTTTTCTTGCATTTTTGCTTTTATTTACTACTTGTCAGAGATTAGACGTCAAAGAATTTGGATACGTCAATTTGACTTACCTGCTTCAGTAGCGTATCGGATGTTTGTATTAATAAATAATTATTAAAACTTATCTATTTTTATTATAATAATATGTTTTTATAACAATTTTAATAACTACCAACATTTATTCACAACGTAAAATAAAAAAAATATATTGAGTCTACCCCACGTCTACCCTACATCATAGTTTTACATTTTTTAAATAAAATTAGAACGGCACCGGCACTGATAAACCGGAATTTAAGTCGGCCATATTTGAGTCCCATCGCGGTGGACCTAAGATTTTTGATATGCTCCTTCCTTAGTCTTCTTATTCAAAGTTTTGACCTTAATTTTGACAAGACTTTGACAGTTAAAACAACAAATTACAACAGATTATATATTGATTATTATATGACTTGAAACACCACGGCAATGGAATTAAGTTTTATGTGACCTTGAACAGATTAGTTCACATGGTAGCGACCGATGAATCACTCCCAAACATTCGTGGCGTTTACTATACTTCTCTATATTTTTGTAACTTTATAACCTCTTTCGTAAATAAAAATGGTATTTCATATTATCCGAAATAACTCTATATATCTCTAGGTCGAATACTATCGGAGGACCATACAAACGATATAGTATCACCCTCCAGAGAAGTTGTTGAGCTGTTAGTCAAGTCACAAGAGCTGCGACATTCGTTGGACGGCACTATAGGCGGTACCGCCCAAATCCAGGACCTATCCGAACAAGTACGAAATATACAGGAGAGAGTCACACTGTTGGAACAGCGAAGATCTAGACTGAGCGGTATACCGATAATTTTATTGATTGAAAACGTTAGTAAGATTATTTTTAATGGCTACAGCGACATATAGTGGTGGTAGTGCCGGTGGTGGTAGTGCCGGTAGTGGTAGTGCCGGTGGTGGTAGTGCCAACGAAGAACAAACGAAACCAAAGAAGAAAAGGGTGTCTATCGAATCGGATAAAGAGGTGGAGTTAGGTAATACTGAACCTGTCGGAACTGGGTTCAAACTGGAAGGTGATATTGACTTTGACAGGTATTTAGAATACTGATATACCGGGTGCATCTCAAAAGTGGCTCACCCCTATAACTGTTTTATTTTTGTAGATAAAAAAACGAGATTTGGTATGTTAGTATATGACATAAATTAGAATTGATTGGCGTATTCAATTGTTTTCGGTCACTTCCTGTTTCACCGGAAATGACTACAACTTATGATTTTTAGATGGCACCTTCGGTATTTTTTAACTTTATTCGATAGAAAATGACACTCTGAATAGAATGACGTATCACATGTCTTTTGACATTTTGGCATATGGTCACAACTTTTGACATTTTGGCATATGGTTTATTGTAACATGCGGTTTATAATGACATGTTGACTCGAAATACCAAGTGTGTGGTATCAAATTATACGTAAAAAAATGCTTTTTTTTTAAATATACTAATGAGCCACCTCTGTTCCATTTGAAGAAAATGAGATATGATTAAAAATACGATTTGGGCATCTTTTAACCGGCTACGACAAGACACTAAAAACATTTAACGATCAAATCTATTTTTCCAAGGCTCCTTGACTAAAAATTAGTGTTTTCAACACAGCCATGGCACTCTAGATTGAAATTTAAAATACAATTTTGGTTTAAGCGAGAATGTCAAAAAATGACATATGATATCATTCTATTCAGAGTGTCATTTTCTATCGAATAAAGTAAAAAAAAATACCGAGAGTGCCATTTAAAAATCAAAAGTTGTAGTCATTTCCGGTGAAACAGGAAGAGGCCGAAAAGAATTGAATACGTCAATCGATCCCAATAATTTATGTCATATACTAACATACCAAATGTCATTTTTTTATCTAAAAAAATAAAAAAGTTATAGGGGTGAGCCACTTTTGAAAAGCACCCGGTAGTTCGTACAGCAAAATTAAAATACTAAAACAAACTTTCATATTATTATATTATTACCATTATATCATGTTGATGCAGTACCGGGTGGCCAACTAAGAATGGACGCCGGCTGTATATCAGAAACTACTTATCGTATAACATTGGGAAAAAAATTCCAAGAAGTAAATCGACCAAGAGAAATCGCTGGAAATTATTTTCAAGTTCGAAAAATGTCCGCTAGGGGGCGTTTCTTTGATAGCCAATCAGAAAGCAGGGTTTTTCTCAAAAAATAGGCAGGTGAACAGGTATTTTAAATATTACTATTGTAATCATCGAGAAATTTGTAATTTTTTTGATATAGAGTGTTTTGCTCTATCTCACAAAATAAAGTGGTGGGGTTATTGTATTATAAAGTTTATGTCGTTTGGGTCACTTTTTATATAGCCCCGAAGGTGCGAATGTTAACAATATGCACTACTGGTCCAAATCTACCCTGGATGCAAGTAGTTCAGTACCAAGACCGTTGGCATGAATTCTAGGATGACGAATGATTATCTGAATGAAATAAACTATCCATAATTTCTAAGAGATGAATTGCCAATTTTGTTAGGGGATCCATCATGATGAAAATGCATTTGTTGCAATTTCATCAGCATGAATGCAGTTGGTGTAGATAATGCAGTTTGGTGCAGTTGTGTCGCATATTTTGCTATGAATGTGTGGGGCTTCTTGGATACCACTTACTTTGGTAGATAGAGACGCTGGAGCGGCATATATCCATGGCTAGTTAGGTCATCGGATTCAACATGCCTGGGTTTTAATTTATGGGGTCGAATCAAGAACGAACATGGATAAATAGCAATTAAATGGTATTAAAATTAAATGAAAATATATGTTTTGATATTTTGACGTAACCAATTTTCCTATGTTTATTTCCTAGCCTACTACTATAATTTTTAAACTATATAATCCTAAGCGGCAGCCTAACATAATATTTGTTCTCTTAATATCTCCGGTTAGAAACAAGATAGAAAATTGCGGTTTGCGCTGATCTTTTGAAAATTTTGTGCTCTATTTAACTGTGTAAAGAGAAATATAGCTCCCTATTTAATTTTTTTATGCAAACGCACAATATCTGTTATGATGTCAAACAGCGCCCTCTAGCTCCCACGAAAAAAATGATGGAAACAAAATTTATACTGGAGATCATTAAGGAAGAAAAGCTCTTTTAAACGAGCCCTAGTTTGTTTAAATCGGTTAACCTAAGCCAGAGTTATCCTTATTTTAATAAATGCAAGTTTAACCTTCCCCCACCACTTTATTTTATGAGATAGAGAAAAACACTCTATATAAAAAAAATACAAATTTCTCGATGATTATAATAGTAATATTTAAAATACCTGTTCACCTGCATATTTTTGAGAAAATCCCTGTTTTCTGATTGGCTATCAGCGAAACGCCCCCTAGCGGACAGTTTTCGAACTTGAAAATAATTTCCAGCGATTTCTCTTTACTTATAAGAGTTTTTTTCCCAAAGCTATACGATAAGTACGCTATACCCGGTACATGAATACTAAGTTATAAATAATTTAATATACAGGGTGGTCCAAATTGTATTCGAAAAACTATGGCAGTGGATTCTGCGGATAAAAATAAGTAAAAAATTTGGTATAAATTTATGTCGCAAAAATGCTTCGTTTCGGAGTTACAGGGTGTAGTAGTTTGATTTGATGGTTTTATTGGTGTCTGAGAGTGTTTTGACATGAGAAATTTGATTTTGATGTCAATATGACTCCTGCTTGTAGGGAGCGCCACCTACATATTTTACTTTTCGTCCATACATGTATAAAAATACTGAGTAAAAAATATATATTTACAACGTTTTTTATTTAAAAAGGTAAAAATCGCTACGAGTAATGGTTCTCGAGATATTTGGAATCTAAAAATTATCAATATCTGTCATTATTGACATAAATTATACATGTTGACTAAGTAGCTATTAGACTGAAATCACAAATTTGAAATGTTTTTGTGCCGAAAATTCAACAGAAACTGTTTTATCATCATTTTTTTGAAGAAAAATTTATGATTAATTAAAAAAGATAAAAAGTTTCCTATAATTTCAGTAAAATAACTAGTATCTACTCAACATGTTTATTTTTTGTTAATAATGTGTTGCCTATTTCCATTCTAAATATCTTGAAAACGGTTGCTCCTGGCGATTTGTACCTAGAAACATTTTTTACGTAAAAAATCACGGAAATGTGTATTTTTTTCATCAGTAGTTTTATACGGATACGGACGAAAAGTTATTACTCTTCAAAACGGTTAAAGCAGATGTAGATAGCGCCCCCTACAAATAGGAATCATATTGACATCGCAATCAAATTTCTGTCAGAAAACTCTCAGACACCAATTTTCATCCAAATATTGACGTTACTTCAGAAATTATTTAGAAAAAATCGAAATAAAATTGAAACTTCTACACTAAGCATTTTAGAACATACATTTATACGAACTTTTTTTATGTTTTTATACCACTCCGTTATCAAGTAGATGTAATACTTTAACTTGATATAACCTATGTTTTATCCAAGCATACTAACTACTTTTTAAATTGCTGGCAGACCAGGTTTGACCAAATTAAGGAAATCATATTAATCAAATTAACTAAATCATATAGAGTACATGATAGAGTACCGCAATTGATTTTTGCAAGATTTGATTTGTTCTTTCAACCTCAATTTAGTTTCTAAAAACACGATCATATCTAGCACGGAGTTGGCAGAAGTGCCACCTATGCAAGCCATAGCCATTCTGCAAAGGGAACTTATCAATCTGAAGGAAAGCTTTCTTGCCAACGATTCGGGCGTTCAGGCGTTGAGGGAAGTTTTGGAGTTAAAAGATGCCTTAATTTCGTCTACTGAAAAGTCGGACAAAATGCCAGCAGATGTCAGAATAGGCCAGGTATATGTATATATATCAGCAATATTTACTCTCTTAATAATCTTAAGAAAAAAAAACTTTAAAACCATGAATTTATTTATTACTGATATATTAATTATTGCAAAAAAATACAGAGTTTAAAATAAATGTGTGGCAACTATGTTCGCATATTTGAAGTGAATCTTCTTAAAAGGTGGCTACAAACACTACTGCAAGCTTGACAAGCATGCATGAACAATCTTTTTGTACAAACAAATTGTAGCGTCTGTAGAGAAAATTTGTGCAAGCGTTTTAATTGTGCAAGCCGCTTGATGATTGATTGAATTTGAATCATGCAAGCTTGAACAAGCCATGCTTGCGCAAGCGAAGCGGTACGTATGTACCACATGTACTCAGCTTGTGCAAACAATTAGTTCAGTCCGTGATCGTAAATGACCTGTACGTCCCGTCGCCATCATGTCTAGCGATCTGAAAAGGAGCAATCGAGGATTGCTGGAAGATTTTATTCGCGCATACGAAAATCAGCCGTGTCTTTGGCGAATTAAATCACCAGATTATCATGATAGGGTGAAGAAGGATACAAAATTTTATTTAATAAGTATAGATTAATTGACAGCCAAGCCGATAAGGATGCCGCTATCAAAAAGATAAATGCCTTCAGGATTCTTTCTTCTTTTTCTTCGGACTTCCTTCTTCTTTTTCGCGGCATAAACTGAAGCTTGTTCAAGCATGCATGTACCGTGTGGCGGCGAAGATAAATTATGCATGGCTTGTACAAAAAGATTGTTCATGCATGCTTGTCAAGCTTGCTGTAGTGTGTGTAGTCACCTTAACAGCTACTAAATTCAAGGATTTGAATAATATGTTTGAAAAAGTGTTAATATAGTTAAAAGGTTAGAAAAGTAATAAATGAAAAATTAATAAATAAATTGATTCACTTTCACAAAATTTGTTTCAAACGACCGTCTGTCCCTCTGAGTACTGCATTCGGGTATCCATATGCGGAGTTTGGTTGCAATCGAAACATAATTAAGAGAAATATCCTGATGATTTCATCCACTTAGAGGCATCGGTTCGAAACGTCGAGGGCGTCATCCTGTAGCCCGTCTCCAATTATGCCCAAATCGACCCACATTTTTCTTCAATATCAAATCCTTAGTCCCACCTTGATGATGATGATGTAAACGAAACTTCGTATCTAAATTTGCAGGGTGGGACCGTGTACACCGTCGGTCACATAGCCTCTATACCACAGCCCGACTCTACTTAACAAGCCGTGAACAAGAAAATCTGGCAACCCCGGTTTCAGATCGATCGATACACATTTAGCCATATGATTTACGTTCATTGACCTGTTGCTCTGTAATGTTTTTGTAAATAAATCCGCTTGTTTGAAAGAAAATATTGTTTAATTAAAGACTAAAGTTGTGAAAAGTCTTGCTATGTGAGATTTGTAAGTTACCGGGACAATTTTTTTTCCGTAGACATTGCGTAAAAACAAATATCCGTTTGTGAAAAATTCCCCGGGTTATAAGCGAGGTTAAGTGCTTTCTTCAGAGAATGGCGGCAAATTCGGTGGCGAATGAACATTTTGTGGTGCTTTTTAAAACAATTTATTGAAAGTTAGTTGTTGTTGTAATCAAAAATTACCATGCCAAGTCCTTGTTGTGTGCCTGGGTGCAACTCCAATTATAAAACTTGTCTTGATGCAGGAGAACCAGCGGTATCTGTTTTTACTTTTCCAAAGGATGAAAATCTTAAAGCCCAATGTCTTAGGAATATTCCTAGGGAGGCATTATGCCGAACCAAACCAAACCCTCAAAATATTCTGTGGTTTATGCTAAGCATTTTGTAAAAAGTGACATTATTAGGGAGGAGGAATATCGCTTGCCAGATGGATCAATGCAAAAGGTACTAAAACTAGACTAAAGTAAATACAGTGCCCAGTACCTTTCCAAATTTGCCACATTACTTGTCAAAAACAGTCCCTGTTCCCCGAGAAAGTCCTGCTGAAAGAACCAAAGAAATGCAAGATCGAAGTGAGCAATTTAAGCATTTCTTTGGTTCTTTCAGCAGGACATTTTCGGGGAACAGGGACTGTTTTTGACAAGTAATGTGGCAATTTTTTTTTGTAGTTTTATGTGGCAAGTTTGAGCGCCTCGATAGCCGGTAAAACGGCCCGTTGCGTCGTGCATTCGCGCTCGCTAGAAACCGCTTGCCGGTTGCGGCGTTGTCAAATGGTTGTTCACGGCTTGTTAAGTAGAGTCGGGCTGTGTCTATACCCACCAAATTTGGTCGCGATCGGACGACATCAACTTTTGATGTTTCTTACGTCAAAACTAACTGTCACAGAGACACGTGTTGAGTTGGCCTTGGTCCAATCTATCGACATACCAAATTTCATTTAAATCGGACGATTTTTTCTAAGCCATAAGCTGTCTTTGCCACACTTCCTCTCGTGTGTCGGGTCGTGTCGTGTCACGTCCTTGAATTTTTACTCCCAGCGCGTGTAAAGAACTTTTACTTCAAAAATTTTTCTTAACTTCGTTTATTAAAGTAATATAGCTTTAGCGATTTTATTGTAATCCATTTTAGATAGATTTGCGAGTTAATGAACTGAAGGAACAAGTTTCTACGCTGGATACAGTCTATCATCAACAGTTCAGCAAAATAAAGGACCAAGCTGAACACCTAGAAAAAGAAATAGCCTCTGTATGGGAACGTATCAAATCAGGGTAAGCAAACATATTTAAATTGAGTAGAAGTATTATAGAAGGGATATAATACTACAATATGTGATCGAAAAAAACGGCGTCAGCGATGGCTATAAAATGAAGATCGATGTCATTTTATATGTAAGATTATATGGGGAATGTCAACGATGTTCATTTCCGATCCAACTTCACGCCGTTTATTTTTTGACCATATAGTATTTTTCTAATCACAATTTCAATTTCAATCTAGAGTGCCATGGCTGTGTTAAAAACACTAATTTTTATTCAAAGGATCTTGGAAAAATAGATATGGTAGTCTAATATGTTTTTCGTGTATTTTCCTGGCCGGTTAAAAGATGCCCAAATCGTATTTTCAATCATATCTCAATTTTTTCAAATGGAACGGGGATGGCTCATTAGCATATTTCGAAAAAGCATTTTTTATGAATAATTTGGTACCACACACTTGGTATTTCGAGTCAAATTGTCGTTATGAACAGCATGTTACAATTTCACATAAACCATGTGCGAAAATGTCAAAAGTTGACATATGATATGTCATTCCATTCAGAGTGTCATTTTCTATCGAATAAATTAAAAAAATACTCATCAGGGTGTCATTTAGAAAAGAAAAGTTGTAGTCATTTCCGGTGAAACAGGAAGTGACAGAAAACAATTGAATACGTCAATCAATCCTAATTTATGTCATATACTAACATACCAAATCTCATTTTTTTATCTAAAAAAATAAAAAAGTTATAGGGGTGAGCCACTTTTGAGACGCACTATGTGTAGTCTGTCCAACGAAGATCCATGGCAGTGACAGAGTTGTATTCGTCATTTTAATACAAAACTATTTTTTTTGTCATGGATGACATCTGCCTAAATCTTCCCTGACACCTTGGAATGCAGTATGTCCCCGAATTGTCTTCACAAGAGAAACGACTTTTTTATTACTGATATTGTAAAAAAATGCATTCTACGTAAAAAAATGTTAATCATTAATCTGTACCCCATTTTCCGACAAATATTATCACCCTTTCCATAGCATTGAACTTATTCTACATCTGTATTATAGTTTGCCTGGTGGTGATACACACGGCAAAATCGACAGTCACGAAATCACAGAACTCTACAACAAATTGGTAGCTTTACAAGAAGACATGTCGACCATAACAGAAACCGCCCAAAAGCTGGTGTCTGAAAGAGAAGGACGACAAACTACTTTGGAAGTAGAATATTCGTATTATATTTTTTTAAAAATCTAAGCATTGTTTTAACGCTATTCTAGGTAATGGCAGAACAAATCGAATTACTGAAAACTGTCAAAGCTGATAAGGAAGATCTGGAGGATGCTCTGGCTGATAAAGCGGATGCCTGCCAAATTAACAGAAAGGTGTCACATGAGCAGTTCGATGCAGCCTATGACGAGCTTACGAAAGCATTGGAAGAAAATTTGGACAAACTGAAGACTCAAGTGAGTCTTTTATAAGTATTTTTTCAAAGGAATATCTATAAGAAATTTAGGAATATCAAAAATTAATTATCTCTTAAAAATATATGAAGAACGATGTATAGTCTGTCCAACAACAAGATCCTTGAGAGTGATAGACGTGTCTGTCATTTTAATTTCAAAATAGTTCATTTTATTTTACAAAGAAATAAGTTGGTACGATTGGAACACATAGCAGAAAATTTAATATATTTAAAATTTGACTGACAAGTGATTACTTCAAAATATTGTGAAAAAAACTGTATAAAACAGAAAAAATGTAATCAAGTAATTTTATTTAAAAAAAACGGTACCTGTTAATGCAAAACAAACAAGAACAAAACACCACATACCAAAAAAATATTTCTTATTTTCAAGCTTCAAAAAACTTCCCGCGTTTAATCTTATTTTATTTAAACCAGTACCTTTTCACATTATTTTTCTGCAGTACTAAAATCCATTATTTACCTATCGTGTGATGTCGATATTTTACAGCTACTCCAGCTTTTAGTATATGTTTAGTACGATCTTTGTACCATATACGAGAGCACTTATCTACGACGAGATGGTATACAAACTTCACAGATGGTAACTAATTAGTGTATAAGACTTATTACTATTAGTGTATAAGACTTTCTGCCTGGGCAGCGAATATTAACTATAAACTGTCCTCTGGGTCTGCAGTTAATTTTCCCTCGATTTTTCCTCCACTTGAGTTCGGAAGACCTTCAAATCACAAGTATCATCTTCCAAAACTGTATTTAACATAAATTGACACAAAATTATAACCTATAATTTGGCAGACTTTGACAAGCCTTAAAAATCTAAAGGCGAGTTCATACGCATCGGCGTTCGTTTGTGGTTCATCGTTCCGTCAAACCAATAAAATTGAAATATGATCTGTCATTTTTGAAATAAACCAATAAAACTGGTTAAAAACAACAAGAGATGACGCATGACGGATTTATATTTAAACCAATCCATAGTTAACTTAAAAAATGTTAGAAACTTTTTTTAGTAAAATAAATAGATTGGTATGGGACGTCATCTGCTTTTCTTCTGTCATCGTCTATCGAAATCTTACCTGAGAAAGAGCAGTTACCTGAGTTTATGCAGTAAATAATGTGTCTATACAAAGGTATAGTCATCAATTGTTTTAGTGGCAAAATTCCTAGACGTCTTAAAGAAATATAGTGTGCAAGATGATAATACGATTAATCATTATTTTAATTCTTATTTATTTATCTTATACAACTATTTTTAGTAAATACATCAAGGTTCTGCAATAGTACAGAGAACTTCTATAAACAAAATACAATATGATCGAGAAATTAATGGCGTGAGAGATGGCTTTGAAATGAAGATCGCTGTCATTTTGTATGTAAAATAATATGGGGAATGTGATCGATCGTCATTTTCGAGCCAATTGAACGCCGATTTTTTTCGATCGTACAGTAGATTTAGGATTTTGTTTAAGCGCAGACCTATACTGTGTTTTTATTTCCTGATCACTTTACATAAGATTAGTTACTATTATTATAATATTATAAATATTGTAACGACCGTAAAAACAGACGTAAATTATACAGAGTGCTAAAAATTTAATGTCCGAATTATTAAAATATAAACAAATTTTTCTTGCTTTTTTTAATGAAACGCTCTGTGTATTCATTTTCTTTTAGATGCAGTATTAAAAAAAAATCAAGGTATGTAATGGGTTTCGATATATTTAACGGTTTGGCATATTATCCAGGGTACTATATTACATCTAGTAAATTTTTATCAAAACCTCCTATTTGATTTTTGGTCTTGTTTTTCATTGTTGGTATGTAGTAATATAATATCTGTGATATATGTGAAACTGTTAAATAAATTGATATCTAGTTTTTGATATCCCGAAAATATCAGAAATTTTGTTTTTCGAATATAAATCAAGACTTAATATTAAATGCGTCTCATATAACCATAAATTATGACAAATGAATTATGCAATCTCGATTTAAATTAACAAAAGAATAAGAGATATAAAATTAAAATATTTTCTATAAGAAGTTCATCAAATGAACAACTTATAGGGTATACTCAATAATTGCGATATAAAGATATTCCTCTTTAGGAAGAACTCTGGATACAATCGCTGAACGATATTCAAAAAGAAATCGGCAACAAACTGGACAAGATGGAACTACTGCCACTGAAAGATTTCATCAACGCAAAATTGAAAGAAATTCAGGATAAAGTCAAGAAAATATCAGCCCTACGACAGGAAACCGAAGCTGCAGGTGCCAAAAGCAAAATATTAAGGTACAAAATTATTTTGATCAATAATAGGCAACTGTTGTACAGGGTGGCGCACCTCATTCGCCTCGGTTGATTATACGAAAACGGAAAGATGTAGAAACAAAATATTTTATGGGTATAATATGTGGGGAGGCAATTTGCACAATTTAAAATTGTTTTGAAATAAACAGGATGTCCATAAAAAGGAAAAGATCCATACCAAAGTTATATTTTTTTCTTATGGAACACCCGGTATTTTATTTCATTTTTGGATTCTTAGGCCCAAAAAAAGGCATTTATTATAAGGATTAAATATGTTTAAAATCATTGATTTTTGAGATATTTAAAGATATTTAAATATGCATGCTACCAGAAAATTGATTATCAACACCCTGTACATTACTTTTCAGAATTAATTCTTATGCTGAGTTTAAAGGTAAAGAAATAAACTTTACTGAAAAATTATCGTAGGTCAATTAAATAAAAGTAAACTGGTATAGATTTAAATAAAGTCTATAAACTAATATCTGTTTTGAAAATAGTTACTAACTGTCACTAGAAAATTGCCATGGCGATACCAGCCATCTTGATTGCCATTTTATTTAAAAATTGCTTTTTATTCAAAATCTGAGATAGATAGGTATAGGAAACCCTAACATAGTTTGAAAGAGCATTTGAATCTCCTTCGATTTATTTTAAAAAATACCGGGTGTTGTATTTGAAATAACAAAGTTTTTATGTAAAATAAATCCTTAAAATAGATCACTAATTTTTGGTACCCTGTATAAATTTAAGGAAGCAATAACATTTTTCAGTAAAGTTTATTTCTTTGCCTTTAAACTCGGCACAAGAATGAATTCTGAAAAGTAATGTACAGGGTCTTAATAATCAATTCTCTTGTAGCATGCATATTTAAATATCTTTAAATATCTCAAAAACCAATGATTTTAAACATATTTAATCCTTATAATAAATGCCTTTTTTTTGGGCCCAAGAATCCAAAAATGAAATAAAATACCGGGTGTTCCATAAGAAAAAATATAACTTTGGTATGGATCTTAGTTCTGAGACACCCTGTATATTTCAAAATAATTTTAAATTGTGCACATTGACTCCCCACATATACCCATAAAATATTTTGTTTCTACATCTTTCCGTTTTCGTATAATCAACCGAGGCGAATGAGGTGCGCCACCCTGTATATGGTAATCGCAAAACAATTTCCGATGCACGTGATCAACTTTGAGTGACAAGCGATGGCCACAGCGCTGCCAGATTGTGATGGATTTATGAGATGAATCTTAATTTCAAATTGACAAACAACATATTTATTATATCATTTTTTTAAAGAGTTTTACGTTTTATTTTTAATTGAATAACTAATATTTTAATGATTAATTGATTTATTTGTTTTATAGCTTATTTTACTTATTACATATTGGCAAAAACTAGTCCATTATGAAGATTCTTATAAGCCTTATTATGGGTTATATATTTATTATTATTTATTGATGTATATCTTACAATGCCATAAGTGGTAATAACAAGTTAGAGGGTGCTATTATTATAATGCACAAACTAATAAATAATCACAGAATTTAATAAAAACTAACTTTGAAAGTGGTGCAAGGTGCTTATCAATCAAACTTACTTTTCTGTGTCTGCAGTTAAAAGTAATAAAGGACCTTTATTGTCACGTTCTCGTTCAAAATAGTTTTAAAAAACGGAAGCGACAGGCTCTTTGCTTCGACTGTTTAAATGCTTCGGTATATTTTCGACACACACAATTTTAAGAAATGCAATATAAAAACTCGAAAATTTAGTTCTTAAAAGAATTGTTTATGCTTAAAAGTGCAATTAAAAAAAAGACTATGAAAATAGGCAAAAAAAACGAGAATTACCCACAAAGATTCAACAACACGATATTATACAAAATAATGACTGACACTAGGATAATTGTCAAATAATAAAGGACAACATTGCTGAACACGGCGCAATGTGACCAACATATTAGCGATAATAAAATTCGGTTTAAACTAATTTTTGCAGCTTTAATCTAAATAAAATATCTGTTACAATCATTTGCTCTATAAAGTAAAATGAAGAGCTGGTCGGTATCTTAAATTATACAATAAATTTAAACATTTTGCCAAAATTTCATTTAGTCAGGTTTATAGACTTTAGTGTCAATGTCGATATGATTGATGACGTGCATCGGAAAATGTTTGGCGATTAATATATTTCCCAGTACAGCTTACAAAATATAGAATGATAGAGCGGTGCCAACTCAAATGAAATTGTACCCAAATTGTACCCATATCATCCTATATTTGATAAACTCAAAATGGATAAAAGAAACCCAATTTTGTGAATATTAATATCTGTTGTATTTGTTTCAGAAACGTCAACTGTATTTCGTGTGATGCCAACGTTATAATGAGGAAACAAACAGATATAACTCTATTCCCTAAACCATACGCGATGCCCCCAACCAAAAACCCAGGACCGTACTTGGCATATGAGATGGATTTGTTGAGGAAACAACAAAAAACGTTAGCAAAAAATAGAAAAATAGATATAGCCTGCCCAACGAAGTGCTACGTGACAGTAACAATCGTTTGTCATATTAGTTCAGAGATAAATTAAATTTTCTGTCATTCTTTAAATGTCGTCTGTCGAAATATTATCTGATTCGTTGGGCAGACTTTCGAAAACAATAATTATACAGGGCGTCCCAGAAATAAGTGCAAGTATTTTAAGGGGTGGTAGATCTTGATAAAAAACATATTTTCTCTTCATCGTTTTTCAAATAAATCCAAAATAACGGAGTTATTTTACTTTGAAAATTTCCAAAAATAATGATTTTTTTGCTAAAATTTTGAGAACCACTGGATCTTTTCTGGATTTTCTTTCTTGTAAATTTAATATAATACAGTAGAACCTCGATTATCCGGGCCAGCCGGGACCAAGCCTTCGCCGGATAATCGAAAACACGGATGATTCAAAGACCTTATTTTTATTTTTTTTAAATCTATTTCGACAAATAGTACATGTGTAAAACGAAAAGAAACGCGATCCAACATATGTACATGTAACAAAAAATAAAAGTTTTATTATTTCTACATAATATGCAGTGTATACTACATTAGAAACGTACAATAAACAATAAATTATATATATTATTATGTATTATGTAGTACGAGTACATGATATATATACATAAATGTATGTGAAAAAATCACTTAAAAAATCACAAATTTTTGTTTGTTTTAGGGCTTCGTAACTTCTACACTTTATAATTTCCTTCGTTTTTCCAAGCTGAAGCACAAAATATCGGATAAGTACATTTACAGCATCCCCTGCTTCTCGATGACTTGTCTCGATGATGCAGTTATTCTCATCATCGTGATCACTACTTTTGGCGGAACTTTCTGCAGAAGTCCTGTTATTTAGATAATCGTCATCCATGATCTGATAATCTGTTTTTTCGTGATCACATTCTATCCATTCCTGTATTTCTTCATGGTCGATTTCTGTCAAACCATTGATTTGCGAGGCTATAGATGCTATGGTTTCGATCAATAGCTCCCCTTCCTTTAAGTCATTATCGTCTTCAGTACCGTCTTCATCTGTTGTATCTTCTAGGGTCATTATTTTATAAAATGCTTTTTTTAATTGTAGTTGCTTTAACTTCACTCCAAGCGCGAGCTATAGCATAAATTGCCTGTTTCAAATTAAGACGTTTCCAAAATCCCATAAAGTCACATTCTCCCAACAGCTGAAGCATAAGGTCTTTCCTATAAAGCCTTTTCATGGTCTCTATATAATATATAAAGCCTTTTCATGGTCCATCGGCTGGACAATAGATGTTACATTCGGAGGAAAATATGCTACGAATATGTTCCCATCTGCTGACTTTAGTTGCTCTACATCAGGATGCAATGGCGCATTATCCAGTAATAGTACAGCCTTGAGTGGAAGATTATTCTCTTTCAGATAAGCTTTAACTTGGGGTATAAATTTTTCGAAAAATTATTTTTTAAAAATTACTCGATCCATCCAAGCTGCCTTTTGATTATAATAATCAACTGGCAGCGTTTTTACATTTTTAAAAGCCTTAGTTTGTCAGCTTTAGCTACAAAGCTCTGTAATTCGGTTTTTTTTCTTCACAATGTCATGAAACGTTTGTTTTTCAATGTTGTATGTTTTATTCAACACAGCAACACCTATGTTATTTTCAAATTGTTTCAAAATTTCCATTTTTTGCTCAATAGTTAATACATTGAGTTTACGCTTTTCATTAGCATCGGTACGCTGCATTTTGTGCGCCTGTTTATGTTTAACTAACGAGCCGGTAGACAGTTAACGAAAATAATAAGAAAATACATAAATGGGGGATTCCCCGAGACGAACGCTTCCACCAGAGCTTCCACTGTGCATTCAGCGTTCATGCGCTAACCTCTGACCATTAAACACGGATAATCTGCGCACGGATGATCAATTTAAAATGCCGCACGGAAAATCCGCCGCCCGGATATAGCGCGCACGGATAATCGGGGTTCTACTGTACCTATGTTGCCATATTATCAAGAAATTATTTTTTTTTATACTAAAAACTAAAAAAAATTCAAAAAAAATTCGAATTTTCGATTTTTTTTCTCGAAAAGAACCTCATAGGCATGTTTCTGGGGTTAAACTATACTACCAGTTAAAATACTTGCACTTATTTCTAGGACACTTTGTATAGTATTTTCTAAAAGAAGAGTTTTTTTAGCATACCCAGTACCAAAAATCTGAGCATGTTCGAAGGTGCACTTCAATTTGCCAAGAGCAAACAGGCGTAAGTTTATTATAATATACAAATGCAGAAATAATACATTTATGAAATATGGCAATTTTAATTTGCGTAGGTAGGTACTTAAATATAATATTATTATAACGGACGAAAAGTTATTACCTTTCAAACCACTTAATAAATATGTAGGTGGCGCCCTCTACAAATCTACAAATAGGAGTCATATTGACGTCAAAATCAAACTTCTCAGGTCAAAAAACTACCAGACAGCAATTTTCATCTAAATATTGACGTTACTTCAGAAATTATTTGGAAAAAATCCAAATAACAATGAAACTCCTACAGCCTGTATCTCCGAAACTAAGCATTTTAGGACATACATTTATATAAACTTTTCTACTTATTTTTATCTGCAGAATATGCTGCCGAAGTTTCCGAAATACAGTCCGAACCACCCTGTGTAATAGATATTATTTGTTAATGATGAAACCAAACTTTGTAGAGAAAAAGACCATCTGTGCAATCGTTACTGCGGAGGTAGCCACACCGTCACAACGCCACAACAAAGAGTGATGCGCGTCGGACATTTTATGGAGCAATGGGGCCCGGAAATATCTCCAGTCAACGAAACGATGATCAAAGGAAAAGACGGACATGTACATTACAACTACCATAACTTTTATATTGTCATCAATCCTATAAAAATACTCTAATATTAACAATTTTATTGGCCCTTCTAGCTGTATAAAGGTAGAGATGATACCGCTTTGAGAGCTCTGGCCAATGAAAAACCCCCAGGTGCTAAGGTAGAGGCTCCGGCTATGGTAATAACCGAATTTGGCAGCAAAGACGCAAAAGGGGACAGACCTAATAGATCGGAGTCAGGTAACTCCCTGTGTCCCCTATATATGCATTATGGAGTGTAGAGATGAGGAGAAATATCCCTTATGGTACTTTATTTGAAAAAGTGGTCACAAAAATGGGAAGAATAAGGGTTCACCAAATAACCACATTGGCGCTAATGACGCATAAATCTAAAAAATGAAAAGTAACCATAGATAAGAGAATAAAAGTAACATAACCTAACATTACCCAAAACAGCTTTATTTTTATTTTTTAAAATATAAAACAATTATTTTTATATATTAGAGGCCCAGTCTATTGCTTCATAATAAAGATTTAAGTATTTTTATTTTAAATGTTACCTTAAGTGAAGGTAAACACTTAAAATGAAAATAAATACTCGGCACTCCTCGCGTCGTATTTCTAGTCTGTCACGACCGACCCGTCCAAGCACAACTGCAACTTCGTACTGCCTGACTAGCCGACACTTGTGTATAGCCCTAGCAGGCAACTATTAGGCCCGACCAATCACGTTAGAGTTTTTGACAAACACAAATGAATTAACACCCTTCAAATAACCACGCTAACCAACCTGATTGGTCAAGCTTAATAGTTGACTGCTAGGGCTAGACACTTCTCTAGCCGACTAGCCGGCAGTGAATCTCGAATACGAACACAAATTGGGTAAACGTAAATTCGCCCGGCTACTTGCTATGTTACTAGTAGCCTGGTCTTCTCTGTATATTTAAAATTTGAGTGACAAGTGATTACTTCAAAATATTGTAAAAAAACTGTTTAACATGTTTTTTTTAATTACCGCTGTATTAATACAAAACAAACAACGGTGTATTTTAACACAAATATTTGACACAAATTATAGGCTCTAATTTGGCGAGAGTTTGACAAGCCTCAAAAAACTTAAGTTGAGTTCATACTCATCTGCGTTCGTGCAACGTTCATCGTTCCGTCACTCCAATAATATTGAAATATAATCTGACATTTTTGAAATAAACCAATTAAACTGGTTATAAACAACAAGAGACGACGCAAGACGGATTTACATACAAACCCATCCATGGTTGGACGTCATCTGCCTTTTTTCTGTCATCGCCTGTCGAAATTTTACCTGAGTAATAAAACAGAGTATATAAAATTAATAATAAAAAGTTTTCCCATTTGTTGAAAACTTTTTGGTGCCCCTGTATAAGTGTGATAATTAAAAACATATAATTGTATATTTTTCAGGGACGTTAGCAAAGAGAGAGAGACTGTCTTCCAGACCAAAAACTAGCGTTGAAAAATTACTTGAAGAACCAACTGGTAAAAAGAGTGAAAATAATTGATGCAGTATGATCGAGAAAAAAACCGTGTCAAGTTGGCTTGGAAGTGACGATCGATGGCATTCACATCTAATTTTAGATACTTCACTTCCATGCCAACTCTGACGCTGCATTTATTTCATCTTATCTGTTATAATCTCCGATCTATATTAGCTTTTCTTTTTAAGGCATAAGACCTTCAACCGGTGTAAAGGCGGTACCTGAAGAACAAAATGGTAAAAACAACTAAAATGTGAAAAAAATGCAGTATGATTGAAAAAAAAACGGTGTCAAGTTGGCTTACACATCTAATTTTACATACCTATGAATGAAAGCGATCTTCACTATGCCAACTCTGACGCCGTATTTTTTTTTCTATCGTACGGTGTAATTTCTTATCTACATTTGCTTTTCTTTTTCTTTTAGCCTTAGGACCCTCATCTGGTGTAAAGAAAGTAACCGATGACCAAGCTGGTAAAAACAATATAGAAATAAATAGAGTATGGTCGAAAAAAATCGTTGTCAAGTTGACATAGAAATAGAGAAGAAAAAAAGAAATCAGAAGCTTTCGCTCTGTATTTCACGCAATTCCTATGTTGATCGCATTGAAATAATATTAAAATCGTCACTATGTCATAATATTTAAATAGTTTGGTTTTCAAGGTACATATAATTACAATTTTAGATGTTCGTAAAATAATTAAGCACTAGTTACTAGATACAGAGTGAAAACTTCTGATTTCTGCCGTATCGAGCGCTGCGGTCGAAATTTTTGAAATCAACTGAAATCCACCAAGCCTATAAAATGGCAGGGATCTTAATTTCCAAGCCAACTCTGACACCGTACTTTTTTAAATCATATGGTACAATTTTTTATTTACAATTGCATTTCTTTTTGTTTTAGCCGGCAGATCTTCGACCGGTATAAAACAGTCAGTTCATAAATCTGATTCAAAATCGATTCCAACTTCATCCGATACTAACTAAATTCTAACTAAATAAACCTTTTCATAACATTTTAGACCAAGTCTTTTATTTGACGTAATCCTAGATCATATACCGGGTGAGTCTCAAAAGTTGCTCACCCCTATAACTTTTTTTAAATTTGTTTAGTTAAAAAAACGAGATTTGGTATGTTAGTATATGACATAAATTAGGATTGATTGACGTATTCAATTGTTTTCGGTCACTTCCGGTTTCACCGGAAATGACTACAACTTTTGATTTTTAAATGGCACCCCCGGTATTTTTTTACTTTATTCGATAGAAAATGTCACTCTGAATAGAATGACATATCATATGTCAACTTTTGACATTTTCGCATATGGTTTATTTGAAATTATAACTTGCCGTTCGTAACGAAAATTTGACTCGAAATACCAAGTGTGTGGTATCAAATTATTCGTAAAAAATGCTTTTTCCACATATGCTAATGAGCCACCCTCGTTCCATTTGAAAAAATTGAGATATGATTAAAAATACGATTTGAGCATTTTCTAGCTTGCCAGGACAAGACACTAAAAACATTAGACGATCAAATCTATTTTTCCAAGACTCCTTGATGAAGAATTAGTGTCTTCAACATAGTCATGGCACTCTAGATTGAATTAAAGAAAATTAAAATTGAAGAAATACAATTGAAAACTAAATTGAAGAAATACAATTTTTGATTAAGCGAGAATTTCAAAAGTTGACATATGATATGTCATTCTATTCAGAGTGTCATTTTCTATCGAATAAAGTAAAAAAATACCGAGGGTGCCATTTAAAATCAAAAGTTGTAGGCATTTCCGGTAAAACAGGAAGTGACCAAAAACAATTGAATACACCAATCAATCCTAATTTATGTCATATACTAACATACCAAATCTGGTTTTTTTATTTGAAAAAATAAAAAAGTTATAGGGGTGAGCCACTTTTGAGGCGCACCCGGTATACTTACGTGGATAAGTAAATCACTATGGAAACTATCGCAAACATATCAACGACTTCCATTTATCTTCTGTTTTTGTTGCACACGCGGTGCTTCTACTCTATCTATCCTTGTCGAGGACCTATTTTCCGCGCGCCAAATTTGAACATTAATTTTAAAAATTTAATTTGTAAAATGCTTATATTTGAACAACAAATTGGATGTTTACTGTCTCGAAAATTAAATTATATAAAAAATACATTTAGTCACTCCGTACGAATATCAATATTCTTAGGACATCTAACCAGAAAGTATACATGCATACTTAATATAAATAAAAGAACAATTGAATATTTTACTTGCCTATGAAAAGCCTATCACTGAACACACTTGCATCCTTGGCTATATAAAAGCGGTCGATAAAAGAGTAATTAATACAATTTTTACAATAAAAATGAAAAATACAAGCGTCGTTGCACATGCGTTGCACAATGAAAATAAGATTATGACAATATGATGACAATGAAAAGTTGGTTTCCATAACAATGTATAATGTGTACTCTCTAAAGCTTGATTTTCATGCATCCGTTGTCCGACGATACGATGATACGATATTAGTTTTATTGGTTGAATTTAAAGACTTCGATTGGCCAACCTTTTCTAACCAATCGAAGATTTTAAATTCAACCAATAAAACTAATATCGTATCGTCGGACAACGGATGCATGAAAATCAAGCTTTAGAGAGTACACATTATACATTGTTATGGAAACCAACTTTTCATTGTCATCATATTGTCATAATCTTATTCTCATTGTGCAACGCATGTGCAACGACGCTTGTTTTTTTTATTTTTATTGTAAAAATTGTATTAATTACTCTTTTATCGACCGCTTTTATATAGCCAAGGATGCAAGTGTGTTCAGTGATAGGCTTTTCATAGGCAAGTAAAATATTCAATTGTTCTTTTATTTATATTAAGTATGCATGTATACTTTCTGGTTAGATTTCCTAAGAATATTGATATTCGTACGGCGTGGCTAACTGTATTTTTTATATAATTTAATTTTCGATACAGTAAACATCCAATTTATTGTTCAAATATAAGCATTTTACAAATTAAATTTTTAAAATTAATGTTCAAATTTGGCGCGCGGACAATAGGTCCTCGACAAGGATAGATAGAGTAGAAGCACCGCGTGTGCAACAAAAACAGAAGATAAATGGAAGTCGTTGATATGTTTACGACAGTTTCCATAGTGATTTACTTATCCACGTAAGTATACCGGGTGCGTCTCAAAAGTGGCTCACCCCCTATAACTTTTTTATTTTTTCAGATAAAAAAACGAGATTTGGTATGTTAGTATATGACATAAATTAGGATTGATTGGTGTATTCAATTGTTTTTGGTCACTTCCTGTTTTACCGGAAATGCCTACAACTTTTGATTTTAAATGGCACCCTCGGTATTTTTTTACTTTATTCGATAGAAAATGACACTCTGAATAGAATGACATATCATATGTCAACTTTTGAAATTCTCGCTTAATCAAAAATTGTATTTCTTCAATTTAGTTTTCAATTGTATTTCTTCAATTTTAATTTTCTTTAATTCAATCTAGAGTGCCATGACTATGTTGAAGACACTAATTCTTCATCAAGGAGTCTTGGAAAAATAGATTTGATCGTCTAATGTTTTTAGTGTCTTGTCCTGGCAAGCTAGAAAATGCTCAAATCGTATTTTTAATCATATCTCAATTTTTTCAAATGGAACGAGGGTGGCTCATTAGCATATTTGGAAAAAGCATTTTTTACGAATAATTTGATACCACACACTTGGTATTTCGAGTCAAATTTTCGTTACGAACGGCAAGTTATAATTTCAAATAAACCATATGCGAAAATGTCAAAAGTTGACATATGATATGTCATTCTATTCAGAGTGACATTTTCTATCGAATAAAGTAAAAAAATACCGGGGGTGCCATTTAAAAATCAAAAGTTGTAGTCATTTCCGGTGAAACCGGAAGTGACCGAAAACAATTGAATACGTCAATCAATCCTAATTTATGTCATATACTAACATACCAAATCTCGTTTTTTTATCTGAAAAAATAAAAAAGTTATAGGGGGTGAGCCACTTTTGAGACGCACCCGGTATACTTACGTGGATAAGTAAATCACTATGGAAACTGTCGTAAACATATCAACGACTTCCATTTATCTTCTGTTTTTGTTGCACACGCGGTGCTTCTACTCTATCTATCCTTGTCGAGGACCTATTTTCCGCGCGCCAAATTTGAACATTAATTTTAAAAATTTAATTTGTAAAATGCTTATATTTGAACAACAAATTGGATGTTTACTGTCTCGAAAATTAAATTATATAAAAAATACAGTTAGCCACGCCGTACGAATATCAATATTCTTAGGAAATCTAACCAGAAAGTATACATGCATACTTAATATAAATAAAAGAACAATTGAATATTTTACTTGCCTATGAAAAGCCTATCACTGAACACACTTGCATCCTTGGCTATATAAAAGCGGTCGATAAAAGAGTAATTAATACAATTTTTTACAATAAAAATGAAAAATACAAGCGTCGTTGCACATGCGTTGCACAATGAGAATAAGATTATGACAATATGATGACAATGAAAACTTGGTTTCCATAACAATGTATAATGTGTACTCTCTAAAGCTTGATTTTCATGCATCCGTTGTCCGACGATACGATATTAGTTTTATTGGTTGAATTTAAAATCTTCGATTGGTTAGAAAAGGTTGGCCAATCGAAGTCTTTAAATTCAACCAATAAAATTAATATCGTATCATCGTATCGTCGGACAACGGATGCATGAAAATCAAGCTTAAACCGTATAAAATAGTGATTATTTTGGAAATACGTGCAACTTTTAATGCGCATGCGCAAAGTAAGAAGTAAGGTTCTCGAGAGAGACAAACCTATTGAACGTTTCATAAGTGCAATAAAGAAGGTTTGAAAATGGCATGTTGTGATGTTGGAAACATATTTTTTAATGCTAATCTTATGGCGTTGATTTATCCACGTAAGTATATATGATAGTGTAATGTATGTGTCTAGAGTGTAATATAAGTAAAAATTATCAGATATTTTCTAATAAAGTATTTTATTTTTTAATAAAAATATAAATATACAAGTCAACAATGAAGAAACAATATATCACAAATCAATACTGTATGTGGCCATACAATATCGTTTGCAGATTATCCCTTTAGTACAGTACATTAAATGTAATAGTTTATCAAATTTATACAAAAATATTACATATAGGAACATTCACACAATATAAACTTATTAATAAAGTAGTACAGTGTAGGATATATTGTTTTTTTTAGAAACAATAATACATTGGTAGGTATTTAATTACTGGCTCTGGTTAGATCAACAAAATTTTGTCAAATTTTTCAAATGAAATATTGACGTTCAAAAAGTGACATTAGACTGACATCAGAAGTGCGATTCTGTAAACACGTAACATGAAATTTCTTTGCTAGTGACTCACTATGTAGCAAGAATTTACTTTGGACAACTTACAGAATCACACTGCTGCACATCTAAATATCTGTATACTGATATAGGATATCATTATTTTAAATTGAAATAATACACAAAACATATTTTCATACTTAAGAAAGAAAATTATGCGTTTCCATCAATGATTTTTCTGATTCATCCTGTAGCACCAACTTTTAGCCACACTTCTTTTACAAAAAAAATATGAACTAGGAGGTTTACCAAACCATGCTAGCCCTTCCCAATGCACCATACTACTTTAACCCTATATGTTTCGATATCTGCTCATACACTGTCCATGCCATGGCTGCCATAAGCGTACGTCGCAGCATCCTGGGCACCATGCCCTTGAAATACCCTTGAACTCCGTAATTGTTGTGGACGTACACTATGACGGACCATAGACCGTTAAATTTGGTGGGATACAGTTGCATTTTGGTTTTTAGTACGTCAGCCGGTTGGGTAACAACCGAGGCTAATATACCGGCTGTGACGCCGCAAGTGAAATGAATGGGTGATGCGTACTGGGTGTTCAGTATTTCTGAAACAAAAAAGAGAACTATAACTAATAGAATCTAAAAGAATTACAAAAAAAAACTATTTTTGTTTCTACTTTGCTCTATTTAAATTTCTGATGAGCCAAAAAGTACCGTATGGTCAAAAAACGGCTGCAAGTTGGCTTGGAAATAATAATAATTGTAATAGCTCCCGTATATAGCGTTTAACGCCTTGGGAGTAGCAAGGTACAGCTTGCCATGCTAGAGCCGTTCGGTATACAAGATACAAGGAAGATAATATGGCTAGCACTACGCTTCAACCGCCATTATTACCTCAGGATTGTGAATCCCAAGTACTCATTTAAGGCTGAGTCAACCTAGGTACCCAAACTATTTTTATTTTAGTAAAAATAGTCGGCTGATGAAATGCCGGGTGTAGGATTCGAACCCACACCTTGACACCTTGAGATTGGTAGACGGGAGCCTGTACCTCTACGCCACCGGGCACCTCCACAAATCTTGGCTTGGAGATAACTAATATAATTTTACATATAAAATGACAGTGATCTTCAGTTCCAACTCTGACGCCGTTTTTTCTATCGTATAGTACTTCTAACCAACAAACACTTCTACCTCTTTCAAAATTTAAAGTATTGAGTATGGTATATTAGAGAGTATTATTATAATAGAGAGTGTAATTGTAGATTTTCTTGCAGTGCAGTGGCGAAATACCCATAAAGGATTTTTTTGGAGAGATGAATCCACCACATAGGTATAGACATTTTTTATAATAGAGAGTATTAACTCCCCCCCCCCCCCTAGTAATAATTTCCAGAATTTTTTCCACAGCCAGAGAATAAAATAGAGCTAAGTCGAAATAAAAATGCAATATCATAATTAAAACTCGTTATAAATCTTTATTCTTTCAAGAGGTTAGGTTGTAACTCAACTGTATGACAACTCAATTTATTATATTATTATAGAAAGATAAGATATTTTTTGAAGATTCAACTCAAAATTTGAAGCTTCATTTTGGCATCAGGTGTCAGCTAAAGTCTGTCCCGCGAGAGAAGGAAATACTTCGACAGGTGACCATCAAAAAGTACAGAAAACACAACCCCCTATAATGACAGATAAGAACTGTAACTGTTATACCGTATGATCTAAAAAAAACGGCGTCCAATTGGTTTAAAAATATCGACCGATGACATTCCCCATTTAATTTTACATATAAAATGACAGCGATCTTCATTGCATAGCCATCGCTGACGCCGTTTATCTTTCGATCATATTGTATATTCCCTCATTAGTCAGACGATATAAAAAATTTGAGTTTTTTTTATTATTATTTTCAATTAAAATTGACACTGATGTACTAAAATATTCCAAAAAGTTTAAGTATTCAATTTTTACCGCCATAAGTAATACTTTCACCAAAGGACTCAATAATACTGATAATATGTATTATATTTATATCATTCAATAAAAAAATGATACACTTTAATCAAATAAAACTCTTTTTAAGAAGTGATTTTTCCAGACAACTACGCGTAATTTATAAACCAACAATTATAACGTATTTGACAACAATTAAAAAGATTTGGGTTAGAAATCGCATTCATTATAATCGTGGCTTGGAGCTATGAAAAATACATTAGTGATAAATCCATTAAGGAAGTTGTTGCAATTGTACATCTAACCACTGATAAGACCATTAAATATAAACGTAAATATATGCATAGGCTAAATTGACCAACTAGCAAACCTGACATAACAAAGTAAAGAATGGAATATTCCATTCCATAGATACGAGGGTAAATCGCTATATATTTGAATTACTGTTCAACATTTTCAAATGCTAACTATTATCAACAACGCCATCTCTCGTCAAAAGCAAGTAGTTATTGACTGATACTTGTATTTATAAAAATACATATCTTCATAATATTGTTATTCCAATCATTATTTGGAAGCAATATTTCTTAACAAAAACAAAATTCATTAGAAAGATGACTTGATTTTAACTTTTTAAATGTATAATAAATATAATATTACAAACATCAAGTTACCTTGTGGAACAAGTTGCTTAGCCTGCGTATAGAACATGAGGTAAAGTCCAGAGAATGGGGCATCCCTGAATAAAGTAGGGACCAATCCACATGTCATTCCCTTGATACCTTCTGTTCTATAGATTTCCTTCAACGCAGACATCATGCTGTCATATCCATAAACACCACTTTCAAACCTGAAACAAACAAAAAAAATGTTAAATACATTTAACATACCAAAGGAAATCATCAGCTTCAGTTTACTAAACATACTTTTAAAGTCTACTGTATATACCGAGTGCGTCTCAAAAGTGGCTTACCCCTATAGCTTTTTTATTTTTTCAGATAAAAAACGAGATTTGATATGTTAGTATATGACATAAATTAAGATTGATTGACGTATTCAATTGTTTTCGGGCACTTCCTGTTTCACCGGAAATGACTACAACTTTTGATTTTTAAATGACGCCCTCGGTATATTTCGACTTTATTCGATATAAAATGACACTATGAATAGAATGACATGTCAACTTTTGACAGAATAGATATGATATGTCAACTTTTGACATTTTCGCATATGGTTTATATTAAATTGTAACATGCGGTTCATAAGAACAATCTGACTAAATATAACAAGTGTATGGTACCAAATTATTTGTAAAAACATGCTTTTCCATTCAGAGTGTCATTTCCCATCGAATAAAGTAGAAATATACGGAGGGTGCCATTTAAAAATCAAGTTGTAGTCATTTCCGGTGAAACAGGAAGTGAGCGAAAAAATTGAATACGTCAATCAATCCTAATTTATGTCAATAACTAACATATCAAATCTCGTTTTTTTTATCTGAAAAAATAAAAAGGTTTGGAGGTAATAAACAGTAAACACTGCCTCTTATTATTATTATTATAACTCATTAAATTAAGGACAAGTAAGAACTTGACCTTAAATAGAAGAAAATAAGTACACTGACCTTGTCTTTACTACAGTAATTGGTATCAAGATGGCGCCGCTCATTGATCTTGCACAGAAGCCCATTAAAACAGATTCCAAAGCAGTTGGCGTTTCTCCATTCAAGTATGACGATTTTATGTAATCCAAAGAGGAAAAATACAGTCCTACGCCAGGAACACATCTTGTAATCGACTGAAAAGAAATAAAATATTAATTTTTCGATGAGATAAAAATATATAGACCAAATACATAGTGCAAACCTTGACACATTTATACTGATTTGTATGTTTATATTTTTTATTAGATCATTAACAGATTTGCTCTAATAATATCTGGTAAAGGTATAAATTGTAATAAGTTTAATATCAAAGAAAATTATAATACAAATACTTACTGGGACCATACCGCGCCATAATCCTTTGATATGTTCTTGCTGTATAATGTTGCTAAACACACCGAACATACTAACACTACCATGCCGCCCACTGAAAATCAAAATACCATACATTAACAAAATACTAAGTTACGCTACCTTACGAGTATATGAAGATACAAAATTACGTTAAAACTTACTTTACAACTGCAGTTGAATTTTGCAACCTTGTCTTTACCAAATCCAGTGGTTGAAACAATACTGTTGAGAATGTTCCAGAAAATGAACCAGCTAAGAAGGCTTTGACAATGGGATACTGTAAAAAAACGTTTTAATTAGTATAAAAATAGCAATATAATCTTTCAATAAAAACGTTTTATAAAGTAAAATAATATACTTACACTACTAACGATATCCATGATTAAAATTTAAGTACAAAGGTGTAAAAATAAACGATTTCTCTCAGTCTTGCGTTATATCTGAAGAAATTTAGAACCCTTATATGTTCCAAATTATTAACAAACAATTGTATCAGAGTAGTCTGAATAGTAAATAGGGTTGACACGGAATTTGTTTGCAACAATCATTTTTACAAGATGCCAAAAGGAACTCATTTGTATTTCACTATGCATAAACAAAAATAATTTAAGAAAATCACTCAAAAATTAAAACTTCTCTTCTTGTATTAATGCTTCTGCCTTTCGTATGTCACAAATATAAACTTAGGAAATATTATTAACAGACACATAAAAATAAGTCGAACTAGATAATTCAGTTGATTTCAAGACTGAGACAACACAACACCGAGACAGACACTGCTCAAATAAATAATTTTGAATAAATTTGACCTTTTATACGCGTTCCTACAAGGCAACTGATAACCAGCAGCGTTATTAATTACATATTGCAGACCCCCTCTTATCGAACCGATAACATTTAAAAATATACGTTTCGTGGTGATCTATTGACCTCGTCTAATTACCAATTTTCGTTTATTTGTTCTGGTCTACTTACATCTGCTAAAAAATCGTTTTTATTCGGGGTCGCTTGTGGCTGACCCCCTATATGAGTCTCGACTACATTGTCATCGTAATATCTATGCATTTCTATTTTACCGGTATATTGCCGGTCATTATTTCAAATGTACGTCTTGCACGTTCGAAAATCGATTAGGTTTGCCATTTACACAAAAATTTTCTACATATTTTTCTCACCTAACCTCTGTACCCTTTTGTCAAAACTCAAAACATCAAAATCAGCTGCTTTGATTTTTTACCATCCTTCTTTAACACCATGATTTTGAATTAGTAAACAAAGACAGGTGTTTTCTATGTTTCTAACAAAGTTTCTAACCAGCTTAGGTAACCAGCAATACAGCTGGAGGTCAAAATTAAAAGTACCTTGCATTGGAATTTAAAATTTAAAGAGCTAAGAGAAAATTTTATTTATTATGGACGGCCTCTAGATTACTTGTAGGGAATGTCCTGTATAAAATATATTTATTAACAATGCATGAAATAATGTATTTTATTTTAAGTTGAATTCTTTTTTTTTTCTAGAATAAACGAGAGAATAAATAAATTCCAAAATGTAGTAAATATATTTTTGAGTATTAATACGCAGTAATCATTTTAATCATTTTTTATTCTTAGCTTTGCCAATTAAACAATTTTGTATCAGAGAGGAAAATATTTTCAGTTCCTTTAATTAACACAATAATCGGGATCGGCATTTTTCTAAAATAAATTTATTTACGACAGTGGCGTACGAAACTGTAATATTGTATTCTGTAATTAGATGGATAGATTTAGCCTCCATAGGATAGATACTGATAGATATATCAGGAGGTTATAGGCTAAAATAGTGACAAAGATATTAAGATATACTGCGTATACATAATATTTTCTTAGAGATTAATGAATAAAATTGAAAATATTTAAAAATATATATAATAAATTAAATAATATATTTTAGGAATATTAATTAACTCTTCTCATTTAATCTTGATAATTCCTCAGCTCTAACAAATTTACTCCTTTTAGTCCAAGAGGCAATAAATTTCTTTATTTGTACTTATTTTCGCAGTGGTTTAATATATAAACTATGTTCGGATGGTAACATTAAATGACAATTTGTGAGTCTGGCTAAAATTTCCAGATGGGTTCACTAGATAAAAAGTCCACTTATTTTCCCAGTAATAAATATTTAGTAGTAGAGAAAATCTTCCACTGCTTACGTTAACTTTTCGCGCCAATTCGGACAACGTATAGATATAGTTGATTAAATAACCAAGGCGCGCATAGAAATAAGCATAGCAAACAAACTAGGCGATAATACACTTCCACGCGACTTATTAGTTGGTTAAATTAAAGTGGTCGATTTAGCGACTATCAACTTATAAAGGATCAAAAAAACAGCAATTTAATAGCACAATATCGAAAAACATGGGTGTGTATGTTCGAAATTGCAAAAAATCTTAATCTTAATCATCTTTAATCCGTAATTAAAGGTAGAATCAATTTCTTGTTACGCCACTGTGTGCACATCACGCGCTTATAATAACCGTCGCTTGTGGTTGACTCTTCTACAGGGGGTCCGATAACCGCGGGTCAAACAGATTTTTAAGTTCAAAAGTTCGCATAAATAAAATGTCTGTATCGCACTTTGAAATCTTCAAACAGAACATACTTTTATGTGTTTGCATGTTTATTCGTATTCGCCTGTGCGATAACAAACGTACTTAAAGTTGTATACACGCGTAAACTTTCTTTGCTAGTTTTTTCAAAAAGAACAAGAAATGCACATAACACACTCTACACGGAAAAAAATATTATTATTATTATATACATAAAACTATTTCTTAATGATTAATTTTGATCTAATCCTTATCTAACTTTTTGTATTTTGACGGAACACCTACAATACTATACTGCCATTACTCGCGGACGAGTATTTGACACACATCACAAGATGGTTACACAAGACGTTTTCTTTCATGAGCTTCTCTGTGACTGAAAAGCCCTTTGGTTGTCGTTGTTAACTGAGTTTACAATTCTTCTCCATTGCGAACTATTGTGCGCTGCTCTCTGGGAATTTTTTTTTATATGTGCAGGCGATTTGACATAATTTTTGCCAGAATTTTTCCTCCGATAGCCAGTAGTGAAATTCCTCGATAGTTTCCGTCTGATGCACTTCCTTTGTTCTTAAATATATTCACTATATTTGCGTTGCAAAAGTCCTGAGGTACCTCTCCGCATTCTCTTATGACATCGAAGAGAGCATTAAGATGACCAATAAGTTCTTTACTTGCACACTTATAGATTTCCGCCGGAATTGCGTCACAGCCAGCTGATTTGTTGTGTTTAAGAAGTTTTATAGAGGCCTTTATTTCCTGTTCTGTTATTGGGATATCTAATACATCAAGACTGTTATACTGATGTATTTTGTTTAATGCTTCCATATTGTGGTTGCTTTCTTGGTTAAGGATATGGCTGTAATCCTTTTCGCAATTTCTGATTTGCTCTTCCTCTTTTAGTTCACCATTTTGTGCCTTTTGGGCAGCTTACCTTCTTGGTTGGGCCGTATACTTCTTTTACAGACTCAAAGAATTTACAATTGTCGTGACGTAGGGCCGGCGTGCTCTTGAATCTGATTAGCTTTTTGTGACTACCAGTAATCCTTCAGTTAGCGCAGGTTTCTTCGAAGTGTGTTGTTGGCTGCTTTAAAGTTGTCCACCAGCCTTGGATTGTGTGGATTTGCAGTGGCTTCTTGATGTGCTGTGTATGTTTTTGTTGAAACAAAGCCTGTATATGCAGTTAATTTTCGTTAAATCAGTCTGGTTGTTTCTTTTTGTTGGATTTTTATCGATGTTTTATGAATCGCGTCCCTTAATTGTGTCCAGCCTTGTTCAGCTTCGAAGATTCAGATTGAAGTTATTAGTGGAGGTGATTCTTTGAGGGCTTTGAGGGATCTGGTCATATTGTTTTACTTTTTACTGTGTGGAGGTTTGGGTTTTAACTGTTTTAAAATTACAAGTCGGTGGTCAGTGCCTCCTCCAGGTTTTTCCTCCGATAGCCAGTAGTGAAATTCCTCGATAGTTTCCGTCTGATGCACTTCCTTTGTTCTTAAATATATTCACTATATTTGCGTTGCCAAAGTCCTGAGGTACCTCTCCGCATTCTCTTATGACATCGAAGAGAGCATTAAGATGACCAATAAGTTCTTTACTTGTACACTTATAGATTTCCGCCGGAATTGCGTCACAGCCAGCTGATTTGTTGTGTTTAAGAAGTTTTATAGAGGCCACATTCGGCATCTATTCTGGCTTTTGTGAATCTGACATATCTTTTAGATGCGTCCTTCGAACGATTACGTGGTCCAATTGATACCAGTGGCCTGATCTGGGATGTTTCCAGGTACCTTTAAACTTGTCCTTCAACATAAACCACGTATTGGTGATGCAAAGATTATACTCTGTTCATGTTGTTAATAAGCGTTCACCATTACTATTTACGTTTCCCATTTCATGTTTTCCCAATACATTAGGCCATATTTCTTGATTATATTTCACCACTGATCCACTATATCCACTGATTATATATCTCTGATTGTATTATATAGTTATCTCCTTTAAGTTTTCATGAAAAATATCCTTGTACCTTTTGAGTTATCGGTAGACGGTTTTCTTGCATCCTGCAAACTGTTATAGTTTATAATCATCTGCTGATGATGCTAACATGGTTAGCGAAACGCGCGTCCAGTGTAAAAGTAAAAGTGTTTTGGTGTATTGTGGTGATTTAGTGTTTTTATTTTTCTTAACAGTTGTCTAAAGTGTCTCTGTTGCAGAACACGTCGATCTGTAGTTGGAGAATTCCATTTCCCGTTCCAGGTTATGGTTGAAATCTTCCAGGTTCTTGAGTTCCGCTTTGAGATGGTTTCCACTTGGAAGTAAAACGGTTCTGATCCAGTTAGTAGAGTGTTCGCTCCTTTTCTAGCTAGATCGTTTACTTCTTTATTACTTTCCATCCCTTGGTAGGCTGGCATTCAGGGTGAGAGGACTTTAGTAGTGTAGACATTTTCTGTAATTTTTTGGATGTCATCTGTCGAAATCTTCCTAGGTTTGTTGAACAGATACGAATTTTCATGTATTTTTTTACCTTGATTTTTTCTACATCAGCTTCGGGCTATGCCAATAATCCTTTCTTTACGTGTACTGGTGAAACTCATTGTTATTTTATTTATCTCATAACTAACCCGTGGTAGAATTATTATGATATGCAGTATAGTCATTTGATTAAAAATAATAGATAAAGTAAATATTTAATTCTCGAATCTGACGTCGATATTGAAGTATAACGAACTAACTACAGACAAAAATTCGAATTCGAATGATGTATCTATTTGGTTCATTAAAGAAGGAAATTCAGGCCATTAACTTATCACATATTTTTGCCAATATATTTTGCGAAAAATTAAATTATTATTTTATCAATATCATTATAATAATACCACATAATACTAATCTCATGCTTCTTGGTCAATTAAAACTTTTTGTGGTATTTTTTGCCGATTACAATTAAGGTTAAAGACGATAATGAATGGACACAGACGTTTGTGGCTCGTTTGTGATATAATTTCTGTTTTTTTTATAAATGATGGCTTAATTGGTTGGCTGTTGTATACTCTGAAATGTCTAATGGCAGTGAAAAATTGATTTATACCCGGTGGCAAACCTATAGTCTCTGCTATGAAAAGATACCTGACATCAGTAAGAGTTCTGTCGTCATTTTAATGCACATTCAAATCAGATGATTATTATCTGTCATTTTTGATGTCTGATTCGTTGCGTAGGCTTTACCTACAATTTTATGTCCTCATACTTCCTGTTTCACCGGAAATGACTACAACTTTTGATTTTTTAATGACACCCTCGGTATTTTGTTATTTTATTCTATAAAAAATGACACTATGAATAGAATGACATATTATAAATCAACTTTTGATATTTTCGCATATGGTTTATTTGAAATTGTAACATGCGGTTCATAACGACAATTTGACTCGAAATACCAAATGTGGGGTACCAAATTATTCGTAAAAAATGCTTCTCCAAATATGCTGATGAGCAACACTTGTTCTATTTTGGCAAAATTCAGATATGATTAGAAATACGATTTGGGCATCTTTTAACCAGCCAGCATAAGGTACGAAAAACATAAAACATTAGACGATCAAATTCAGACTATTTTTCCAAGGCTCCTTGATTAAAAATGATTGTTTTCAACACAGCCATATCATTCATATTTCGTAACTAGTTAGACAGATGTAAGAAACAAAATAATGTTAGATTAAGTTTAATGTTTTTAGATTTTAATGTTAAATTAAGTTTGTTTTGGTATATAATATTAAAAATCTAAAGCAACTTTAATTGTATAACTCTTGATTAAGGGTATAACTAAAGGTATAGTTACCTGTATAAAATCCATTATTTATTAAACAAATTACTATAAAATTACTGAACAAACGTAGATATATTTCCTACCGAACTAAAATAAAATATTTCACTCACATATTTTCAAGTACCTACTTTAATTTCAGTTAATTAAGTATTAAATAATATGATTTAATTTTAGATATATCAAGATTAGCAGTGCCAATCTCAAGCAATGATTTCCTTAAATAAAAACTAAGTTTTAAATAATGTGTGTAATATACTCGTATACCATTGTGGACGAGTTACCTAATTTCTTAAAAAGAAATAGTTTTTCGCCACTGGAAGAGAAATCAACAAATATAAAAAAATAAATAAAAATAATTCCTCCTGGTCATCAGCAGCAAAAAAAAGAAGAGAAGCAATTTAAAATGTCTAAATACAACTATTTAAGAACACTTAACTTTTTAGCAGATACGTTCATTATAAACCGTTGACGTTGTATTAAAATGACGTTACTTTGACAGAACGTCAACTGTTTATAATATATTTAGACATATTAAATAGGTTTTTCTTTTTTCTTGTTGTTGTTTTTAGTAGTGTTTTTAGCTTTCTCGCTTTCCATTTGCGACAAACCCGGCATGTTTTCGAGAAAAGCTGAGCTTGTTTTTACTTTAATGTGAATCTAAAATAAACCCAAACCCCTCTGTTACTAAAATAAGTTACCTGTGTAATATCCATAAGATCAAACTATCAAATTAGCACACTCAAATTTAGAAAACCACCAATATAATTTCAATGTTCAAGTGCACAGAGTTATTGAATAAAAATAAATTATTGCAGTCGTTCTCTTTAGGTAGGTATACTTTATTTTCAGTTAAAGTCTAAAACAACTTAACCTGGGTTTATCCCAAATAATATCAAAATGAAAATTAAGACAAATAATGAACTGATGAAGTCATACTTTGTTTTTCTACACTCCGTATACAAAGTTAACCAGAAGATAAACTCTGTGGAAATGTTCACACTTAAAGGCTTATCAAACAATAATTGTTCTCTGCTGGGGGTATAGGAATATAATATTATAGGTCATGGGGGTCAACAAAAGAAGCAATAAACAATTTCATTTGTATTTATCGATCAAATATGGTTCGCTGACGCTCGTGGGGGTATTTTGAAATCGTCGACAGGCCGTGATATTTGAGAAAATATTTGTTCGGCTTAAGTTAAATAATAAGATAATATGAAACAGTGCGTTTTTATCAAAATTTATTTCGAAAATTTCCATTCCAGTATCTAAAATCTTCGAAACGCGTCTTGAAGTACATTCATTTTTCATGGTTGGTCAATAATAATTATTATTCATCTTATTTCTCTAAAAAGACGTTCAATGTAAAAGCATTTTTAAAAATGATAATTGTTATTAATAATTATTTTATTAATAATTATTAAGAACAATTATTATTTTTAAAAATCTTATTATTAAATGTGATATCGGTCTTTTGAGATTTTGACTTTTTATTGATTTAACAACCAATATGCCAGTTGAAACTATTGTTGCGGACCTGTGTGGACTCAGCCTAACCCGTTCTAATATGTCCCGCCCCCATAAATATGACCTTAATATTGCATTAAAGAATAGACACCGTAGTGGCCCATCGAACGTTCGAGAACAGTCGAGTTTCACTAGAATGGCGGCGTACATACGAGAATAATCTAAATCTTCTCTATGCACCTAATGATCTAATGGACTATTCGAGAACTGTGGAAAGGAGAGACAGAGAAACAAACAGATCGGTCGACGCGTACAGTTGCCGCGCTAAATTCAAAATAAATTCCTTTTAGATAAATAATAAATAAGTTGTAAATAGTTTTTTAAGTAGTTTTATCCTTATTGTTTTGTTATTTAGTGTAAAATAAATTTTTTGTTTAAATAAATTAGACTTTCTATCCACACGGAACCGACGAAAAACGTAACACTATTATAACTTTATTTTGTATTTTTTAAATGTACATTTGATGGAGAGTTATCTCATGGTTTAAAAAGAATTTTTCACAATGTCAATTATAAACTTGTGTATAATACTAATAATAATAAACAACAACCTATTAGGTGATCCTAAAGAAAAAACACCTTCACTGGAAAAGTCGGGTATATATACAGGGTGTCCCAGAAATAAGTGCAAATATTTTAAGGGGTGGTAGATCTGATCAAAAGAAGTATCTTTTCTCTTTGCCATTTTTCAAATAAGTCTAAAATAAACGAGTTATTTTACTTTGCAAATTTTAACAAAAAATGCTTTTTTGCTTAAATTTTGAGAACCACTGGATCTTTTCCGGATTTTCTTCCATGTAAATTTAATCTACTACCTGCGTTGCCATATTATCAAGAAATTATGTTTTTTAACTTAAAACTAAAAATAATTTCAAATTTTTTTTTTTAAATTTCAAATTTTCAAAATTTTTTTTTTGCAAGAAAAACCTCATAGGCGTGTTTCTGAGGCAGAAATATACTACCAGTTAAAATCCTTGCACTTATTTCTGGGACACCCTGTATATGAGATTTAATGTAAAGATTGTAATCAGAAATATGTTGGGAAACTAGAAGATCAATATTAACTAGATTTAAAGAACATAATAGAGCTTAGACTAGATAGCTATAAGATATGGTAGACCGGATAAATCTTGCGTTGCTCAACATAATACTCTGATAAAGATTTAATTTAACTTTAATTTTTATATTACTTAAAAAGATTACTCAAATTTTTATAGGTACCTATATTATGTTATAAATGTAACTGAGCAATGCTTTGATTTCACTTCATTGATATATGTTCAAGCACCTGTAGTGCTAAATGTCACTGTCACAGGATGGTTTACAACGAAAAGTCAGAAAATAGTTATCCAAAGACGGGTATACAACTCGTATACTATAATTTACAATCACTATATATTAGTTTTAATTTTATTTTTAGAGAAGGAAATCTATTACACCCCTATACATAATTATAATACAAGACTATCGGGTAACAACAGCGTTTTTTATTGACAATTTTATCGTAAATTAATATTTATGGTTTATTTCAGCGAAAGCATACAAGAAAAAGGACAATACAAAACAGTACCAAGCCAAGCTATTAAATTTTCAAATCGATTCTGATGAAGAGACTTACCTTATAGATAATTTCGAAAATCACAGCGATCGTTTTTCGAATACTAGTACGAATTGTTCGAAAAACATATCGGAAGTCGAAAATTCTGAATTGTATGAACGGACAATCCAAAATTGTTTGATCCCCTATAACAGGAAAATGGAATTTCACGAACCACCTTGTATACAGAATGATAGAAAGCAAATTTGGATGAAAAATGTTATGATAATACTGTTTGCAGGTATACTGTATAATAATTATAAATTTATATAAATATAAAAGATTGCATGATATTAATACAATTATTGTATATAGTTGTTTTCCTCAATTTATTTAAAAATATCGTTATTATTCTGTCTCTTTTTAAGATTCTCAATACTTTTTAAGTAAAAAATACCACTTTTAAAAAAATTATATATTTTTGTTAATTATACAGGGTGGCGCACCTCATTCGCCTCGGTTGATTATACGAAAACAGAAAGATGAAGAAATAAAATATTTTATGAGTATATGTGGGGAGACAATGTGCCCAATTTAAAATTATTTTGAAATATACAGAGTGTTTTAGAACTAAGATCCATACCAAAGTTATATTTTTTCTTACGGGACACCCAGTACTTTATTTCATTTTTGGATTCTTGGGCCCAAAAGAAGGCACTTATTATAAGGGTTAAATATGTTTAAAATCTTCGGGTTTTGAGATATTTAAAGATATTTAAATTTGCATGCTACAATAGAACAGATTATTAACACCCTGTACATTACTTTTCTCAGAATTAATTCTTATGCTGAGTTTAAAGGTAGAGAAATATAAACTTTACAGAAAAATGTTATTGCTTTCGTAAGTTTATACAGGGGTATCAAAAATTGCTGATCTATTTTAAGAATTTATTTTACATAAAAACTTCGGTATTTCAAATACAAACCAAATTTTTTACCAAACCAAACACCCTGTATTTTTTTAAATAAATCGAAGCCGATTTAAAATGCTCTGTCAAACTGTATTAGGGTTTCCTATACCTATTTGGCTCAGATTTTGAATAAAGAGCATTTTTTCAATAAAATGGCAACCAAGAGGGCTAGTGTCGTCATGGCAAGTTTCTAGTGACAGTAGCTATTTTCAAAATCTAATTTAATAATAATTTAAAACTTACTTTTTTACTAATATTAAACTATTGTAGGTAAATTTAAGTAACTGTTATAAATTATAAATAATAATGTCCATAAACTAATGGCGATTTTGAAAATAGATGGAAAATAGTTACTAACTGTCACTAGAAAATTGCCATGGCGACACCAGCCATATTGATTGCAATTTTATTTAAAAATCGCTTTTTATTCAAAATCTGAGCTAGATAGGTATAGGAAACTCTAATATAGTTTGAAAGAGCATTTGAATCTGCTTCGATTTATTTAAAAAAATACAGTGTGTTGCATTTGACATAACGAAGTTTTTATATAAAATATATCCTTAAAATAGATTAGCAATTTTTGATAGCCCTGTATAAATTTAAGCAAGCAATACCATTTCTCAGTAAAGTTTATTTCTCTACCTTTAAGCTCAGCATAAGAATTAATTCTGAAAAGTAATGTACAGGGTGTTAATAATCTATTCTATTGTAGCATGTAAATTTAAATATCTTTAAATGTCTCAAAAACCAAAGATGTTTTGACATATTTAACCCTTACAATAAATGCCTTTTTTTGGGCCCAAGAATCCAAAAATTAAATAAAATACCGGATGTTCCGTAAGAAAAAATATAACTTTGGTATGGATCTTAGTTCTGAGACACCCTGTATACTTAAAAATAATTTTAAATTGTGCACATTAACTCCCCACATATACCCATAAAATATTTTGTTTCTACATCTTTCCGTTTTCGTATAATCAACCGAGGCGAATGAAGTGCGCCACCTTGTATAAACAGAACAACTAAACTAAATATGAACCAGTATTTTTTTTTTACTATGTTAAACCTGGGCATCGCTTTGTATTTATTTCTCGTTTGTTTATGTTCACCAACCATCTATAAAGTGCCGCGGGGGAGGCATCCAATCAATATGGCGCCCGGCCACAATACGCCTCTCGTACCAGGTATTCCATAAGAAAAAATATAACTTTGGTATGGATCTTAGTTCTGAAACACCCTGAATATTTCAAAATTATTTTAAATTGTGCACATTGTCTCCCCATATATACCCATAAAATATTTTGTTTCCACATCTTTACATTTTCGTATAATCAACCTAGGCAAATGAGGTGCGCCACCCTGTTATATTTGTATAAGATATTTAGATTGGTATATGGTATTTAGTGCTAAAGTCTACCCAACAAGTCAGGAAATATTTTGACAGATGACATCTTAAAAATTACAGAAAATACAATTTGCCTATGAATTAAAATTATAGACACAACTGTCACTATCAGGGATACTCTCGTTAGACAGACTATAGTTTCAAAAAGAATACATGTCCAATAATGTGAAGGTGTAGCAGTGAATATTACTTTTGTCTCGCTTTTACAAAGTACTGGACCACCGTATGAAAAGTTTGCTTCGTTAAAGCCGGTCCTACACGAAGCGTCAAATTGTAACCAACATTTGGCCCAGGTGTAGACAATATTGCAGTTGATTTTTGTGTCTTCTATACGATGTGGCAAATGTTTATGTGTCCAACGTTGGAAGGTGTTTGTCACATCGTGTGGGACCGGCTTAAGACAGAAAATTTACGGAACTTATTCAATAATTTATTAAATATTAATTACTTAACGTAATTTGAGTTTCAGCTGTTCTTGGATGGTACGTGAATTACGTTAGAGTTCAAATTGTAAAACTCAAGACAGATGTAGAAACAGCCAACGTGAGTGAACGCAAATATTAAAAAAGGTTATACAATGTATTTTTTTATTTTTCTAGACTCAAGTGAAGAATATTATCGATGCTAGGCTGGATACTCTTTACAAAATAAGTGAAATCGGCAACGAAATTAAGGATTTAAGACAAAGCCAAAGTAATAACGGAGTATATATAGTCTGTCCAGCAAAAGAATATATATGACATTGACAGATATTGTTATAGTTATTTAGTTCTTATAAAGAAAGTATATTAGCCTCTTGCTGGATAGACTATACTTTCATTTTAAGTGACGTATTTTCTGTTTTAATGTGATTGCAGATAATTTTAGACAATCTGTACAAAAGATGGTAGAGAACGAAATTAACAAGATGTACAGTGATAAGACAGGAAGAACAGATTTTGCGTTAGAATCAGCAGGTATGATTAAAAATATCTACATCTTGCTACTAATAACAAGGAATAAATCCTTAAGGAAAAGTTTATTCTTTTAGGAGGAAGAATTGTTCAGTTATCGCCTGGTACAGAAAACTATGGACAGCCAAAAAATTCCCTGCTTGGAATCTCACTGTGCGAAGGAATGCATGGACCCAGGGCAATGATTCAGGTTTAACTATCTTTATGATAAAATTCAAACAACAAAAGATTAATTAAATTGTCCTATAATGACACGACTATTGATAGTATACCCATCATACACAGTGACACAAACTCTTCTGGAAAAAAATGGGAATCATCATCCAAGCATTTATTCTTCGAATACATCAATAAAAAATATGTTATGTTATCACTCAGCGGCCTTGGTAATAACTCATAAATCCCTAGTATTTATTTTTACACAGTTTTATCGACTGTAACTTTATTAATAGCTCGAAGATTAAAAAAAATTTCTAGGAAGTGGGACATTTTAAATATTGTCAGTCCACAAGATAGCAAAAGTTCACTGTAATTGTTCAATGTCTTCTCTTCGAAAATTTAACAAATAAAAATAATATTTGGTGATTTTATTTAAAGATATACTTTCTATTGGTGTAGTACAAAGGAAAGTCATCTATATAAATTATGTCTGTCCAAGAGTCAGGGATGATTTAGACAGTCGACATTTAAAAAATTAGCGAAAATTTAATTTACCTGTAAATAAAAATAACTGTCACTGTCGTGTATTTTCTCTTTATTTATTTATTTATTTATTTCATAAACGCCAGAGGCATTCAACAAAAAATACAATTTGAACAGATAATAGATAATATAAAAATTATACAAAATACAGAAATAATAGATTCCATAAACTAAAAAAAAAATAATAATGAGAAAAAAATAGCAAAGGCCAAGCATAGTCTACAATTCATTCCTGAAAACAATTACATTTCTAGCACGGTTTTTAAATATACTTAAGGAATTACAAAAATAATCCAAGTCGTACCCATTCACACTTCTGGAAATTCTATTTGCAGGGCAATTTTGTGCATAAAAAGTTGAATATGTTCTTAAGTGCAGCAACGATTGTGACCTCAGATGTCTTGGAGCAATGTGAAAGTCGAAATTTGCCAAACAATCTGGTGAATCGATACGATTCGATATTAGTTTGTAGAAAAAACATACAGTCAGATAATCCCATCTAAGCTCCAACTTTTGGAAGTTCAGATACCCCAAAGTCTCAATCATATTCAACAGAATGTTATTCTTACTAAGGAAGAAATTCATATATTTTAAAAATTTTTTCTCAATTTGGAAAAATCTACTTTTATGTGTTTCATAATGTGGCATCCAGATTATGGAAGAGTACTCTAGTGATGATCTTACTAGGCTGTTATATAATGTCTGAGGACGGGTCTAAAAAATCTTTGGTATTTCTAAAAATAAACCCCAAATTCCTGTTTGCCTTCGATATTAAATTGTCATAATGGTTGTTAAAATTTAATTCGTAGTCAAGCGATATTCCAAGATCCTTAACAGTGTACACTCTGATTAAGTTGGTGTTATTAATAGTATACGTTACATCAAACTTATACTTTCGCCCCTAATAAAAATAATAAAAGAGCACTTATTAATGTTTAGTTTGAGTTTATTGTCCACACACCAGTCATTGAGTAGATCAATATCACTCTGCAGTTCCATAGAGTCTGAAATAGTTTTTATGTCCCGGTAAATCTTTAAGTCGTCTGCAAATAATAAGTGTCGACTAGTAAATTTATTTCCAATATCGTTTATAAAGATACTAAATAAAATTGGTGCAAGATGGGAACCTTGCGGCACTCCAGAGAAAACTCCATAACGATTGGACAAACTCCCCTTTACTTTCACTTGCTGGGTTCTGCCTGTAATGTACGATTTAAAAAAATCACATAAGGGACTACGAATACCATAGGCATGTAATTTTACTATTAGAATTTCGTGATCCACTAAATCAAAAACTTTACAAAAATCAGTGTATATTGAATGGACTTCGGTTTTATCGTTCATAGATTGCAGAACAAAATTTACGTACGGAAACATATGTTCGAAGCCGTAGATCTGCCTCCAAAGAAACCATGCTGAGTAGTTACAATAATATTTTTAAAACAATTAGTTAATGTTGGAATTAACATTTTTTCAAGTAATTTTGGAATAGCAGACTGAATGCATATTGGACGATAGTTACTGATGGATGATTTGTTGCCGGATTTGAAAACTGGAGTGACAAAGGAATGTTCCCAGTCAATTGGAAATGCCCCAATAGACACACAGCGATTAAAAATAAAACATAGAGGTTCACAAAGGCTTACTGCACATTCTCTTAAAAATAGATTGGGAAGACCATCAGTGGTCCAGGTCCTTTGTTGATTTTTAAATTTAACATAGTACTGAGCAGATCATCATATTTAATTTCAATATTAGATAGGTTAACATCGATTTCAGATCATTTTTTCGATTTTTTTTGACTTGGCTTATAGACATTTCCAAAGTAATCCGCAAACAGATTGCTAATTTCCAACTTATCTCATGCAAATTTATCGTCCCAGGTCATTTTGTAAGGTAGCTCCTGACAATAGTTGTTTTTATTTTTAATGAAATTCCAGAATTGCGATGAGTCAGACTTAATACTCTGTTCAGCTCCTTTTACAAAATTGTTATAACAAGTCTTACTTTTAAATTTACAAATTTCGCGCAAAGATGAGAATTCATAGTAATAATGTTCATCTATTGTTTCCTTATATAGTTTATGCATGATCTTTTTCTTTTTGATTGTATTAATTAAGTCTTTATTAAACCATGATGGAAAGGTACTTTCTTTTAAACAGTATTTAGGGATACACTTCTCAATTACATAATAATTTCGTCAATATTTTTTAAACTATAAATCACTGTCCAATTTATATCTAATAACATATTATTCAATTGTCCATAATTCGCTTTTTTAAAATTATAGAAGTATTGTTCTTTATCAGGACACACTCTTGATGTTGTTTCTATAGTTAGTCCTATTGCCGGGTGAAAAAATCTTCATTTACGAGGGGAGTACATTTATTAACTGTTGTTTGAATGTCAGTTAGACAGAGATCAAGTATGACACCAAAAGTGTTTCTAATATAATTTAATTGAAATAATCCTAAAATTGACAACTCATCACAAAAGGCAATTTCTTTTAAAGAAGTGGCATTTTTTGCACATTCGTCAAGAGGATCCCACTGTAAATTCGGTAGGTTATAATCTCCGAAGTTACAAGTTTTACAGTTAGTATATTTACTCATAATATGATTGACGTCTGACATATGATTTGTGTAACTTTCTAAAGGAGAGTTTGGTGGTATATAAGTACAACCAACTATGTATTGAGAACGGTTATATGTAAAATTAATATAAACTTGTTCAACATTATTGTTTGTGGAAGATGTTTCCACAGCATTAAAAATGTTCTTACATGCTATTAGGACTCCCCCTCCGCGATTTTTAGAGCTTGTAGTGCTGCTCCTATCTTTCCTGAATACGGAATATGAAGAGTCCACCAATTCACCATCGTTAAAATTCTCGTTCAGACCACTTTCACTCACACAAATAATTAGTAGTGGGAACTATCGAATGAATACTATCGAAACATTCGATAGTTGCAATTCATTCGAATAATTCGATAGCTAGTAAGAAAACATTCGTCGAAAACTATTCGAATAAAAATATCGAATAGATGCGTCATCTGCCTTGAAATATATTAATTCGGCAGCAAAAACCATTCATTTATAAAATTCATTCATTTGTAAAATTCATTTATTCGTCAGAAAAATATAAACTGGATTTTAGTTGTCGCCCCGGCGACGTAGGTTTCTTTCCTAGAAACCCGACAGCGGTCGGCGGTCGGTGGCAATGGTATGAAAAAAGCCGGCATCTTTGATTTTGAGTCAGATAAAGATAAGGACACATTATTTTTTTTATTGAGGTGCTAGTATTTACACAGAAAATACATTACGAACGGCGCTGTTGCCGTATATTCGTATTAGTTGGTATTAGCGAAGAATATTATTCTTTGGTATTATAGTTAGTTAGGGATAGTATGACTATATATTTTGCATTTTTTTTTATTAATATTCTGTTGTTACACTGCAATAATACTTTTTATTTTGGATGTAGGAAAATGATTTTTAATGTTTTTAAGCAAAACAGGTTTAATAAATAATAATAACAGTAATAATTTGATATACCTATTAACACCAAAATTTAAAATCATTTAATATAAACATTTTTTTAAGTAGTAGCAAAATATAAACAACAAATTAGAAGTCAAAATTATTTATATTAGATCCTATTTAAAAATAATATAGTCTTTAATTTTTTTGTGGCAACGTTGGTTTATTAAATAATAATAATTACAGAACTAATTTGTTATATTAACAACAAATTTTAAAATCATGAAATATAAACATTTATTAATTTTCTAAGCATGCAGTGTAATAGAAGAAAAATATAAATAAAAAATTAGGAATCAAAATTATATAATATGTATATTACTTTTTATTACTTTGTATTAGTATTTAAAAATAATATTTGCTTTTACTGGCATTTACTTTAAAAAATAAATGAAATATTTCTTCGCAAAAATCTACATGTAAGAGAATTACCATAAACAAAATACAAATATCGTTAACTTTTTTTTAAATTGGCACGTGTAAAACTTTAATCAATCAATTTAATTTTCTCATCCCAAAATTTGAGTTTCATAACAATTTACTTAACCACATTACCACATTACTTACATATGATTATTAAGTTCAACTGATTCATATTACTAAAACATCTAAAATACAAATACATAATATGTATTTTTAAAATTAATTGTAAGTTCACCTCCTCTCTCTTAAAAATTGTTACTTCTCAAAATTTCCCATTAAAAAATAGACCATATACCGTATAAAATTAAATAATTGAATGATCGGAAAATCACACAAATTTTCGGAAAAATTTTGACCACCTGCACACGTACACAATCGTCAATTTAAAAAAAAACACTACTACTTTAGTATTTTAAATGTTTTAATAAACGCAAAAATAGCACAGTATTTAGAAGGCAAGTTATAAAAATTTGGAAGAACTAATAATGCACTAACGCAGACAAAAATCAAACGAATACTAAATTTCATTTTTCAAAAGCATTCGATAGTCGTGGCTAACGATAACCATTTAGTCGCACGGCGAGGTTTTCACATGCTTTAGTATACAAATGAATGAATGATTTTATTCGAATGAAACCATTCGATAGTTGAAATCATTCATTCAGTAACCATTCGATAGTCTAATTCATTCGATAGTTCCCATCGCTACAAATAATATCATAATCCGAAATTGCAACTGATAACAAAAAGTCCCTGCACTTGGTGCGAAGGCCGCGAACGTTTTGATAACAAACTGAAATTGATTCTTTATTGCCACCTCCGCCATTCAAAAATTTGTCTTCTCAACTATCCTTGGACTGCCATTCACATATTTGATTGTTTTGGTTGAACACCCTTCTTCTTGCAATTTTCTTAAATCCTCTCTCACCTTTCTCAAATGTTCCTGCTGCATCCTCGTCAAATCAGACTTGAAACTTGGACCAGAAAGGATTTAGAAGGCTATATGAATAAGATTAATTTTTTTTTCTATTCTATATTTGCACAAAATAGACAATATAACACACAGATTGAGATTAGCATAAATATGCATTAAATGACTAGAAATATGTAGTAGAGATCTGGTATATACAGATTGTTATAAATATAATAATCTAGTAAATATATGTTTAGTTCAAAAATTGATTTTTTATCTTTTTTTGAATATCTTCTGTAATAAATGTGTATTCTCTTCCTTGACAAACTATAGATACTGATAGTGTACTCTCAGACATTAATTAGGAATGTTTATTTAGACTGGTACATCCCCTGGAGAATGTTGGGCATTCAAAGGGTCAAATGGTGGAGCTGTTATTAAGCTTCTGGGCAAGATCAAAATTGATGCTATCAGTTTGGAGCACATATCGAAAACAATATCGCCTTCTGGAGATTCGACCACAGCGCCCAAAGATTTTACAGTTTGGGTAAAATAATTTATATTAATACACATCTGCAACTATGTATCTTCGCTAAAAACCTCGATTTGCACTAAATTCATCCATAAATTTAATAAAAAAAAACTAGTCAAGTGCGAGTCGGACTCGCGCACGAAGGGTTCCGTACCATTCATTATCTATACAATATTAGACACTATATTATTATAAACTTTTTTTTCCGATTTAACTGAAATTTTGAATGCGCGTATAAGTAATTTAAAAAAATGAAGAAACACATTTTACTAAAAATTGTATTAACCAATAATAAATATGTAAAAAGTAAATATAAATATGTAAAAATATATATAAATTAAAAAAAAACGATTTAAAAAAAGTCGCCTTGACTAGAATTCGAACCTGCCTTACTACGGCTTGCTACGGCTCCAACGTCATAGCAGCGTAAAGTCCTAACGCTTTAACCACGCGGCCACAGAGAACGTGAAAAATTTTATATAAAATTCTTACTTATAAAAGATAATGTTTAGTGAAAGTACTTTTTTATTTATAAACATTTATTTAATTCTGTTTTTAGTATTTTTTCTTATAGAGGCAACATAGATACATTATCTGTAAAAATTTCAAACTGTCTAGCTATAACGGTTAAACTTCATAAGATAGACCTTTGTAACAGACGGACGGACAGCGAAGTCTTAGTAATAGGGTTCCCGTTTTTACCCTTTGGGTACGGAACCCTAAAAATATTTGTCTTTTTTAGGGTTTGAAGACTCCAACAGATAGAGGAACCCTTTTAGGACAGTATTCGTATAATATCGAAGGTCCTTTAGTACAGACGTTTACTTTAGCTACTAAATCAGATGAGACCTACGAGTTTGTAGAACTGAGAATCATTTCTAATCACGGAAATCCAGACTTCACTTGCATATACAGGTTTGAAATGTATTTATTAATTTACTCATTGAATCCTAAATATGTTTATAATTATAGGACAAGCATTACTTACCTGGTCAAATTTGAACCACTGTTCTAAAAAAAGCATTTTAGGTTTCCTGTTTAAGTCTAAAATTAATTTTTTTACAAAATATTCTGTTTAATTCAAATGGAATGTTTTTCAGATTTAAAAGATTACAATTTTTCTCTGAAAATATTTTAAATCGCTCTGTATACGTGCCAAAAATAAATGTTATCATTGTCTATTCGCTATAAAAAAATATATTTTTTTTGGTACTGGGGGCATCCTGTATATTTTTGAAAGTTCTCTAATTATTTCTTGTACATAAAATTGCCATTTTATATGGAGGTAGGTATGTCCCCGGATTGTCTTTACACATATGAAGAATGCATTTTTCTCAAATAGTCAATAATAAAAAAGGTTTTCCTCTTGTAAAGACAATCCGGGGACATGCTGTAGAGTAGAAATGGTGCATTTTGGCTTATTCCTAAGACTTATTCTATTAATTATTTATTTTTATTTCATTAACTTGTTTCAGATTTAGGGTTCATGGTGAAATGGAAATGCGAATGGAAGAGAAATAAACAGAATTTGTAGGTGTTCTAAGCTGTATTTATTTTATTTTTATATTGACAAAAAATATAATAATTTTACACAGTTTTTTTTTTATTTTATGTTACGTCAAAAAACGCCAATTGCTTCTTATCAAAGTTTCATTGGACGGTCACAAAAAGATTGTTTATCAACTAATAACTAAATTCGCATCATTAGTGAAGAATTTTGAAGAAAATTATAATTAAAATGCGTTTTATCAATATCCGTTATTTTTAGGATTTTTATTTTTAGGAATACTAATCTATAAAATTATGTGGGCATGTGTAATAATTTATTTAAGTACAATATCCGGAAAAATGTTTTAAAATAATGAAGTTTGAATTAAAAAAGAAAAACGTGCAAATATAATAAAAAAAGAATAAAAATATGTTTAGGAAAACAACACATTTACATTTAATATTATGGACAGTCAAAAAATATTAAAACTATTTTTTTTGTAAAAATATTTTTAGATTTTTATATAGTGTTCATTGCGATCTCCATATTAATAAATATTTATTACAGCTGTTTCTCGACAATCTAATAACAAAATAATACCATTTTTTATGCCATATTAAAACTAGAAATTTTTCAAAGTGGAATGTATTCTGACATTTAACCTAGACTCAAAATCGTAACGACTGTATTTTTCTATTTCCTGCAAAAGCGCTCTTCCTTCTTCACGTGTCTGAAATAAAAAAGTTTACATAAATAATTTAAAATACAGGGTGGCCCAAAATGCATTTGGAAAACTTCGGCAGCATATTCTACAAATAAAAATAGGTAAAAAAAGTTAGTATAAATGTATGTCCTAAAATGCTTCCTTTCGGTGAGCCAGGGTGTAGAACTTTTTTTTTAACCAAACCAAGTAAAAATTTCTACACCCTGTATTTTTACCTATTTTTATCGGTAGAATGCCGGGTGTTGCATCGTCGAGCGGGACATAGGAAACCCATGTAAACTTTAATGGGGTCAATTATTGACTTCCCTAATTATTTTAGAGAATAATTCTATTTAGGTTTATTGAAGAGCACTAAAACCCACATTCAAAAGAATAACTTTAGATATTTTTGATTAGCCCGTTTACGAGTTATTGCCGATTTCTTTTTAAATATTTCTCCATTCTTATGGCCCTGTATTTACTTATGAGCGCCAGTCAAGGTATAAGATAACTGTCAAATGAAGTTGTTATTTCAGAAACTTATCATTTAGTGCTTTATTATTATTATTAAAAACTCATACCTACATCGAAAATATTAGCCATGAATTACACTAGCGAAGAAAAAGTATTGATGATTAAATGGTATTATGAAGGAAATAGTTATCAAAAGGTGTCGGACATGTTTGCTGCTCTGTATCCGAATAGACCGATACCTGGAAAATCTACAATCGCAAGGAATATCCAGAGATTTGAGACCAAAGGTACCCTAATAAATAACTGCAGATGTGAAGCAAGGCAGGAACAACGAGAAGATGCAAGAAATGATACTGACTTGGAAGTTTTATTGTGCGTGGAAGAGAACGATGGAAAGATCAGCACAAGAAAACTTGAGGATGAAATAGGAATAGATCACACTACAGCGTTTCGAATTTTGAAACGACATAAATACTATTCCTTCAAATATGAAAAGAACCTAGAGCTACGAGATGGGGACGAAATACGGCGGCAGGCGTTTTGTTTTGATATGATGGAAAGAGCAAACACGGATAGGGAATTTTTAAAAAACATACGTTTCACTGAAGAATGCACGTTTACCTTAAATAATGAACCCAATGTTCAAAATTATCGGTATTGGAACAAAGAAAACCAACACAGGTTTGTCGAAACAAGGACGAAATATCCACAGAAAGTAAATGTTTGGGCAGGGATATTCGGACACAATATTATCGGGCCATTATTTCTTACGCGAAATTTAACTGCAGAATATTATTTGGAACTACTCGAAAATCATATTTTACCTGCTTTACATGATGCCGCTAGGGAAAATCAGGAAGTTTGGTACCAAATGGATGGCTGCCCGGCACATAGTACCCTGGCTGTTCGGGAATATTTAGACAATAGTTTTAACGAAAACGTTATTGACCTAAATCATACAGTAAATTGGCCAGCAAGGTCTCCTGATATTTCGCCAAATGATTTCTTTCTCTGGGGCCATTTAAAAAACAGGATATACCAGGATAAAAAATACTCAAATCTAGACGAGTTAAAAAATGCTATTTCTGCCAAATGCAATAGAATTTCAGTTTACCAACTAGCGAATGTAAGAAGAGAATTTTATGATCGCCTGGGTTATTGTCTAGCAGTCGATGGAGGAATATTTAAACATCTTAAATCCTAAAGTTCTAACAATTTAATAGTACCTATATTAATTATTTAATAAATTATTAATTTTTAAAGTTATTGAATATTGTAAAAATACTATAATTAACCTTGAAATTGATTACTTTATTTTACTTTAATTCATATTAATTTGTATTTATAAATACATCTTTAAGATATCCGATGTAGGAATGAGTTTTCACTAATGATAAAGCACTAAATGCGAAAATTTCTGAAATGACAACTTCATTTGACAGTTACCTTGACTGGTGCTCATAAGTAAATACAGGGCCATAAGAAAGGAAAAATATTTAAAAAGAAATCGGCGATATCTCGTAAACAAGCTAATCAAAAATATCTAAAGTTATTGTTTTCAATGTGGGTTTTAGTGCTCTTCAATAAACCTAAATAGAATTATTCTCTAAAATAATTAGGGAAGCCAATAATTGACCCCATTAAAATTTACATGGGATTTCCTACGTCCCGTCCGACGATGCAACACCCGTATACTACTGCCGATGTTTCTCGAAAAAAAATCGGACCACCCTGTACAACGTCTCTGAATCGAAGTTCCGTATAACAATTGAATAAAAAAAGTAAGGAAGGGATCACATTTTTTTGTTACTTTTAATTTGATTTTTGTCTTGATAGCTCTTGACATATGTATGTATTTAAATGTTTTACAAATTTGAAATATATAAGCAATACCAATTAAACATTCAGTTACGTAATAGAGAACACGCGCTTTTTAAATTCATTGTTGGCCAACCATGGACATATTCAGCGCCGGGCTGACTAACTGGAATTTAAATTTCCTGCTGGGGATTCAGGTAGTAGCTCTGCTGTAAAAAATTTCAAGCTGCCATATTAATTTATTTATTTCCTGACACTGCCATTTGTTTTGACACTTTAATTTTGTATTACGAGTTTTTGGTTTAAATGAATTGGGTTGTGATACTTTAAGCTTAAAATTTTTTACTAGCAGACCTCGCAGTCGAACATTGTTCTTTTTAGAACCTCTTTTAGTGCGAATCGTATAAAGATAGCTTAATAGCCATTGCAAAAAACTCATCGCAACCTTATTGGAATATTTTGAACGGGAAAGCAGTAGTAATGGCCGTTTATGTCCCTCAAGTGCTGTTAAGGAGGTAAGTTTTGTTGATGTAAATAATAACTGTTTATATATTTATAATTAATTTATTTTTGCTTCCTAAAATATTTTGATTAAAAGAAAATATTTAAAAGTGGGCAACGCTGTGCCGGTCAAGCATAATCACGTTACTAAAAGTTTATTTGGTTATGATCTATCTGAGTTATGGTTTTCTGTGTTAATTTTTTATTATTTCTTATTTAAATAAATAGAAATAAAATCTGTTTGTAACAAGCTGGAATCAAAATAGAGACATCTAAAATATGTTTAGTAATAACAAATACACTGTATTAACAACGCTCACCTGATCGTTTTGTATCAAAATGAAACCTAGTTCAAACTGAGAAAAAGCGGAAATGTGAGCATCGACAGCATCATTAAGTTCGGCAGATCTCCTTTCCAAGCATTTCCTAAAGGATTTTACGGCATCTTGGTTACGTTTTTCAATAGTGTAACAACTGCCCAAAATTAAATTTGAAAGACCAATCCGTGGTTCGCCTTTAGAAGTATCCACATGTTCGCAATCTGAAATGTTACATGAATTGATTTTACATATGTTTGATGACAGGTATATTTTATAGTCTTTATCTTTTATAAATTTGACATTTCTTTCTATCAATTATTAGTCCTTAAATAGAATTTAAAGAAATTTATAAAAAATTGCACTCTGAATAGAATGACATATCATATGTCAACTTTTGACATTTTCTCATATGGTTTATTTGAAATTGTAACATGCAGTTCATAACGATAATTTGACTCGTAATATTATTCGTAAAAAATGCCTTTTCCAAATATGCTAATGAGCAACCCCCGTTCCAGTTGAAAAAGTTAGATATGATTAAAAATACGATTTGGGCATCTTTTAACCGGCCTGGACAAGACAAGAAAAACATTAGACAATCAAATCTATTTCTCCAAGGCTCATTGATTAAAAATTAGTGTTTTTAACACAGCCATGGCACTCTAGATTGAAATTTAAAATACGATTTTTTTTGAAGCAAAAATGTCAAAAGTTGACGTATGATATGTCATTATATTCAGAGTGCTTAGTTAGTGTCATTTAAAAATCAAAAATCGTAGTTATTTCCGGTGAAACAGGAAGTAACCATAAACAATAGAATACGTCAATCAATCCTTAGTCATATATTAACATATCAAATCTCGTTTTTTTTACCTAAAAAAATAAAAAAGTTATAGTGGAGAATATTTTCATTTTCCCTATTATTAAAATGTTCTTTCTCTTATTAGACCATAACTACCCATGACGACAGGTAGCTAATATATTTCTTATTTTCATAACTGAATGGCAGACTATATTATAAGAAATAGAAAAGAATAATATTCGTAGTTTTAAAAAAATATACCGGAATATGTATGGGGTGTATACAAAACAAAATTAAACAATGAGGAAGATGCATATATTTTATTTTTCGCCAGAAACTGTTCAATTTATTAGAATAAATATGTGTAAATGCAAAAAAAACTTTTTTCTTGAAAGCAATACCACAATTTTATAAAACAGGCCATTAAAATACTATAGATAACGCAAACAACGCACATTGGTTCAGATTCAAAAAAAATCGACGCATAGGGGTCAAGAAAAAAATTTCGAAAATTTCAACAATGTTATTATTTTCAATAGATGATGGGTCCCTTTATTCAAATTTATCACGATCCACTTTTTAATCGTAATAAAAAAGCGTACAGGCATGTTGTTTTCGTTAGATTTTGTAGTTTAAATATATCAGTTATTTGCTGATAATGGTTTAGTGTTGCTAATATATTTTGGTTCTTAATTCAGAGACTTGGAAATAAATTAAATTATAATGGATTTTGAAGACCAAGGTAAGTACTTTTTAAGAGAATTTTATTAACTTAAATATTTTTTTATGAAGCGAGTAGTTACCACAAACATAGTAGGAGCGTTTTTTTGAAAAAAATTAAACTTTGAAATTGCGTATCTTTAGAACTCCGCAGATTTCCGCTTCTGTATTTTATAATTTTTAAAAGGTATAATACCTTTTAAAGCCAAACCAAGTTTAATTTACCACAAGTATCTTACCCCAAGAGATCCCGAGGTAGATGATATATAAATTAGAATTTTAAATTAACCAGTAGACTTATTTTTGTTCCATGGATAATTTCTTAAATTATTATACTAATATTTTTTGAGTAACTCTGGAGTGGTAAAAGTGTAACTATAGAGACTCACATGTTTCTCCCGTACTCTATTCCTTTTATTTTTAGGAACAATAAGCCGCAGATCAATATGTGAGAGGTTTTTGAAAATGGGTTTTAATAATAGGTCAGAAGCGGATATTATTGATGAAATTATTTCATTTTTGTGTGATAATAATATTCCTAACATATTATCAAAAAAAAGCAAATTGAAAATTTTGTTTATAAATGGTCAGAAAAGTGGAGGAAATGTAATTATACTTGGAGCAGTTTTATTTCCAACAATTGTCTCTGGCTGAATAAAAATTTACTTCAAATGAAAGAAAATCAATCTTTTGATGACCCTGGCCCTTCAAGATGAATTTTTTTTTCAGAATTGTCCAACTCCCAAAAAAATAAAGAGATCAAAAGTATATATTGCCAAGGAATTATTTTATAATATCTTACAGAAGAAAACATGTTTTTTTATTCACATAATGCTGCAAATATTGCATTATTGATTTTAATTAATGGCAAAGATTAAAAATCAATTTATTTCTAGGAATTAGAGATTCTTATACCTCTGAAGTTCTGGCATATGCTACAGTTTCTAATTTAAGGAAGGAACATAAAAATGAGACGGCAAAAGAAGTCCGAATATTATTGTCAATCAGATAGTGAAGAGGAACTAGAAGAAAGTGGTGGTGAATCATGTCATGAACAAAATGAGTTTGAATACTCCATTTAAGGTATATTGCAATTTATGTTTTTTCTTTAATTTAGACCAGTTAATCTAATGGGTATTCTTTTTTTGACTAGGTTCGAAGCATTTTTCAAACCATAATTTTTAAATAAAATTCATAGAAAATCCCCATTTATTATTATTTTTATACTAAACAAACATAGTCTGAAATATATTTTGTTTATTCCTTGGACTACACTTTGTCGTGTTAATAAATCCGCCATTAAACCTACTAAGTCTAAAATTTGTAATAAAATTAAAAATATCCTATGCGCCACTTTTTGGCAATCTGAACCACTGTGCGACGCCTCGCGAATTGAAACGATATTCTATTGGTCTGACGTCACCCGCCGTTCTCGTCGACGCGCGATGGCCAGCAGCAGCCAGACGTGTTCCGTTTATGTACGTATTTAGGTGGCGTACTAAGACATTTTTGTTGCTTTTAGCGTTGATTGAAGGAGCTTTTTATGCTTTTTTGTGCAGTTATTATTTGTATGTGTTGTGTGTTCTGAGAATTTTTTAAGTAATGGCAGATTCCGGCTTTGCAAAAGCACAATCAGATGCTTTTATGTTGGCTGCTTTTATAAATACAAATTCCCAATTTATTGGTGCTGAATTACGAGGATAAAAACAAAGAGGTATGTAACATTTATTCTTTGTAGTACTGAGGCATATTTAAGTATAAGTAGGTACCTACTGTTACGAACTTTTATATAGTTATAAATTAATGTTATAAACTTATTTTTCAGATCAGGTAAAGAGACGTATGGAGATAATGCTGTAGGTTATGTAGAAGTGAAAAGAGACAAAAATATTTGTTTAGTACGTGGAAAAATAACTCTAGAGCATAGCGTGAAAAAGAAAGTTTTTTTTTATATATTGACACCCCCTTACCCTTGTTATTTTTAAAGATTGTTTTTTTACGAAATTATAGGAAATAAATTGTAGTAATGAAAATATTATACAAGGTGTCCCATAAGCAAACGCCAAAATTATGTACTATACTTTTATAAGTGATATGCTGATATATACTTTTAGAAGTATTGATGATTGAAGAGTGAAGTATTGATGATTGAAGAAAATTGATGATATATACTTTTAGAAGTATATACTTTTTTAAGTGAAACACCCTATATATTTTTGGATTCTTCGGAAATATCTAGATATTCTAGATACATTTCATGTATAATATCCTATACCTATCTTCAAATGTTTACGAAATATTGACAGTTGAAAAGCGAAAAATACGTACAATTTTCTGGACCACCTTTTTTGAGACACCCTGTATAACTAGAATTAATTTTAAAAGAGAGTATATGAAAAACCATGCAACTTTCTTATTTAATGTTTTCTTCTAAAACTTGCAGTTAAGGCTGTATGTGGGTGTCAAAATATAACGAATAACCCTGTACATTCAAATTTCATATACCTATGTAAGACAATATACATAAATATATGAACTTACATCAAAATGATCTTCACAACAATAAATCGTAAAAATAGAGGATAATTTAACGTTTTTCTTTTCATCTCTTCTCTTGGCGTTGGGCCATTTTTTTCTGTTTTCGCTCATCCATTACTATTTATAAATATCACTAATTACTAATTATGTATTCATTAACACAAATAACTAAAATTTTGACTCGGATTCAACAGCGTTTAAAAGCAAACGTAAAATAAACACGCGTCTGGCTCCACTCAACCAGAAGAACGGCGGGTGACGTCACAGCGGCAAGGCGCCATAGAGAGCGTTTGCCCGGCCATTTAAATTAACAATATTTAATTATTTTATATTAGAAGCATTTCTTAACCGATATCAACGATTTTTTTTGTTCAATTTGTAATTATATGAACTATTTTTTAAAACCATTATTTAAAAACATGCATTTTCCTCATTGTACCTGAAATAATGTTCTGTATATTTGAAGTGGTACAGCTGGCCAAAGTGTTCCAAAGGTAAAGCATCTCGAAAACCAGAAGCCTGAAATACAGTGGATCGAGTTTTTTGGCCGATTCTGCATCTTTGGGACAACACTGGAAACGTCTGTTTAAAAATTCATCTAGTTGGCCTCCTCTAGTACCACCAGAACACAGCTGGAAGTCGTCGAATAAGCTATAGCTTTGTATATCTCGAGTAGCACCTAAAAATGAATAATATTTTGAACTAAAGTCTGTCCATTGAGACAAGTGAGAGTATCTTTAATTTTAGTACCAAACTAGTTATTGTATTTTATGTCATTTTCTGGATATCTGTTATCTCAGATACTGGTTTTTGTCAAAGCTTTGACACTGTATGATATATCTCAATGTTATATCTCAAGAAAGAGTGACACAATAGGTTTTAGAAATAAGGTCTAATCATACAATTTACATCTACATCTAGAATATTTATATAAATAAAAATAAAACAATTACCTGCACATATTGCTGCTAAATACAGATAAAAGGCCCTGGACCATCTACTAGCGCACTTTAAATACAAAAAGGTATTTTTGGCGTTGTCATAATCCAGTTGGATAAGATAGCACCATCCTATTTCGTGAAGACATAGAATTTTGATCTCTCTGTGATTAGCATGCTCATTGGCTCGTTGAAAACACGACAAAGCCTGATTTATATTCGACTAAAAATAAAAGCATAATATTTTTTAGTACCATATATTTTCAATAAAGTATTTAAAATGTCAGGTATTGAATTACAAATATGGACTCAAGTTTTAATTAGGGCATAGAACAGGCAGAACCTTTGAATAAGAAGACTAAGGCAGGAGCATATGAAAAATCTTAGGTCCACGGCGATGAGCCACAAATATGGCCGACTTAAATTCCGGTTTATCAGTGCCGTTCTAATTTTATTTAAAAAATGTAAAATTATGATGTAGGGTAGACGTGGGGTAGACTCAATATTTTTTTTTTATTTTACGTTGTGAATAAATGTTGGTAGTTATTAAAATTGTTATAAAAATATAAAATTCTAATAAAAATGAATAAGTTATAATAATTATTTATAACCATAAACATCCGATACGCTACTGAAGCAGGTAAGTCAAATTGACGTATCTAAATTCTTTGACATCTAATCTTTGACAAGTAGTAAATAAAAGCAAAAATGCAAGAAAAAATATATAATTAGTTAATTTAAGTGAATTTCATAAATGATCGGTTTACTACACGTATGTATATTATATAGTCACTTACTAGCGAAAAGATGTTCCATTATTTCACTCGATTTTTGCCGAGATCTACCGCACGCTATACAACCAACAATTTTAGAGTCTTTTTCGATAAATCGCGATAGTGTCACTGTTAATTTAAGTTCTGCCACAATTTCCATCTAGATTTACTACCTTTATACAACTATCAGTAGTAGAATAAATAATAAATAACATAAAATAAGCTCCCTAAAGACTGATAAATCCCCTAAATTTCAAATCAAATTCAAATGTGTCAAATGAATCGTCAAACAGAACTGTCAAGGATCCCCACCCTAGAGTCCTTTTTCCGCCCACCATGCATGAATAAATACATGGATAGCATTATGATCCTTCCTTAAGCTTGATTTTCATGCGTCCGTTGTCCGTTGATACGATGGTCCGATATTAAATTTATTGGTTGACTTTAAAGACTTCAATTGGTTAGAAACGGTTAACCAATCGAAGTGTTTACATTCAACCAATAAAATTAATATCGTATCGTCGGACAACAGATGCATGAAAATCAAGCTTTTCTCTTCTTATTCAAAGGGCAGAACAGATTACTAAAAGCTATTGACATCCTATGTCAATCATTATTTGCTATTCAGTTCTTTGGTTTTTCAGATTGTATACAGGGTATCCGACAATATTCCGTGAACATAGAACTACTACGTTTTATTAGAGTAAAAATAAGTACATTGGACCAAAGTGAGCATCAAACATTAAAAAATAAACACATTTTTTGAGATATTTTAAGAAGAGTTATTCCTATTTGAATGAGAGCGCTCTAACATTTGACATGAACAAAAATTAAGAAAAAGTACGGTGAGGGTGAATACTACCCCCACCCCTACATATATTTTAGTAGAAATATTTTCCAACTCCACCGACGCGACGACTGATTTTTTTTTGTAAAAAAGTCCTTCTAGTATTTACTAGTTTTTTTTATTAGTTACTAGTTACTACTTCTGTAGTTATTTTGATTTTAAAAATACGTAGTAGTTCTATGTCCACGAAATATTAGAACAGCGTGTATACATTTTTATCTATACTTACGTTCAATCTATTTGTTCTTCCGGCAAAAAATAGAAATAAGGCAGAGTTGGAAAATTCCTTTTCTGATTCTTGGATGAGTACTAAAGAAGACGCCACACCGGCTTGCACGTTGGTACCATCTATTGCGTAAAATGGACGTACTATTGTGTGGTACCAAAGTAATGCCAAACTAAAATTTATTATTAAAAACTTTGAGAAGGACTCATTATATTAGGGAGCTGTATTTTGAGCCAGTTATTTTTCAATAAAAATTATTAGTATAATTGCCAGTAAAATTTACAAGATATGAAAAACTATAATACAAAGTCTATCCCACAAGAAGATTCATGACAATGACAGTTGTGTCTGTCATTTTATTCTCCTCTCTACATAACTCTGCAGATTACTAACCAAACAATCTTCTACAAGATATGCTACAAACCTGGCTAACGGTGCACGCATATCCATACCCATCCTGGCATACATTAAGCAAGCAATTCCATTTTGTCTATTCGCAGCAAATCCCAGGATGCTCACCAATCGCATCAGCGACGGTGGTAAGAGTGAAACACCCAACTGGAACAGACCATAGCCAAAAGATATGGCTCCCATGAGCCTGATAATAGTCTCTCGGTCAATATTTTGGTAATCTCTGAAAAAGACAGTGAAATAATCGATACAACACAAGAAAATCACATTAACATAAAAAAAACATGAACAAACAAGAACTGATTCTTTAATTAATTATATAAAAAAAATATGTAGGTGTTCTGTTCCTGGCAGTCATATGGAGGAAATCTCTGGTTTCCGGTATATTTTTTTTAAATTTCCACACTATTTTTTGTATATTTAATATTTCAGAAAATTTTAACACCCTGTATATTAGAAATTAAATACCCTATTACAGGGTCCGGCAATAGTTCGTCGAGCATCTGTAGCTAATAGAATAAAAAACTTGAGAATTTTGTTTAAGTGCAAGCCAAACAGTTTCAACAAAAGTATACTAGGATGTATTTCAAGAAAATATTTTAACTTCTATAGGGTGGCTCAAAAAAGTATGTGTGGATCGGGATAATTTTTTTTAAATGGAACACCCCATATATTATTGCCTTTTTGGCTTCCTTTCAGATCACTTTACATAGTCCTAAAATATGAGTGAATATATTCGATCATTTCAGAGATATTATTAAATATATATAAAATATAAATTTTTCAACCTTTCTTAAAAAATTATTACAAATACAAGAACTATCATGAAATCAAAACTATATTAGGTATTTACTTTAGATGGTCTATTCTTACTTCGCTATAAATATCGTAATCTTAAATCATACAGGGTGTTCAAAATTCTACTCCAAACTTTCTAAAATATCAAATAATTTTTCTTTGTTTTTTTTAATGGAACACCCTATATATTATTTTTTATTGGATGGAGAGTTAAAAATTAACATTTTTTGTATTTAAAGTATTTCAAAAAATTTAAAATGGTTTCACAGATACACGCAGTATTATTTCACATGGCCTTTTCAACGGTAAAATACGAGAGAAAAATTATTGAGTGGCTTTGATAAAAATTTTACCTTTGAAAGAGCCATATGAAATAATACCGCGACAAAGCCGTTAAAATTTTTTAAATACTCTAAATACAAAAAATGTTTGTTTTTTAATTCTCCATCTATTGAACAAATAATATACAAGATGTTCCATTTAAAAAAAACGAAGAAAAATTATTTTATATTTTAGAAAGTTTGGCGTAGAATTTGGAACATCCTGTATGATTTACGATTACCATATTCATAGCAAAGTAAGTACAGACCATCTAAAGTAAATATCTAATATAGTTTTGATTTCAGGACAGTTCTTGTATTTATAATATTTGTTTTAAGAAAGGCTGAAAAATAGGTATATATTTTTTATTTATTTATTAATATCTAAGAAACTATCGAAATATATTTACTCATATCTTAGGATTATGTAAAGCAATCTGTAAGAAAGCCAAAAATGCAATAATATACAGGGTGTTCCATTTGAAAAAAATCATCCCAATCCTCTCACACTTTTTTGAGCCACCCTACAGAAGTTAAAATATTTTCCTGAAATACATCCTTGTACATACTTTAGATTTGCACATAAACAAAATTCCAGTGTCTTTTATTCTAGGAGCTACAGATGCCCTACGCACTATTGCCGAACCATGTATAATGTTTTTAAATCTCGTTAATTTCTTTTTCTTTTTTATAATTTTTATAATCATAGATGTCATAAATTTTAAATCATTTTTTCTTTATTTTAATCATTTAAGCATTTTATTTTGTAACAGACCATATAACTTTCAATACCTATATAAGATTTCAGTCAAGTTTGGTAGACACTGGTAATTGTAACAGAGTTAACTAGACTAATACCACAGATTATACAGCATTGTTTTTCGTGGTTTTAATTTTCGGAGTCGCGCACTAGTTAGGCTACTAGTTTGCGCACATAGCACGCCCACTTATGGCCTCTAAAATTGTGCACAGCGCCTGACCGCCCAAGCAGCATTTGGACGTCGGAACAACGTTGTGTCACGCGACTAAACGTTGGGGCGCAACGTCGGCACAACCTCGTGCCAACCCTAGTCTGCACTAGTTTGGATAATAATTTTTGGGTCGAAACGACGTTGGATACCGACGTTGGCTAGAAGCCTAATTTAGTACAAACTGCAACGTTGTTTAAAATCCTAATTCACAGAAATACAAAACTAATATGGCGTCTAAGTCGCGTTTTATCCTAAATTGGGATAATTATAGTAAAAATATTATTTTTATAATTTAGTTAGAGACATATGTCAGATGGCAGTGAAGGAAAACAAAACAAAAGTATTTAAGTGTGGAGGATGTTTGAAGATCATAATTATTGAAACACTTTAACCGACTCTGTAACTCGTTACCCAAGGTAAAAAAGTTAAACGCAAACAACTTTATTGATAAATGTATTGTTTCTGCTTTGAAAAATACTAATGGGCCTTGAAATTAAAGAAGTTTTAAAAATTTTCTTGAATTTTTTTTAGTAAAATGAGAATAATTTATTCGCAGTCGAAAAAATTGTTTCAGCGTGTTTTTTAGGGTCAAATATTTCAAGTTAATGTATTCAAAAAGCAGGAATTGCTATTTTAGGAACGAAACATTTTCTTATTTAACAACATGGCGGCTTTCACTTTGTTGTTTTGAAGATTAAGATGGAGTAGTTCGAGTAGTCGCATACTGGACTAATAAAGTCGCAGTTCGGCCTTAACAGGTAGTATACTAGTCGCAAGATTGCCTAATTTAGTCATCCTAGAGTCTAGCTTGTGTCGTCCTCTATAATCTAAATAAACGAGGAAGTGGATAAACTATCGGTAATATATGTCGATGTATATTTAAATTTAGTTTTATATGTACCTTTCTTATGTCCCACTTTAATTAAGTTTTTTTATAAAAACAAAAACAGCACTGAACTGTCTGACTGAACAGAACAATGAAGTGAAAATTTAAGATTTAAGGTTATGGTTCAATACAGTTGCAAAAGGTAGTGACTCGACGTCCTACCAACGTAAGAATAAGGAAATCTAAACAACGTTGGAATTAGTAAAACAGACGACGTTTACATAACGTTGGAATAGGTCCTGAAACTGACGTCGGAAAACTCTATATTGTCCAACGTTGTAACTACGTTGTCCGAATCACCTAAAGATCACTTAAGCAAAAAAGGTTACAAGACAACGTTTATTCGACGTCGCAGAAGCTTCTACTTTGCTGTAGCACTAGTCCAACGTCGGCACAACGTTATAAAAACGTTTAAATTTATTTTAATACCCATGGTAGGGAGCTAACTATTTTTTGTAACTAATCCAACGTTGTGTTTAGTAAACATGTGGTCGCAAGTCGTGAAAATGCTACTTGGGCGGCCCAGTTATTACGCTGTTTAAACGCGAGTTTATTTTTGCGCACAGGAAATTTTACTCGTTTGCTCATCATCATAAAAAACAATTTTCGTACCACGAATTAGGGACAAGGTTTTTATCTGTATACATATAGTATACCTAATCTGTGCTAATACTTACCTAAGATTTTCCAGAGGAAAAATGTTACTTAAAGAGCTGGTGAGTGAGGTAAAAGATAACGCACTGGAAAAAGGCCCAAACGACAGCTTCCTAGCCCCGGTATTATTACTAAACTTCGAGCTTAAGGCTTCGGTAACAGAATGCGACTTTTTCAAACTTAAACCGCCGGATTTTTTACTTTTGGTACTGGTGTTGTTGTTGATACAATATTGCGATCGGCGCTTGTCTGTCTTTTGAACCTCTCCGGCGAAATTCAAGGATTTGGAATGGGAAATTGAGGAAAAATGGGGGGAGTACCCGTTGGTGGAGGTTTCCGGTATCAACCATTCGGGACTAGGTGTGTCGTTTTCGAAGTTCTGAGCCGTTCTCGAAGCCCTGGAACCGACGGGACTTAAGACAGGATCTGAAAATAAATATGTGCTTATAGAATCAACATAATATAAAATCGATGTAAAATGATCTAATGTAATTGTTGTTCTGTCATCATTCAAAGCCATTAAAACGTAGCTAAAGAAACTATATTTTTCAAGGCTCAAAGCACGCTTGACCATAAAACTTTTTTTCACACTGTATATATTTTCATATCAAATAAACTTTTTAGTTGCGTAGTCGAGGGCGCGATTTTTAAATTCATTGTTGGCCAATCATGGACATATTCGGCGCCGTGCCGACTACCTGAAATTTAAATTTTGCGCTGGGAATTCAGACAGTAGCTCTCAAAGACTAAAGAATCCAAGGACAAATAACACCCGAGAGCAAATTGTGACGATGTCACCAAACAGTTTTATATATTTTGTTGTGTAACAGTATATGTTTTATATATTTTGTTGTGTAACAGTATATGTGTTGTGTCACATGTTTTTATATTTTTTGATAATTGTTTTGACTACGCCTATGGTGTATCATCCTAATTAATTACGAAAAAAACGTATGAAAATGTTAACAAAAGGTACAAAACTATTATCGACGTATAGCACATATCAAGTACATACAGATGTTAATTGAAATTGAAGAATAATTATCGAATTCAATAAGAAAACGCTAAAAAGTTGGAGTGGACTGTTTATTTACCTATGAAACGTAACTCCTGGCTCTTTCTTATCGCTGCTGCTTTTACACTTGAAAGCTGAACAACTAATCACCATTGTAATAAAGTTTATACAAAATTTACTACACACAAACTATTAAAAATCGCTAAAATTGTCGCTGGTGACCAAATGATGACTCATTGTTTTCCACCAAAAGAAAGATCTCTAAGGTCACAAATTCTGCTGCAGCCCGTATAGGGGCGTTACATGTCCTTATTTTCTTTAGTCATTGGTAGCTCTGCTGTAAAAGATGTCAAGCTGCCGCATTTATTTATTTCCTGACATTGTCATTTGTTTTGGCACTTCAGTTTTGTATTACAAGTTTTTGGTTTAAATAATATAGTGTTGTGATACTTTAAACTTGAAAATGTTTACTAGCAGACCTCGCAGTCGAGCATTGTTCTTTATAGAACCTCTTTTAGGGCGCAGTGTACAAAATAAAGCTTTATAGCCGTAAAAAACTCATCGCAACTTTATTGGAATGTTTTGAACGGGAAAGCGGTAATAATGAACCTTTATGTCTCTTAAGTGCTGTTAAGAAGGTGAGCCAATGTTGCCCGAGGCTTCTAAAGTATTTACAAGAGAGGCTTGTAGAAATCAGTTATCAAAAATATCGTTTCAAGTAAATCATTAAAATCTAACAAGGAGCACCATATTGTCAAGAGTTTGCGTAACAAAGATTGTTTCTACCTAAAAGCTGATAAGGGAAATAAGGTTGTTATATTAGATAAAAAAGACTATTACGATAAGGTTAACAACTTTATCGATAATGGCCCCTACATAAATTTGAAAAAAAATCCTTTGTCTAAGATGGTAGCAGACGTTAAAAAAACTCTAAAAGAATGTAACACCCTTATTGATCTTTCTTTAAAGAGGAAATTGCAAGTATCCAATCCCTCATTACCAAAATTGTATGCTTTGCCAAAAATTCATTCACCGGACAAGTCTATGCGCCCAATTGTTTCGGCTGTAGGTTCTACGACTTGTAATTTGGCAAAATGGTTATCAAGGGAGTTCGAAAATTTACCTGATCATGAACCTTCTTTCTCAGTTAAAAATAATATTGAATTCATTAACAAAATTAAAGATATAACATTGCATGAAGGTGAAATTTTGGTCTCCTTTGATGTATCTTCGTTGTTCTCAAGTGTTCCAATTCCACATACTTTAGGCTACTTGAAGGAATTACTGAACGCAAATGGTCTCGACAACAAAACTGTGATTGAATATATTAAGCTTACATCGTTATGTATGAAACAAAATTGTTTTCAATTTAATAACAACTTTTTTGAACAGCGGAAAGGTACAACAATGGGTAATCCATTGTCTCCATTTTTGGCTAACTTATTCATGAGCTGGTTTGAAGTGGAGGCTAAGAATCAGTTTGAGTATTTTCCAAGAGTATGGTTTAGGTATGTGGATAACATTTTTGCTGTTTTTGACATACATTCAGACACCATAGATAATTTTATTTCTAAGTTAAATAATCGTTTCCCTTCCATTAAATTTACACATGAAATTGAGAACAACGACAGATTACCATTTCTAGATGTATTAGTTATTAGAAATACTAATAATTGCCTGGAATTTGATATCTATAGGAAAAATACCACCACACGCAGATATATTCCTAATGAATCACATCATAGTGTTGAACATAAAATGGCTAGTTTAAATTTCTTAGTTCATAGATTACTTAGTTTCCCACTTTCCAATGAAAGATATGAAATAGAAAGAGATTACATTAGGAATGTAGCTGAGTGTAATGGATATTCTCCTTCACTAGTTGATAACTTAATTAGAAAACGTAGGTATAGGTTAATGGTTTCTGAAAATTCGACTTTTCAAGTGGAGAAAGATACGTCTAAATATTTTTATATACCGTTTGATAGAGAGTTATCGTGGTCTAAAAGGAATTTTTAAGAATGTCAATTATAAACTTGTGTATAGTGCTAATAATAAATTACAACAATTATTAGGTAATCCAAAGGATAAAACATCTCCACTGGAAAGGTCGGGTATTTATGAAATTTCTTGTAAAGATTGTAATCAGAAATATGTTGGGCAAACTAGAAGATCAATATTAACTAGACTTAAAGAACATTTAGCTCAGATAAGATATGGTAGACCGGATAAATCTTGCGTTGCCGAACATATTGTTGATAAAGAACATTGTATACATCTTAATAATTTAAAATTAATTAAACAAGTCTCAAATTACAGGCAATTAGATGCATATGAAAGCACCAGAATTAATAAATGTAAAGATAGTATGAACAGAGACAACGGTCCAATTCCTTCAAGTTCTTTGTTCCTACTACTCTAGTGGCGGAAATCTAACTGTTACGCTCAGTGGGCTCTGACTCGGTTGGCTAGATTTTGCCACGCCCACTCGGTGTCCACTGAGCGCTATATAAACGCTCAACTTGTAGATTGTACTTTAGTTTATAATCATCTGCTGATGATGCTAACATGGTTAGCGAAACGCGCGTCCAGTGTAAAAGTAAAAGTGTTGTATTGTGGTGATTTATTGGTGTATTGTGGTGATTTAGTGTTTTTATTTTGATTAAAAGAAAATATATAAGAGTGGGCAACGCTGTGCCGGTCAAAATTAATCACTAAAAGTTTATTTGATATGAACTGTATATTTTACATACCAGGTAAGTGGAGTTCTCCGATTCTCTCTCGATATAAACTCAGTATTTCCCTGTAGGTTTTCTGATATACCTTCCATGCTTTCCTCAGAATCCATCCTCCTTTGAAATAGCCAGATATATCTTGTTGTAAGAACGTTAGTATTGCTAGACATACCTAAAAGATAAGAGTTTTCCATTGAAGCTCCGTTTATAATATAACTGACTGTTAACTTATTCTTAATCTAAGCTGTTAACCAGCGAAGTCGACTGGCTGTGTAATGAATATAGGCTGTGAGAAAAAGAAATCATACAGGGTGGCGCACCTCATCCGCCTCGGTTGATTATACAAAAACGGAAAGATGTAGAAACAAAATATTTTATGGGTATATGTGGGGAAGGAATGTGCACAATTTAAAATTATTTTGAAAGGTGCAGGGTGTTTCAGAACTAAGATCCATACCAAAGTTATATTTTTTCTTATGGAACACCGGGTATTTTATTTTATTTTTGGATTCTTGGACCCAAAAAAAGGTATTTATTATAAGGGTTTAATATGTTTAAAATCTTTAGTTTCTGAGATATTTAAGGATATTTAAAAATGCATGCTACATTAAAATAGATAACACCCTGTACATTGCCGTTCAGAACTAATTCCTGCGTTGATTTTTAAGCCAGAGAAATAAACTTTACTGAACAATTTGATTGCTTCGTTTAATGTATACAGGGGTATCAAAAATTACTGGTCTATTATAAATATTTATTTTACATAAAACTTCATTATTTCAAATACAACACAATCGAAGCAGGTTCAAATGCTCTTTCAAACTATATTAGGGTTTCCTATACCTATCTAGCTCAGATTCTGAATAAAAAGCGATTTTTCAATAAAATGGCAATCAAGATGGCTGGTGTCGCCATGGCAATTTTCTAGTTGAAATTAGTAACTCTTTTCAAAATCGACATTTGTTTATGGACATTATTATTTAGATTTATAACAGTTTACTTAAATTTAGCTACAATAGTTTAATAAATAAGTATTCATTATTTTATTAAGAAAAATAAAGCAGTATCTACTGGCGGAACGAATGGATATGTTTCATATGTTACTAGTGATTTTATTTTGTGAGAAAAATTGCTTATTGGCCTCAAGGGCTTATGATCAAAGATATCAAAATAGGAATCTTCCTGATAAGCGTTCCTTGAAAAAATACTTTTCTATTTCGCAGAGCTATGGTAGTGTGGTTTATAAAAAAACTAGTAGGCAGGAAACCTTTAGTTGGAAGTAAACAAAATGAATTTGCCATAATTGGCTCTTTTATAGAAAATCCATATATCTACAAGTGAACGTAAAATAAATGAAAGAACTTCTTCGTTTTTCTTGATAGAATAATAAATACATATTTAATAAATATCATTTAAAAAACTACTGTAGGCAAATTAAATAAAAATAAACTGCTATAAAAATTTAATTGTGATTTCCAAAATAGCTACTAACTGTCACTAGAAATTTGACATCAGCCATCTTGGTTGCCATTTTATTGAAAAATGGCTCTTTATTCAAAATCTGAGCTAGATAGGTATAGGAAACCCTAATATAGTTTGAAAGAGCATTTGAACCTGCTTCGATATATTTAAAAAAATACAGGGTGTTGTATTTGAAATAACGAAGTTTTTATATAAAATAAATTTTTAAAATAGACCAGCAATTTTTGATACCCCTGTATACATTAAATGAAGCAATCAAATTTTTCAGTAAAATTTATTTCTCTGGCTTAAAGGTCAGCACAAGAATTAATTCTGAATAGCAATGTACAGAGTGTTAATAATCTATTCTATTGTAGCCTGTATTTTTAAATATCTTTAAATATCTCAAAAACCAAAGATTTTAAACATATTTAACCCTTACAATAAATACCTTTTTTTGGGCCCAAGAATCCAAAAATGAAATAAAATATAGGGTGTTCCATAAGAAAAAATAAAATGTATCTTAGTTCTGAAACACCCTGTACATTTCAAAATAATTTTAAATTGTGCACATTGCCACCCCACATATACCCATAAAATATTTTGTTTCAATATCTTTCCTTTTTCGTATAATCAACCGAGGCGAATGAGGTGCGCCACCCTGTATACGAAAAAAGATATTTATAATTTTTCTCAGAAAAAATTTTCGGGTTGATTTAAGTCTCTATATATCCAAATAGCATAAATTTCTAAAAAAATGTAATATTTATTTTATACCGGGTACGTCTTAAAAGTGGCTCATCCCTATAACTTTTTTATTTTTTCAGCTAAAAACGAGATTTGGTATGTCAGTATATGACAGAAAATGAATGATTGATGTACCTATTCAATTATTTTTGGTCACTTCTTATTTCACTGGAAAATGACAACAAATCTTGTTTTTTAAATGACACTCTTGTTTTTTTTTACTTCATTTGATAGAAAATGGCATTTAGAATTGAATGACTTATCATATGTCAGCTTTTGATATTTTTAATTAAATAAATAGCATATTAAATTTTAACTAGTGCCTTCGCCATAAATGTAACGATAATTTGACTCAAAACTCAAAATACCAAGTATGTGATCCAAAATTATTCGTAAAAAATGCCTTCACCAAATATGCTAATGAGCCACCCTCGTTTCATTTGAAAAAAATTGAGATATGATTAAAAATACGATTTGGGTATCTTTTAACCCACAAGGGAAAGGCACGAAACACATTAGACAATCAAATCTATTTTTCCAAAACACCGTGCGGTTAAAAATTAATGGTTTTAACACAGTCATTGCACTTTAGATTGAAATTTAAAATATAATATTAAAAAAAAGAAAATGACGATCACAAAACATTCCCCTTTAGAACTTCATCTGTCATGTTAAGAAATGAAAGTAAATAATAAAGCGCCTCTCGTGTTTGTTCGCACTCAAAAAATTTCAATTAATGCCTGTATATATTTTTAATATATTTTTTAAATTTACATTTTTTTAATTGTAAAGTAATATATTACATTTAAATGGAATATATTACATAACAATTATGTCAATTACAGGATTACAAGCTTGTTTTCTAACATTTTTTAAATAAAACGAACTATAAAATTTCAATATGTTTATGTATATTTGTCGTAGGTATGAAAAAAGTAAAATATAAAATGGACAAACGCTTACTTACATTGCAATAAAACTTCCACTTTTAATTTTGCAATCCAAACGCAATATTTCTATTTCGCAAATAAAAATATCCGACAACACTAAAATCACTGAAACTTCCGCGGCTGACAACGAAAACAATGAAAAATATAACGGCACTTTTTGTTTTGGACCTGCATATCAACATTACGCTGTACTATTATGTGTTTGTTGTTGAAATAATATAAAATATCTAATTATAACTTGTAAATTTTAATATTTTAACATGATTTTAACTACTTTTGACAATAACTAACTTCATAGATAAATGCAACAAGTTTAGATTGGAAAGCCCGTAAAAATTTTGGATCGCGAAATTATTTTGGGTCGCGACCGTTATATGCGATCTGGCGCTGCTATAGCGGTCGCTAAGAACAACGGCAAACAAAAACAGAAATAATTTTCTCTTGTCAAAGTCAGAATCTTCAAAAATCCATAGATAAATGAAACAAGTTTAGATTGGAAAGCCCGTAAAAATTTTGAATCGCGAAATTATTTTGGGTCGCGACCGTTATACGCGATCTGGCGCTGCTATAGCGGTCGCTAAGAACAACGGCAAACAAAAACAGAAATAATTTTCTCTTGTCAAAGTCAGAATCTTCAAAAATCATAATAATCTTTCAAAATCTAAACTGCTCTCATTAAAGAAATTCCGAAAAGTGTTTATAGCGTCCATTTTCAAAGTAATAATTGCTATCTTGTGAGTTTAATTCAAGTTTTATTTACTCCAACCGGTGATAATTGTGAAAAAGTGGCATTAAAAATTTAAAAAGCTGTGCTGTGAACTGCAAAAACCATCGTAGATCGTGGCATAACGTCGGTCCAATATTTCATAGGTATTTCATACATGCGTCCTTATATAAAATAAAGTTTCTTGTATGCAACACACTGTCTTTTATTTATAAAATTAACCGAAAATAATAGTAAATTTGAATAAGCAATATTTGGCGATATAATTCCGGAAAAAGCCGAACCGCTCCGAAATTTTCAAAAGTTTTGGGTCGCGACCGTTGCTAGAATAGCGCCAAATAGTGTTTACATTGTCCTTATGGGCACTTTCCAATCTAAACTTGTTTCATTTATCTATGCAAAAATCTATAAACACTTTTCGGAATTAATTTAATGGGAGAGGTTTAGATTTTGAAAGATTATTATGATTTTTGAAGATTCTGACTTTGACAAGAGAAAATTATTTCTGTTTTTGTTTGCCGTTGTTCTTAGCGACCGCTATAGCAGCGCTAGATCGCGTATAACGGTCGCGACCCAAAATAATTTCGCGACCCAAAATTTTTACGGGCTTTCCAATCTAAACGTGTTGCATTTATCTATGCATTTAAGTTTCCCAGCCATGATCGTGGCATAACGTCGGTTTCCAATGTTTTATAGGTATTTCATACATGCGTCCTTATATAAAATAAAGTTTCTTTATGCAACACACTGTATTTTATTTATAAAATTAAACGAAAATAATAATAAATTTAAATAAACAATATTTGGGCCATATAATTCCGGAAAAAGCCGAACCGCTCCGAAATTTTCAAAAGTTTTGGGTCGCGACCGTTGCAAGAGTAGCGCCAAATAGTGTTTACATTGTCCTTATGGGCACTTTCCAATCTAAACTTGTTTCATTTATCTATGTCTTTATTTCATAGCCATTGTTAACGCCGTTTTTTTTTTGATCATATTGTGTAAATATTCTTTAACTCTGTGTGATAAAAAGAAAATATAAAAAAAAATCTATTTCATATGTAATGACCATGTACTATAAAATGTAAATGTAACAATGTCATACATAGATTTTGTATTTATAATTATATCAGTGACAAAATGGGAATATGATGAAATTTTAGAATATATTTAATACAATATACAACACTAATTTTATTAAAATCAATAACCCAGTAAAACATTAAATTATATAATTAATAAAAAAAATCAGGATTTTTACCTGGGAATCAGCTAATATAATTTGAGTTTCCATCTGATCGGATATTGATTGAGTATTGTCCGTAGAACCACCGAAAACTTTTTGAGAAATAGATTTGAACCAGCCATTTTCAGTAGTACATCGTTTCTCTACTTCCCTTAATACTAATATTGCTTTTGTAAGTTTTTCCTCCTCAAAGCTCATCAAAGCGTCCTAAAACAAAGATATTTCTGTTATAAATTCATTGTTTTAAATGTAATGGTAGAGGAGACAATTTATGATTCTTGTTTTACCATAAAAACAGCAAATGAATATCCAGCAAACATAACCAAGCTGTTGGGATATTGCAAAAATAAGGCTTCCGCTTCAGCATGGTTATTATTTATAATTAAATTTATTCCTTCCTTGGCTAATAACCAGTCAGGTTTCTTTTTTTCTTCGCATGGTACGGTGTCATCTTGGGAGTGTTTAGGAGTAAGAATTTCTGGATTGGAATATGCCATTTTCCTTATCCATTTACGCCCGTTACGCAACAAAAAATATTAGCGTACATTTTAGTTTATTGCAATGTAGCACCCGCTTTTACGAAACTAAAGCATCGCTAAATAAACAGAGAAAAAAACAAAAATTTTGAGCAAGGAAAACTGGAAGTAAAGAAGGAAATTGATGTTTCCAATGCCAGTGTCAAACGGAGTAGAAAACGAATTTTAATTTCTCTCTGTATTGATTTTGCCTTTCATAAAATTACTAACTCAAATAATATTCCAGGAATAATGTAAAATTTTACAATGTATGATATACTTATTTGAAAATTAATTAAAAATAACATTAATTTATATAAATTTATATTTATTTTAAAAAAATTCAAATAAAATATAAAAATATTATTTGCCATCTATGTTACAGTAGTGAAATTACAGCACCAAATATACTAAAAAGATCCCTGTAAAAAAATGACTTTAAATTACAATATCAGCTGATATTGAAGTTTCATTAACCTCACTTTAATTTAAATAAAAATATCCACGTATCGAAAAAAAAATCCTTATTAATGCCACTAGTCAAATCGTAATGTTATAATGTTTTACTTAAAGCTGCCTACTAAGTCATAGAAACATATTGTGATATGGAAAGATAGAATTTAGTTTGATCCAATGGAAAATAATATTAGATTAAATTTGCTTAATGAAGATGAAACTGTCCCATCCAGAGATTGGAGAAAGGCGCTACGTTCTCAGCCAGCGTACCGCATCGTGAATAAAACCATTAGAGGTCAGACTCAGTTTATCAGTATTGTGGGCTTTGTCGGGCTCTGCATCTTAATTATTCTGTATATGTACCCGAAAAGAGGCTCAAGCGGTTTGAGAAGTGCGTATTTAGGTACCGGTTATAATTATACTTATCCTTTAACAAGGCCTATAAAGACAGATGCTCTACATACATTTCGGATAGGTATAATAGCCGATTTAGATACAAGTTCCAAACATACTAAAGAGAAAGCAACATGGTATTCGTATTTGAAAATGGGTGATCTCAACTACAATCCAACGACACATACTGTGATGGTCTCATGGGATAGATCAGAACCCAAACAGCTGAGCAGCAGTTTTTCATTAAAAGACAGAGGTATGGAACTATCAGAGTTGGTTGTTTTCGATGGGAGATTGTTAACGTTTGATGATAGAACTGGACTTATTTATGAAATAGTTAGACATGAAAAAATGGTTCCATGGGTAATATTACTTGATGGAGATGGAAGGTGAGTTGAAAGAATTACCATGTCTAAACTAAGATATATTAATTTTTAGTTCCTCAAAGGGCTTTAAGTCAGAATGGGCTACTGTAAAAAATGAAATTTTATATGTTGGTTCAATGGGAAAAGAGTGGACAACAGCAAGTGGAGATTTTCAAAGTAACGATCCTCAGTATGTCAAAACTGTTACTCCAAAGGGACAGGTACCTAAATAAAAATATATTTGCAATAGGTATCTTAAATAAATAAAAGTGGAGTAAATTTAATACTAGACTTTTGGAGATTAAAAAACCATTTTATCATATTTACATATTAAATTATAATAAGATTAGATATATTAATGTATGCTTTTTGTTGAAAGATATTTATTTCTTCAAGGTCAGCCATGTAAATTGGGTCAAAGAATATAACAGATTAAGAGAAGCAATAGGAATATACTGGCCTGGTTATATGATACATGAAAGTGGTGTGTGGTCAGACGTACATAGAAAATGGTTCTTTTTACCTCGAAGGTGTAGTAAAGAACAGTATAATGAATCTTTAGATGAAAGAAGAGGATGTAATGTCCTTTTGTCAGCTGATACTAACATGTATGATGTTAGTGTAGTGGAGGTATATAAAAATAAATCTATTAACAATACATACTTTATAATTTATGTATACCTATTTACTTTAGCTTAGCACAAAGAACATTAGAGGATTTTCTAGCTTTAAATTTGTGCCCAGCTCAAATGACCATGTAATTGTTGCATTGAAAACTGAAGAACTTGAAGGGAAAACAGCTACATACATTACAGCGTTTACTATAAAAGGAGAAATTGTACTTGAAGATTCTTTTATATCAGACCTAAAATATGAGGGTATTGAGTTTATATAATATTCAGATTAATTAGCTTTCAATTTGTCTATTGTGTAAACTAAGATAATGTCACAGTATAAAACTGTAGGGTGAATTTATTCTATAATGTTTTTCAAATCCATCTATTATATACTTCATCAATAAACATTATATATATATTTTTTCAATTTATGTTCATCATTTCTAATAAAGAAAATGTTAAGTGTTTACTTCTTTATAATTAATAATAATTCTCTAGCAATTTACCTAGCAAACTATCTACATTTTACTTAATGGAAAATTATTTTGCAGTTAAAAAGACCGTCAGCCCAGGGAATCACGGAATCAGTTTCATTTTTATTCTCTACATAGGCAACCAGTTAAATAGGTATTTCCGAAGGAAAAAATTAACCTCAAATATCGACACGCGTTTTTGTCCTGTTTTCTGCTCTGTTTTTCTTGTTAAGTTTTTCTTGATTTTTCTTAATAAGTAGCCTCTGTTAATATTGTTACAATGAAAAAGAAAGCATCAACGGAAATTGTAGAGAGTCCTTCGAAAAAAATTAAGGTATCCCAAGGTCCAAAAGCCAAACAAAAACGATCTAACGAATCCCCAAAAGCAAAGAAACTTTCCAAAAACAAATCAAATGATCAGACTGAAAAATTGCCAGAATCCAAATTTACTAAAGTTGTAAAAGGCACACCAACAAATCTAAAAACTGTGAAACCTAAGAAATTGCCAGCAAAAAATGTTTCCAACGATTCAAATAATTCCAATAAGAATAAGGGGGTTAATGAAAAAATTGAAGACTGGAATAAGTTTAAAAAGGAGAGAAAAGAACTAAGGTTGAAACGGATTCAGGCTAGGACAAAGGATAACTTTGATAGAATACAACAAGCAAAAAAGATGGGAGAAAAACTTAGATTAAAAACATTAAAGCAAGAGGAAAGGAACAAAGTAATAAACCAGTTGCATGGTTTGCTAAAAACTCACTATGCAAAATTTGTATTGGCTCATGATACAGCCAGAATTGTACAGTGGTTGCTAAAGTATGCTAGTAAAGTTCTTGTTCATCAAATCTCTCAGGTATTTACTGATTTTATCATGATTATCAAGTACATTTTTAATATTTTTTCTTGTAGGAACTCATACCTGTAACAGTCAGTATGCTACAATCAAAGTATGGCATACATTGCATTAAGCGTTTATTAAAATATGGGCAAAGTGATATTAGATCGTCAGTGATTGATCAATTAAAAGGTTCAGCTGTTAAATTAGCAACTCACAGTCTTAGCGCTCCCATAGTCGAATATGCTTTTTCAACCTGGGCGACCAATGCACAAAAACAATTTCTTATTCAGGAGTTTTATGGAGATTTGTACAAAAACTCTAAAGACCCCAAAGTTAAACATTTAAGAGATGTTTACAGTGAAAATGACAGTATGAAAGCAGCCACTTTAGGAGCATGCAAATCGAACATTAAGAAAGTTCTTAATAAATCCTTATTGGACTCTGGCTTAGTTCAATCAGTCTTGTGTCAATATTTAGAAGAGTGCTCACCAGAAGATAGAGCTGAGTTGATTTCAGAATTGACAAGTCATATTGTAGTTATAAGTAATAGTAGAGATGGTAGTAGGGCGGCAATGCAGTGCATTTGGCATGGTTCAAATAAAGATAAAAAGGTTATTATAAAGTCTTTAAAGGAACATCTGATTGAGTTGTGTAAACATGAATTTGGTCACAATACAATTATAGTGTTATTAGACTCGGTAGATGATACTGTACTACTTCATAAAGCTATTATCACAGAGATTTTGAAAAATGCAAAGGATTTGGCTGTCAATGAGTGGGGCAGAAAGGTAATTCTATTAAAAAAGCAAAAATAAGAAATAAGTCGAATTTAATAGACAATATAAACATTTATTTTGTGGGTGATTATGCTTATTATTTCATAACCTTTTTTGAATTATAAACAACTTTTGTTTTCGTCTGCTGTAAATTATTTTATTTATAGGTTTTATTATGGTTAGTAGCACCTGGAGATCCAACAATTTTTCATCCAAAATTTATAAAAGAGGTAACTGATGGAAGAGAACAATCAGGTTCGAAAAAATCGCCTGAATCTAGAAGGCAAGAAATTTTGAATTATTCCATTTCAACATTATCAAATTTAGTTATAGAAGATACACAATTTTGGCTCTCAAATGGTTCATTAGCTATTGAAATGTTAGCTATAATAAAAGCTGGTGAGTCAAAATGATCTTTATTAATAATTGTTTTATGATAATTAGTTTATTCATATTTTGTTTTGTTTTTTAAGGAACTGGGTCTGTACTTGAAGAGGCTTTATCAAGCATTGTAAAAGTTATATCTGACGTAAGTTGGAGTATTAGTGAAGGTGACAAAGCCATTTTAGGAATTGAACATGCTGGACTTCACATGACTCTAAAGAAAATGACTCAATTTTTTAAAACTTTACCTGTCGATAAAGGCCCGACTTTTGGAAAAATTTTAATAGATAATTTGACAGATGAAGTGGTAAGAATAGGGGTGTCTCGACATTATCCTGGGTATTAATCAGAGATTTTTTATATTTTAGATCAGCCACTGGCTTAAGATAAACAGAGGATGTTTTCTTTTAGTAGCTGTGTTTGAAAACAATGAAGAAAGTATACAGAAGTTGTTGAAACGTAAATTAAAACCTCATATGAAACTTTTAAAATCGCAAACTACACCAGGTGCAGCAATATTATTAAAGAAATTGTAATATATTTTAATATTTCAATAAAATAAAATATTAAGTGTATGTTTGGTTGTCTAATGTCTCGGTTCTATTCAAGTTATATTAACGTATTTATTCATTATATATCCGCTAGATGTCGCCACCGTAGTTTTTATCAATCAATCAGCTGTTTTACAAAGAAAAAATGTCAATTTCAAATATATAAAATAAATAATGGTATTATTGGTATTTTAAAATATCTAATTAAATGTATAATATTCCATACTTTTAAACTGGTTTAAATTATACCATCTTTCTGCTATCAATTTGCAGTGGAATACAAAAATGTATTTGATTTATTAGGATCTCACATTACAGGTAAAATGTTATAATAATATATAAAAAGTTAATATATTTGTGAATTTGAATTAAATTTATAATCACATTATATATTCTGATGGCATACTGAATTAAGATTAAGTTAATTTGCACTGTAGATATTAAAGACTAAAAATCTATGGAATCTGATAGAATATTGGTTGCTGCTGGTTTAACAGCAGCCGCTGTAGTTGGAGCCTTTGTGTTTTGGGGCCCGTCGACCGGGTCGGGCAATCGCAGAGGTCGCTTAGCTGGATTAGTTAATTTAGGTAGAACATGCTTTTTAAATGCCATATTACATGCTTTAGCTGCTTGTCCACACTTTGTCGAGTGGTTAGAAAAGGACGGTGTCGCTAAAGAAACTAGTTTGCGAGGAACGTTAGCTACAGTATTATCAGGTAACAATTTATCTAGATAATGCTAGGAGACATTTAGTGTAAGTTTCTCTTTGTAGTTGTAAATGGTACAAATAAATCAGTTCAAGATAGTTTTGCTCCTGCAGCTGTAATAAATGCACTTAAACGATTAGGCTGGGTTATACCAGCAGGAGAACAAGATGCACATGAATTATTAAATGTTATATTAACAACTTTAGATGAGGAAACTCAAAAAATGACTCGAAAAGCAGGGTAGGTATTAAATTTATTTTCAGTTGTTTGTACTTAATTCTTACTACTTCAGATGTCTTTCTGATGCTCTTGGAATGAATGAAATTGAAATGGAAGTAGAGGACGATAACCAATCTGAATTTAGCTCAATGGGAAGTGTGATGTCTTTAAATGAACTTTGTAGGTCCACAGGAGGACTTAATTTTAGGGGAAGCGGTATTAGAAGGAATAGGTGGATATCTAGGTAAAGTATCTATTTACTTTGAGCTTTAAAAGTGTAACTAAATTCCTTATAACTATTGCAGGTCATGTAGGGCCTTGCAAATGTCAGGCCCACCTCCTCAACCTGCAACTCATCCATTTACAGGTACCCTTACTAGTCAGCTTAGATGTACCGAATGTGGTTTTAAGGTAAGTGTAACTAAACAAGGGTATTATAGTTTGTAGTAAAAGTAAATATAATTTTAGTCAGCCGTGCGTTACGACAAATTTGAAAGTTTGTCATTAGCGCTCCCGAGTGGAGCTGGGGACTTGGGTTGGGGACGTCACAAGTTACACCAGTTGCTCACTAACTTTGTCACCCCAGAAGTGGTACAGGATGTTCATTGTGAAGGGTGTAATAAGGATAGAGATCCAGCGGTATCACCTATTTTGTCTAGACAAATTAAAATTCTGAACTTTGGCAAGGTATTAGTGTTTTTTTATTTATTTATAATGCATGAATGTTTATTTATCTTATTTCAGTTACCAGTATGTCTTTGCATACATATATCTCGAAATATTTGGTCTCCTAGTGGAATATCAAAGCGTCAGGACTATGTCCAGTTTCCTATGAGACTTTCCATGTCAGCTTATACGTTTATTCAAGTACATTACCAAAGAAAATTACCAGGCTTGGTAAATAAATGAATTAAATCAAAGAGTTTTATATAATAACATCATTTTTCAGACCTATACCAGTACGAGTGAGGGCGGTAGTCCACTGTCAAGCAACACCCCCCTATGCTGGGCGGGTAATTCGCTCAGTGAAATGTCAAACGAATTTAGAAATGTGTATCAGTTGGCCGCCGTGGTTGTTCACACTGGCGATGCCTATTCTGGACACTTCATAACATATAGAAGGGGCCATTTCAACAATAGGTAAGAATTTTGTGCATAAATACCATATGATCTAAAAAACGGCGTCATAATGGCCTTTGAAATGGTGTGATCAATGATGAGTTCTGTTGAACTGACCCTTACATATGCATTAAGAATTTGTATAAAGAAATTATCAAAAAATAGGTAATCTAGATGTTTTTAGATACAGTTTTATTTTCAGAAAGTAAAAATAAATAATTGGCTCACCAGTCAACTTTTTTTTTAATAAATGAAATACTGGAGTTGGACAGAAGTCGTCATCGTTCGTCATTTCAAAGACTACTATGACAAATTTTTTTGGTCTTATGATATAGTAAAAATATAAGATTTTCTTGTTTTAGATGGTTTTATACCTCAGATATTGAAATTAAAGAAGTTTCAATTGATGAGGTACTACAAAGCACAGCTTATTTATTATTTTACGAAAAATCTTCGTCGATGAGCGCTTTTTAAATTTAAGAAACTTTATACTTAAAACGAGAATTCTCTTTTATATAGAATATTTATTGTTGAATATTTTTAAAGCATTTAAATGCATTTTTTTACTTAAACTTTTGTTTCTCTTATACATTGCTAGACGTATCGTTCTTTATTAAATGTGATTGTATGAAATGACATAAATGTGTTAATAAAATTTAAAAATGCATAAATCAAATTATATATGAATGTAGTATACACTTGAATCTTAAATGTGCATAACGTTGTTAGAATTGTGCAAGAACATTACAAAAAAAAATGTTTTGTTAAATAAAAATTTTATTCCCTATTAAAAGAAATCATTTAATTTCTACCCAACTTAATTTATTTTTTGCAGTTTTTTGAGTAGTTTTAAGGAAAAACCGTGCTCGTTCGTCTTTGGTTTGGTTTGGTTTTTCGCAAATATCTGCCAAAATATGCAATTTACAAAAATTTTCTTTGAATAAAAAAATGAAACTTAGGTAATTACATACAAAAATGACCTTATCATCATCATTTTTTAGGTAGAATTAGCAGTTTTCGAGATATTCCGCCTCGAAGATCCCTCAATATTCTCACCAAGTCATATCGCTCCGAAGATAGATTTCATAAGCAAATTGTTTAATAACTGGGCTAAAATTTCATATTTTTTGATGATTCAAAGTTCGTTTAAATTAGTAGAATCAACAATTATCAAATTTTGGAACTTGTTTGAATTTTGTCATATTTTATGATAATAAAAAAACAGGGCAGATATTCCTTAGGCCAAAAATCTTCAGATTTTCAAAAAATTATTCATATTTTCACTAATAATAACTTATTTGTCAAGATTTTTTTTAACAGTTGTTCTTAGAATGACTATAAGCAACTCACAAAGTTGCAAGCATTTGTTTAATCAAATTTTAATAAAAAAACAACTATTCGTGAGTGGCTTTTTCCGCTTTTTTTGTATTTCCGGAAAGTGTCGTAAAAAAAGAAAATTGCATAATTACGAATAATAGTCGAATTGGTTTCTTTTGACGAACAACTTTACGAAAAAAGTGTAAGGATCATTTTTTAGTAAAAACCCAATTTTCCATTTGATCATGAAAATCATCTACATGCCATATTTTGGTCAATTTTGGCGGAAACCCTGTTCTTTCACCCTTTAGAGCCATTTTTAAGCGTTTTCCCGGGACTGAAGTCAGACCGTTTTGCCCTTCTAATCTCCTTATTATACTCAGTTAATTTCTATGTGTAGAGCTGCCATTCGCCGCTGTGTTTGCTCTGATGAAGAGTCGTCGGACCTCCGATCTAAGATTGGCCAGCTTCTTGTTCCATCAGGGCTTGTTGTTACTTTTTTGTATGCACTTACTTGTGGGACAACTAGATTCATATGCATCCAATATTGCACCACTAACTTCCCTTGCGTACCATTCTAGATACAGGACACAGAGGTGGTTCCTACCTGCATCTATTTGGCGCAGGTTGTCTACGAGATTGGTGTGGTATAGTTCCCAGTCGGTTCTTCTTGGATACCCCTTCGAGTTTCCGTTTGGAGTATGATTCCTCCTAATTTGAATTTGATGATTCTGTAATCTGATAGGGAAGGTTCCGTTGAGACCCTCCAATCTTTCACATAACTAGTTACACTAGCAATCCCGATTGTTAAATCTCATACTTCCGGCCCCGTTTTTGTCACAAACGTGGGAGAGAGGAAATAAGAGGAATTATAGTAAACACTCACCTCTAGTGTTTGTATTAGTGCTTCCCCATACCTCATTGTGCGTATTGGAGTCACATCCCAATAGCAGAGGTAGTCGCTGTTGGCTGCAGAATCGCGCGAGTTCCTCTACTTCCGGAGGCGGTGTCTGCCCATCACCCGGAAATTATGCATAGGCAATCACGATATTTTTGCTACAATCCTCGATATTAAGTTGAACCAAGATCCCGGGTTGTAAATTAGTTAATGTTGTTTCTTATATAAGAATACAGGTTCGGGGAAATTCCTGCCTGTTATCATATATTACACTGGAATTTTTTTCCAGAGAACCCTTTAATTTGTCCGATACACCCAGGGTTCCTGGGCTAGTACCATTACATGTTGGTTTTTCACAGAGTCTTGTGATTGTGGCGGAAGACCCTTTTGCATGGTGCAGGTTTATCTGGGATATCCCATGCATCATGTTTCTATCAAACCAAACTAAAACGGTAGCTTGTGTCGCTTGTTGGGTCTAGAGGTGGACTCCCGACCCTTACTAAAGGAGGTGATAGTTTGTGTACCACTTGTGGAGGCTGGCTTCGCGCAAGTGTCGGCCGCCTCTCCTGTATATAGTTCCCTTTGGGATTGGTCCCTTGGAACTTTCATTCATAATGTTTCCAGTGTTACTAGGGGGTTTCCCCACAGCTTCACCGGTGGTGTTATTATGATTGTCTGATAGTGTTCCCACGAGTCGCTAGGGATAGTCGGTCCACTTCTACAGAGCCCCGCAAGTAGAAGTAAGGGGTAAATACAATGGGGTGCCCCCTGGTGCCCCAAGGTTGAGGCCAGTAAAGGCTAGTCCTCTATCTAGCCACGCATCCCTTTGACCTGGTCCCGCCATCGTAGGATTTAGGTTTTTGGCTAGGTTGTCTCCTCTTGGTCCGGACGGTTAAGCCAAGACACCCCCACATCCTCTACCCGCGTGACATGACCACAGTCAGTAGAGGGTGCCTGGTATGCCAGACGGGGCTATCGTTATCTGTCTTGGTGCAATTCCTTGGCCACGACACTACAGCCAAGGACAAGACGATAAGTGAGATATGCTTCTTAGACCAAGCCAGGTGCTAGGGGGATTCCCCCCAGCACCTGACCATGAGCTTCCCCACCAACGACAAGGTCTTGCATCTCCTAGGAGAAGTTTTTTGTAGATAATGATAAGCTTCATTTTTTATCCCAAGAAAATTTTTGTAAATTGCATATTTTGGCACATATTTGCGAAAAACGGATTTTTTGGCCATTTGGGACTATTCTTGCCGAGCTTTCCGAGCACGGCGTTACAATTTTCCCCCTAAAACTACTCCCTAAAAAGTGCACAATCCACTTAAAAAGTCTGGTCGACAAATTAAGCCTATAGACTTGGGTCTTATTTACTGGACCATAAATACTCACAAAAAGTCTTAAATCTCAATAAATAAAATCTCTATCAAACTGACAAACATTTTATTATAGCTTAAAATATATGTATATAGGTTCTAAACTTTTCCATTCTTTTGGTGTTTAAGTTCAAATTCTTCTGGAGTCAAACTAGGATCAATTCCATTCTGTTTCAGTTGCAAAACAACATCGAAAAGATAATCATAACATTCAGACATACATTTTGCTTGTTGCCATGTATCTCCCCACACATAAACCTAAATAAATAATGGTTAATCATTCTTAAATTAATTTAACAAATATTAAGTTACCCCATGTCTCCTAACCAATACTGCACAAGTATGGGGATAATCTTTAATAGCCTGCTCCAATCTGTCTGTTAAATCTTCCTCGAAGGGCGTGTTTTCAATTATAGGTACCACCAGTTCTTCATCGTACCTGAAATTTCTACCTAGTTTTTGATTTTTTATGCCCTTGATCATTTCTAAGTGAGTGCATTTGAATTCCTTGCCGGGAAAAAGTAGAGTTACCATCAAGGCAAACTTTGAATGAGTATGAATTACTGCACCGGCATTTCTCATAGTGTAGGCACACATAAAGAGTGGTGTGCACTGGCTTTTCTTTAATTTTTTATGAGGAGGTGGAAGCTCTAAGTCCTCACCTATAAAATGACAGTGTTTAAAAATTAACGTTCCATCTGTAAGATTTTTTTTACCTTTAATATTTTGAACAAACAGATCATCGGGTTTAATTCTTTCTTTTTGCACTCCTGAAGGTGCAATATATATTTTTTCGCCATCCTTTATGCTAATACCACCCCCTGAAATTTAAAACATATATCATAATGTTAACAGTTATAATATAATGAATAGCTCACCAGTGCCAGTTACCCATCCTAAATCGTAAAACTGTTTGCACAGTTCGGGTATTAAATATTTTGGATGTTCAGGATCACTCTTTGGTGTTTCTTGTAGACTCATCTTTGTGAATAATGTGGATTCAGTTATCTATTGGTCTCTCTGCTAGTGGCCAAATGTAACAAACAGGAAAAGGATATTTATTGAAGAAGTTCTTATAAGTATCTTATCAAATGTGTCTGGCTTCAAGTGCAAACAATGTCGAGTGCAAAATCACTTGAAATACTAACAAAATCTTTTATAAATAGTATTATCACAGAATAAGGAGACAGAACATACTTAGTATATTTTGAGGAGATAGAATAAAATCAGAGATAAAATAAACTTATTTATTCGCTTATTTACTATGACCTAACCAGACCTAACCTCAAAAAATAGATTTATAAAGGAATATATAGGTAAAATTCTGTTTTATGTGGTAGGATAGGAGATATTGGATGATCGAAAAAACACGTTATCTTTGCCAGTGTATAATATTAACCAAATAATATTATATTATTTTTCAAATGAAGTCTTGTAAAGTAAATAAAGAGGTATGTAAATATAAATATACCGGCCAACCTACCTCATGCAATGTTTTGTACCTATATTTATCTGTCCCAAATCTCAAACTGGAGTATTTTTTGATGCAAATTCCATAACAGTCGATTTAAACCAGAGAATAGGTACATTTAAACTATTTAAACCCTTGTTGAGTATGAAGGTCATTGTCGTTAACAAACGTTGTTATGAAACACCACGAAACACACACTTGTCTTAAATTATACATAATTGCCACTTTTTATTTTTTATATGACAAGTGACAATGACATTAGTCATTTCAAGAGTAATTTCAATTTTGTTCTTTCTGTCAATTTTTCAATATTGTCTGTCGAAATCATCTCTTCTCTCGTGGGATAGACCTCAGGTATTTATGGTGAATAACATTGAATATGCAAAACGATTTTATTATCTAATTAAAAAGAATATACAAAAAAAAACGTCCATTCTCTATAATCTAGAAATTTACCTAAACTAAATTATAATTAAAAACTTAAAAAATATTCTTATCAATATTATAAGGAAAACTGAGGTAAAATAACTAAAATTCTATCATATAGAAAGTCAACTATCATATATATAAGATCTAATTTTGTACAATTTATGGATGGCTCTATAAGGCACCTTGTTTGAGAGAAAAAAAACTTACAGCAATATATTCAAAACAATGGATAAAACTAAACAACAATGTAGATCCTTAAAATAATACAAACTTATAAGAAATTCAGTACATTCCTTTGGACAAATGACTAGTTACAGTAAAAGTCTTATTAATAATTGTCATTTTGAATTTTTCACAGCTTTCTAATACCTTTAAATTGTTCTATATTCTAAAACCCACTTTGTTGCGAGAATGGCACTCCCAATTTTTCCTGGATTTGTTCAAATCTTTCTTGGTACTGTACCATAAGTTGTGGAGCCCTCAGGGGAACGTTATTTTGTGCTAAACTACTTGACCTGGAACAATAAACAATAAATTTCATACAGTATTAAGCCCCGTTCCCAGAACAGCGACACGTCAAAAGAACCAATGAGATTTATACAAAATTCAAACAGCTGTCAATTTTAAATTTACTATAGCTTCCATTGGTTGTTTGAAATGTCAAACTGTGTCGCCAGCTACACTGATTGACACTTCAAACGACCAATGGGAGCTGTACTAAATTTAAAATTGACAGCTGTTTGAATTTTGTACAAATCTCATTGGTTCTTTTGACGTGCCGCTGTTCTGAGAACGGGGCTTTACTCCAGACAAAAAAAACGGCATCGGCGATGGCTATGAACTGAAGATCGCTGTCACTTTATATGTAAATTTTTATGTGAATGTGTCAGAAATGTCAGATAAAAAAGAAATGTCGCGAATATGCTGAAATGTCATAGATTGTCATTTCACCGCCAACTGGACGCCGTTTTTTTCGATCATACGGCTCTATATACATCATATGCTCTGCTTACCCCACAAAGAAGTTTCTGGGTAACACGTTTTCTTTTGACGGCGGCGTGTTTCCTGACCATGGTATGTCTCTATTTGTAGAGTGTACACTCGAAGGTGATACTGGCCTAGAATTGTCAGTGGCGACCATTTCTTGAGCAAATGGATTATTTGACCTTGTGGTCTGCAAAAAAGATACTTATTATTACTAAAAATACTACACTATTGATGGCTTAAGCTTGATTTTCATGTATCCGTTGCCAGACGTTACGATGATACGATATTAATTTTATTGGTTGAATTTAAAGACTTCAATTTGTTAGAAAATTACGCAGTTTTTAAATTTATTGCATTTTCATGCCTCCGTTCATCGGATATACGACTATTGGTGTCATTTTATATTTTTTTCCATAACGATTTCGCTGTTTTACTTATATAGTCTAAGAGCTAGCAACGTTTTCGATAGTGATGGGAAAAACCGATTAATTTCAATAACCGAGTACTCGAGTATCAAGCGATTGCAATAATCGAGTGATCACTCGAACGAAATATCGCTGGTATTTAAAATTACGGTTTTTTGTCCGTCGCATGTTGTAAGTACTCATTAATGCCAAGCGCCAAGCAGTAAGCTGCGTGCGCAGGGCACATATTCTTTCGGTAATGAACGGCAAGTAGTAAGCGGCGAGCGATTCGCTTGATTGCTTGATTTAGTTTATTTCGAAGCATTGTCGATGTACGTTGTAAAATTTTGTCCCTCAGATACGCAACGGATATATATCTATACTGGGTATATATATAATTATACTGGGTGCGTCTCAAAAGTGGCTCACCCCTATAACTTTTTTATTTTTTCAGATAAAACAACGAGATTTGGTATGTTAGTATATGACATAAATTAGGATTGATTGACATATTCAATTGTTTTCGGTCATTTCCGGTTTCACCGGAAAGGACTACAACTTTTGATTTTTAAATCGCACCCTCGGTATTTTTTTACTTTATTCAGTAGAAAATGATACTCTGAATAGAATGACATATCACATGCCAACTTTTGACATTTTCGCATATGGTTTAGTTGAAATTGTAACATGCTTCATAACGACAATTTGACTCGAATTACCAAGTGTGTGGTATCAAATTATTTGTAAAAAAATTCTTTTTCGAAATATGCTAATGAGCCACCCTCGTTCCATTTGAAAAAAAATGAGATATGATCAAAAATACAATTTGGGCATCTTTTAACCGACCAGGGCAAGACACTAAAAACATTAGACGATCAAATCTATTTTTCCAAGGCTCCTTGATTAAAAATTAGTGTTTTTAACACAGCCATGGCAGCCTAGTTTGAAACTTAAAATACAATTTGTTTTTAAGCGAATATGTCAAAAGTTGACATATGATACGTCATTCTATTTAGAATGTCATTTTCTATCGAATAAAGTAAAAAAAAATACCGAGGGTGCCATTTAAAAATCAAAAATTGTAGTCATTTCCGGTGAAACAGGAAGTGACAAAAAACAATTGAATACGTCAATCAATCCTAATTTATGTCATATACTAACATACCAAATCTCATTTTTTACCTAAAAAAAAATAAAAAAGTAATACCCGGTATATACAGCATCGTATAGATTTGCTACCTGCAATGTATGTAGAAAATTCGCTCGGCTTTTTATCGAGTATGTCACATTAAAATCGGACTTCAATTTATTTCATTCTAGGATCGCTTGCGTTCGTCGCTTGGTACTCGTCACTTGCACCGCTCGTTCACAATCGAGCGATGTCGGTTATTTCAATAATCGAGTACAAGAGCGAATTTTTGCTCGAGTTATCCCATCACTAGTTTTCGAGAGAGAATTTTAAGCAAGCTGGATGGAACCGTCTGGCTGCCGGTAGACGTTGTAACGTTTGTTGTAACGCCGGTAGACGTTCACATATCTAATGCTTATCATATCTGATATTGCGCATCATATCTGTATTCAACATAATATGTTCACTACTACACATCACAAATTCGCTCTGTATTTCAAGAACTAAGCCGGCTAGGACACACCTATGTGTAGCATATTTAGGTTCATAAACAAGTAGGAAAGTAGTGTGAAAATCGCATCATTGTATCTCTGCTCATAAACGAGAAATCCCATAAAACACACGAAAATGAGATACCCACCCTGTACAGATGTGATGCGCAGTAGTGAACCGCAGTAGTCTACCGGCAGCCAGACGGCCCGCACTTTGATTAGGAGTGCACAGAAGAACATAGCAATATTTTTTTTATATCATTTTTTTATATAATTTCTTAAAATTCTCGTTGTCCCGACGTTGCTAGCTGTGGTACTATTATATTTTTATTAAGGTTAAATTACATTTGTCAAAAAAGTGTCAAAACGTCCGTTATCGTACGGTCTTTCTCCGTTGACGGGCTGGAGTAAAAAATTTACGGATGAAAAGTGGCGCGAAAACGCTATGACCAATCAGTCGGACCATCGTATCAACGGATAAGTCAACCTAAAAAATATATACCATTTCGGTAGGAAAGAAAACGCCACAGTGAATTTTGAACACAGTGAATTTAACTTTTGTGGTAGTCCAATGTGAAGCCTGGACTACCACAAAAGTTAAGACGTTTTTCATAAGAATGTCATCTCCATTGTCCTGAGTTTTCTTGAACTTTTTGGTAGTTCAGGCTTCATACTGGACTTATCAATCTTCAGGAAGAAGACGTGTTAGACGACCAATACATGGAACAGAACAGTGTTTTTTTAACCTAAGTCGGATAAGGGTACAACGACGACGACACTTGGTACATCTTTTTTTTATTTTTAACATGACTTTGACTGAAGGAACAAGGAGTTTGCTTCCATAATGACCAAACACTAGATATATTAAACTTACCGGCTTGTAGGTGAAGTTGTTATTTGAAACCGGCTGTCCCACATGAAAGTAAGCAGCGGTGGGTCCCGTAGTTTCCGAGGGACACCTCTGTCTAGAACGTTCATAATATCTACTATTTATTCTCTCGGATTTTCTTATTCCGCTATGCCATCTCTTAACCAAAAGCTTCATTCTGTGTATGGATATAACCGCAATGACAGCCGACCTAGAAAAAATATTAAAATATCATTTAAATAATAATAAAGAACAGAATTTGTTTACCTAAAATGCTCTAAAGGCGTATGCCGATGTCTCATGCAATAATTTTCGTGCGGTTGGTTCGGCAACACCGCTACAAGACAATGCCTTTGGTGACTTTGCAAATAGTCAACCAAATACCGCTTCTGCCATATCAACGCCTTCCTTACACTTTCTAGTTTCAGTGCTTTAGAAAACAAATAATCACACTAAAAAATATAATATTTTTAGATATCTATTTAAGCAAATATACCAAGGTAATTACCCTAGCAACTAAATCAGAGAAAGGCATATTATTTTTTCCATTATTTATTGTCTCGTTCCTCAGTTGATTCTCTAGGTACTTCTTTTCGTTTTCTATCTTCTCAATGTACTCCAATCTTCTTTTATTTTCCTCATTCTTCTCTTTTAATTCCCTTATTGCACTTTCCAAGGCATCAGGAATACCAGTATCCAGGGATGGAATCAGAGAAGTTTGAGATTTTAGAGCTCTTAAAAGATCGGACTTTTGTTTTTTGAGTAGAACTTTCTCTTGTTCCAGTTCATCCTAAAAATTTACTTTTGAAAACTTGAAAATTCTAATTTTTTAAAGTTTTATTAGTTTGAATAAATTGATGTTTGAATAAATGAATGATATAAGTTAGACCTTCTGAAGATATCAAAATATTTTTATTTTTATTTTTTTTTAGAATTTTCACAAATTATACTTCCTAACACTTTTAGAATATATAACAAATTTTTCGTCTACTTGCTATTTATACCCGTATTTGTTTAAGTAGACTACGGTATTCTCCAATAGTGGCAGCACCGGCGGAGAATGCACCAAGCCTATAGAGACCTCTTTTTAGGAAACTAAAGATGAAAAAATATACATAACATTTCATTACTTACCATTTTAATTTTCTTTTCTTCAACTTCTCTTCCTTTAACTTCCAGCTCGAAATTTTTCCTTATCACCTCGTCAGTTAAAGCTTTTTCCTTCTCACTTAGAACTCTAAACTTTTCCTCTTGAGCCCTGTTCCTTTCCTCCAGAAGCTTTAACATTTCTTTGGTATATTTAACATCGTTGCCCAACTGATCATTCTCCTGTCTCAAAGATTTAATCTGCGTGACCAATTGTAATTTTTCCTCCTTAACCGCATCAAGTTCTCTTTGTAGACGATTTAGTTCAAAGAAATCCGTGGTAGGTGGCGGTTTGTATTTGGTAGATTCAGAACTAGGACTTTCGATTTTCTTCAGTTCTTCGATCTGAATTTCCAGAGCCCGTCTACAATGTTTTTCTTCAGCGAGAACTTTTTCCAATTCTTCTTTGGTGTCTAAGGTAGCGTCTAGTTTGATTCTTAATTGTTCCATTAATTTTGCGTCTTCTAATTGTGTCTCTTTCGTTACCATTCTTTCTTTTTCCAGGAGAATTTGAACTTCGTTCAACCTTTGCTGTAAATTGTAACAAAGTTTCTCTAACCCTACTTTTTCTCTTTCCAATTTGTCGTTGTCTCTCAGAAGCTGTTTATTATGGGATTTTTGTCTGGTTAAAGATTTCTTGAAGGCTTCTACGTCGTGACCCTCGGAAATCGAGGATAAGCTCTGATCACTAACCGCACTGATGATGTTAGAATCGATCTGAGCAGCACACTCTAATTCTTTCTTTAACTGTCCCGTAATGTCGTCAACTGGCGTAGAATCCTGAACCTCATAATTCAACAACTTCGCCTTCAGAGCGTGAATCTCTTCCAACAGTTCAGCGTTCTTCTTCTGTTCTCTCTTCAACCTGCCCGACAAATCGAATATATTACCCGTTTCTTTAATTTTATTATCGATAGCTTTCAAATTCGAATGGACCTGACTGTGATCCTCCGCCATCTGAGTGATGACTCTTTCCTTTTCTTTTACTAGATCCTGCAAACGAGCTACTTCCTTGGTCAGTTCGGAAACTTTTGCCAGCTCTTGGTCTAGTTGGGCCTTCTTCATTGGATTCTCCAAAGTCTTGATTTTATTTTCGAGCTCGGTTAACTGTGTTTGGTAGTATTTCATGTCCTCGTTCAGTATCTCTATGTCGCAGTCTTTATCTAATACTAAAGCGTCTTTTTTCTTTATACTCTGTTCCAGATCCTTGATAGTATCCTCGTGAGCTTTTAAATTGTCTCTTAATTTCTTTAGTTCCTTTTCGCTGCTATCGTTAGCTTCTCTCCAATTTTTCGCTTCAATAAGAGCATTTTCTAATGAGGCACTTTTATTGCCAAGTTCCTTTCGTAACTTGCCGTTTTCTTTACTTATTTTAGACAAGTTTGTCTCTATCTCGGATTTAGCTTGATTTAGCTCCACTATTAAACCAGATAAGTTGTCAACCTGCACTTTATTTATTTTCAAATCACTTTGGGTCTTCCCTATGTCTTCAAGTAACGCATCTTTCTCACTCTGCATTTGCTCAATTATGTCATTCTTTTCGCCTATTACTTTGGTGATGTTATCAAAGTTATCTTTCTTCAAACTCATAAGCTTCTGTTCAAGGGATTTTTTGTCTCTGGCCAGTACTAGGGACATCTCGTCTTTCCTAACAGAGTCTTCTTTCAGGGTTTGAACTTCTTTTTCTAATTCAGATAGTTTTAACTTTTTCTCAGCCAATTCCACCCCCAACATTCGTTCTCTTTCTTCGGCATCGTTCTGTTCCTTTTCGAAAGTTTTCGTCGCACTATTCAAGGCTTGTTCAGTCTCGTCTAATTGTTCCTGTAATTTCTGGATTTTCTCTTCAAACTCATCAAACATCTTAATTTTCGCTACATATTCTCTTATCGTTTTATCTTTCATTTCTATGGTCTGTGTTAATCGGTTTATTTCCTCCTGGAAATCGTCGTGGTCTTCAAAATGAACTTTTTTGTGACCTAGTTCTGTAGAATTCGGTTTACCCAAAGGTGCGGATACAGTATAGTTCAAGTTTGACGGCCCAATTCTCTCAATGGATGAAATTTCAGGCTCTATGAGTTCGGTATCGTTTGCACTTTTTTTAAACGAAAACTGATGCAGTCCGCTCAAGCTGTCTTGTTTGCTATTCTCCATACGTCTTATCTGATCGATCGGTTGACTCAAATCTAAAATAGAGATTAGGTTCTCAATGGACCCGCCCGAGTTTTTGAGGTTTTCCAATATTTTTAAGTCGTTTTTGTCCACATTGAGCGAGGTGAAACTATTTAAACACTTCTCGGTGTCCTTTAGCTTGTTGCGCAACATTTCTATATCGGCGTTTTTGTCGGCTATGATATTTTCAACTAGATTAGGTAAAATATGATTTTCGGTGGACAGTCTTTCTTTCATTTGATGGTTTTCCTGCCTGAGGGTTTCCAGCTCCTTCTGCATTTCTACAATCATGTCATCGTCTTTGGCAGAAGCGATGTCGGTTTCTAAATCCCTAATCCGCTCCTGAGCTTCTTTAACTAATTGTTCTTGATAATTAAGTGCTTTATCTTTCATACTTAGTTTCTCCTGTAGGGTTAGGATTTCGTTTTGCAGATCGTAGATTTTCGACTCCAACGATGTATTGGTTTGTTTCTCTATATGTTCTGCCTTGATTCTCTGGTGGTCCAGTCTGATTTGTAAGTCACTAATCAGGACCAGCTGTTCTTGAATCTGTCGCTTCATGTACTCCTTCTCATTCTGAGCTTCCTCCGTTTCATTTTTAAGATGGATCACTTGCATATCGAGGTCTTTGATGCGTTTCATAGCGGCTTCTTCGGCGCGGGTGTGCTTCAATAATTTTTCTTTCAGCCTAGCCAGTTGCTGAAGGGGTACTTCGCATTCGTCCATAGCGATGGAGTTTGGAGTCTGAGGTCTCACCTAAAAGACAATCAAATTATTTAGAATGAAAAAAAAAAACAGAGATATATTTTAAAAAACTTACTAAATCTCTCACTGACATGTCTTCAGATGGAGTGCTGCAGCTATTATTGACGTCTGTTGAATGTAACAATTCCAATTCTCTGGTTTTCTTGTCCAAGTTTACTTCGAGTTCAAATAGCTGAAAAAGAAGTAAATTACTGGAGGGTAAACAGTTGAAATAAATAAAGGAAATGCTGACACAAGCTATGATTCAGTGAGTAAACTATATGCGGAACAATAAAAGACAATAAAACTAAGATTAAAAGAAGATTGCAGAATTGCTTATAGGCCACACTTTCACTAATTATTGAGTAATTATGTTACTCAATAATTTGATGCTTTTGGTTCACGTTGAGGCAATAACCCAAGTAGTATTTTTTTGGACACATTTTAGGAAATGTTTCTAATAATTGTGTCTGTTTCTTGGCACAAAATGGAAACATTTTCGAAACCTATATACTTTATATGGCTTTATTACATGTGTTTTCAATGTGGTGGCACTAGCCGTTTCATGAAATGTTTCGATGCGGAATCAAAAAATGAGAGGAAATGTTTGGAAACATTTTCTGCAATTTGTGTCCAAGATGTTCCCGTTTTCAGCAGCCACTGTTTCTAAATGTGAAGAAATAAAATACCCAACTAAAATAGTCTATGTCTGTGTGTGAATTTCAAAATGAAAACAACCATCAACAATGTCGACCTTTTTGTCTTAAAATCTTTGTTTTTAGGTTTTCTCGCACAAAAAATATCTGGCAAAAGCAAATTCATCGTTTAATTTAATAATGTACTTTCATATTCTTAATGCCCCTTCTATATATCATTATTTGTTGCTACAAAATATTTTTGTTTGAAATATAGATTTTTATTCTTATTTCTAAAATGTTTAAAAGCTTAAAAAGAGTTTAAAAGCTTAACAGCCAATAAAACATATATTTTTAGTTAAAAACGCTATCACTAGCCGACATGGCCGAATTTTAATTCATTATTTTATAAAACTGACTTGGAGTCGGACACAAATCATCTACATTATAACATATTTATGTCTAACAAGAAAGAAACGCGTGTTTCTAAAATGAATCGACAATAAATAGCAACCTTGTTTCCAAAATGTTTTGATTTAGCGCTATCTGTGTAGAAATTTCGAACTAGTCACCTGTCAACAACGCCAATCAAAAGTTCTGGTTAAAATAATTAAAAAAAAATTACTTATAACACAGTTAAAACATAAAAACACGTATTCCATTGTGGAAAAAAAGAGGAAAAAACTTTTGCTGAAAAAAATGGAAACTTTTCAGGCACAAAATGGGTACGAAATCTGTAAATGAGGGCCACATCTGTTTCTTAAAAGTTTCGAAAAATTTGTGGCTCTAAGATCTTTATTGTTATAGCTTGTCTTGAAACTATATTTTGGTAAAACGTTTCCAAACAAAAAGCGATTTATGTTACGAAACATATGTATCAAAAATATGACGAAACTGTTTCTCAGCAGAGATTTTGTTTCGATTTTGTGTCTAAAAATACTACTTGGGAAATAACAATAATTAAAACTGTTGTGTAGTCTATGTGTCTTTCCTTAGTAATTTTATTTAATAGCCTTACAAAGATGTTTTGTGTTTGTTCTAAATCAATAAATACCTGCAATTTGATCTGTCTGACAGCTCCTTCACTTCCCGCCAACTCCGCTCCGATCCTGAGCTGTTGCACTTCCTGTTCCAACTCGTCCACGTGCCGCCTCAGACCCTGTATATCTGAAATATCACCCAAAGCGGAGTTAGGAGATTTCGATTCGACCGAACCCAAATGTTCCTGAACTATACATTCGAGTTTTTCCACGTTGCGCAGCTGCTGCTCGATCTTGCGATCTTTCTCGTCATTCTGTTGCTCCAAATCGCGAATGATCTCCCTAAGAATTCTGATTTTCTCCAAGGACTCTTCCTGCTCTTGTTCGAGCTCCTTGGATCGGTGCTGTTCGTTGTGGATCTGTTTGGCTAGCCCTTGGAGTTGATGTTCGAGCTGCTCGACCTAAGTTAGATCAACGAAGAAAGTAAATACTCTCTTAAAAGATATTGTATAACACCAAATTCATTGTGTAGAAAAGGTTTCAAAAGAAAAACGGCACCCGTATAAGGAATTGATAATGTAAAATAGCTCATATAGATTGTTTTATTCATTAGACAGTCAGTCGACTTACTTGAGATCCATTCGCTGGAAAGAAATGCGCGGTAGGTAATGCGCGGGTAGTCAAAAACTAGCAAAGTCGACTGGCTGCCTAATGAAAAGGCTGTGGTTTTGTAATATCCAGTTTGTATCCCCAAAAAATAAGTACAAAAAATATTTTGGAAATAAGCAAAATAAAAAGTAACAAAAAAGGGCTTACAATTAATTGCATAATATCGTAATCAATTGTAAGCACTTTTTTCCCCAATAAAATAGATATTTTATCATTAGACTACTTTATTTTTGACAATGTTAATTTTCTAGAAACTGTTTTAAATTATACAAAGTGAGTAAACGACAGAGCAAAGTTTTTTATTTCATTTGTCTCGCAAATTGTGTAAAAATAAAAAAAAATCAGTAGTCCTAGGGAATGTCTTAAAAAAATAACTTATTACTTTACTTTTTCTTAACTTTAGAAAACATTGTATTCAATATTTTTCTCGTAATTCCCGTAACAAATGAAACATTAAATTTTTTTTCTATCGTTGACTCAACTTGTGTTAAAAATGTATAGCTCTTTTTATGTTATATTGAAAAATAAATTATACAGGGTGGGTCAAATCCAAAGCTTTTAAATGGAAACACCCTTTTCTATAGGAGATAGACAAAAACTAATATCGGTGTCTGGAGCTCAATTTTTATCAAAAACGTGATGGTGAAAACCTCACATCAATATCTGTTACCGTTACGGAGTTACGGGGTGTTTTTCAAAAATGTGCATTTTAAACAAATCGCTGTAACTTTTTTGCTATGGAAAATTTTGTATTTCTATGAAAACATTTCCAAAGCACCTTTTTACGTAGAATTTAATGGTTTAAGTATAATTTTTTTAAAATTAATAATTTTAAGAGTTATCAACAGAAAAATTGATTTTTTATTTGGGACACCCTCTATATTTTTAATTAACTGAAAAAAATTTAAAATTACCTTTCGAAAAATATAGCACCCTTGATATTTTGTTATAATCCCCTTCGAAATACAGAATTTTTAAAAGTTCGCCACTTTTAACTAGTAGGTTTTAGACCCCTTAATTGATGATATGCCCTTAATGGAACTCGAAAATATATTTTTCCAGCAAGACGCACCGCACCGCCTCTGAACGCTGCAGTTATCAGCAACTTTTTGCAGCCAATTTCAAGAATAATTGAATAGCTAGATCCCAGCCGTTGGCTGTCGAGGCCGCCTGACTTAGTGCCCATGGATCTACTCCTATGGATATATCTGCGGAAGAATAAAGGTTGCTTATTCTTCCGTATAATCTAGACAAGAATTAGAAATACTTAGCAGTTATGAGAGGGTATCTTTCACCCCCACTGAGTTAATAAATTCCGCGGGAAACCTTCAAAAACTACCCCGTCTGTCCATAACAGAAGACGGTCGATATATGTCGAACACCTTTAGCAAAATCTCATGTCTTGATGCTATTTATTTTTATTGTTATTAGATATATACTCTGTTTTTTTTCTCAGGTAAGATTTCGACAGACGATGACAGAAGAAAAGCAGATGACGTCCCATACCAATCTATTTATTTTACTAAAAAAAGTTTCTAATAATTTTTAAGTTATCTATGGATGGGTTTAAATATAAATCCGTCATGCGTCGTGTCTTATTGTTTTTAACCAGTTTTATTGGTTTATTTAAAAAATGACAGATCGTATTTCAATTTTATTGGTTTGACGGAACGATGAACGACAAACGGACGCCGATGCGTATGAACTCGCCTTTAGATTTTTGTCATTTTTGACGCTTGTCAAAGTCTTGCCAAATTATAGGTTATAATTTATAATTTTGTGTCAACTTTTGTTTTTGTTAAATACCCTGCGTTTTGGAAGATGATGCATTTTGATTCGTATTATTACGTGTGTTTTGTGTCTTTTGAAGTCAAGTGGAGGAAAAATCGAGTGAAAATTAACTGTAGACCCAGAGCACAGTTTATGGTTAATATTCGCTGCCCAGGCAGAAAGTCTTATACACCAATGAAGTTGCCGGTTTGTATACCATTTCGTCGTAGATAAGTGCATCTCGTATATGGTAGAAGTTGATCAAACAAACACATACTAAAAACTGGAGTAGCTGTAAAATATCGACATCACACGATAGGTAAATAATGGATTTTAGTACTGCAGAAAAATAATGTCAAAAGGTACTGGTTTAAAAAGTTAAGATTAAAGTTAATTAATCAACCTTTAAGGTATAAAATTTGGTAGGTGTTATTATTAATAAAATAGTTTGTTTTATTTACCTATGTTGTTTTATTTATTCCTGTGGAATATTACAAATTTGTATTTGTACATAAGTTATATTGATAAATATAATCAAATGCGGGGTAGTTTCATAAAGCTGGAAAGTAAATAATAGTTCTTTTATATTTTTTGGTATGTAGTGTCTTGTTCTTTTGTTTTAACACATACCGTTTTTATTAAATAAAATAACTCGATTACATTTTTTTCAGTTTTATACAGTTTTTCTCACAATATTTTGAAGTAATCACTTGTCATCTTGTCAATCAAATTTTAAACCTTCAAATGCGTTCCCCGTTGTACCAACTTATTTCTTTGTAAAATAAAATAAACTACTTTGAAATTAAAATGACAGACACATCTATCACTGTCAAGGATCTTCTCGTTGGACAGACTATAGTTTAAATGTGTTGATGTTCGTTAAATATATTTTAAATTGTTATAAAATTCTGCATCTCTCATAGCAAATATTATTTTCGTTTTAATTAATGCTCACAGCAAGATTTTTTTGCATTTCGGTGCCGTTCAAAGCCTACTTATTTAAAGCGGCCGAATTTTTATATACTCTATATCTCAAAGACGAATCGAGCATAATATCAAGTGTGTTATATTTTTGGAAAGGTAACTTTAAATTCTTTTCAATCAATTAAAAATATACAGGGTGTCCCATATAAAAAAATCAAATTTTCTATTGATAATTCTTAAATTATTAATTTTAAAAAAATTATACTGAAACCATTAAATTCTACGTGAAAAGGTGCGTTGGAAATGTTTTCATAAAAATACAAAATTTTCTATAGCAAAAAAGTTACAGCGATTTGTTAAAAATGCATATTTTTGAAAAACACCCCGTAACTCCGAAACGGTAACAGATATCGATATGCGGTTTTCACCATCACGTTTTTGACAAAAATTGAGCTCCAGACACCGATATTAGTTTTGTCTATCTCCTATAGAAAAGAGTGTTTCCAGTTAAAAGCGTCGAATTTGACCCACCCTGTACAGTTCCTGAATAATAATTTGGATTCCCTTATTCAAAAACAGCTGTACATTTTTTTAAACAATAAAATGGATTACAATAATTTTAAAAGGTGCTGAGCCTCTAAAGTCTTTCTACTGTATTTGATTTCTTATACCGAAAGACCTACAATTTATTTGTGATAAAATTTGTTTTATAATACTTAAGAAAAAAAATATATCAAGATTAACTTTTGATACAATTTATATTATTTCTCCCATTTTCCTTCTACTAGAAAGTATATTTTTGTACAATAAATTATATTACTAACATTTAAATTTAAAATAATATTCATTATCTAAAAGTTTTGCTTAAGACTCTTTTTTTGCAAAATTTATATCACCATCAATGTTTATACAATTATATTATTATAATTGGCTTTAAAAACAAAATTGTAAACTTTCTGTATAATTTCCAAACCAAACAGCAAAAAAAATAAAATAAAAAACTATGTATGTGAAACAAAATTAGTGGGAAAAACTAAAAGGTAGGGTAAGAAGCAAAAGTTTAAACCTAAATACCTGAACATACAGTGCTTTATTTATGTTAAAGTGAAATTAAGTTATATTAGAAACTAAAACTTTGTTAATAAGGTTAGGACTAAAAAAGTGTTAAAATAAAATAAGTTAGTTACTTTTGCATCATGATTCCCCAACAATATTCCACATGTTTAAACAAAAAGCAATAATATATAGAAACACAAAACTGCACAAAACAAGTTAAAACAGTTAAATTTGTTAAACTAAAACACAGGATGTTGCGCCGGATCAACATAAATAAGGTGAATGGGGAAAATGCATGAAAATAGACGCGTTAAAAATAGATCACTCCTGAAAACCTGTATCGGGATGAAACTTAACAGAAAGCCTCCTATTTTTAAGTTAATATTAAAGTGATTAACGTAAAGACCTGAATCTGATAAAAAGCAACTGCATTTTATTTATTTACACACAGTAGAGAATTATAGATTATTTTTATTTTGTAATAAAAATAAAGTTTATAACTTATAAGTATTAAATGTTAAAATGAGATGGGTTGACACAAAAACTAATATACAGGATGGCCCGAACTGTATTCTGGAAACTTCAGCAGCATATTCTATACATAAAAATAAGTAAAAAAGTTCCTATAAACTTATGTCCTAAAATGCTTAGTTTCGGTGATACAGTGGTGTAGAAGTTTCATTTTTATTTCGATTTTTTCCAAATCATTTCTGAAGTAACGTCAATATTTGGATAAAAATTGGGAGTTTTTTTGGCAATATGACTCCTATTTGTAGGGGGCGCCAGCTACATATTTTAACTTTTTGGTTTGAAGAGTGATTATTTTGCGTCTGTACCTGTATAAAACTACTGAGTAAAAAAATACATTTACGTTTTTTTACGTAAAAAGGTGTCTTGGTAAAAATCGCTACGAGTAATGGTTCTTGAGATATTTGAAATCAAGATTATCAATACCTGTCATCAATGACATAAATTAAACATGTTGACTAAATAGTTATTAGACTGAAATCATAAATTTGAAATGTTTTTGCGACAAAAGTTCAACAGAAAATGTTTTATCATCATTTTTTCGAAGAAAAAATTTTGGTTGATTTAAAAAATAAAAAGTTTTTTATTTAAAATTTATAATTTCGGCCAAATACTTATCTACTCAACATGTTAATTTTTTGTCAATAATGATATACAGGGTTGTTTGTTGAAGGTCTATTAGAGATACAATTTAAAAATATTTTTACAAGATACAGAGTGTCCCAAATAAGTGAAAAATATTATAGTTGTATTTTTTAAATGGAACACCCTGTATATTATTCTATTTTTGGATTCTACGATTGAAATAAAGGTAAATTTTATTAAAGTTTATCACACTTAAACCTTACCGTTTTTGAAATATTCTCAATTTTATGAAATTGCAGTAAAAATTTTAAGGCTTTATTTCTCCTAGGGTATCAAAGTTTTTAATACTAAATATTTACTGAAGATTATTTATTGATCAGATATTGTGTTGCAATAATACAAATTTTACTACCTTATACAGAGTGTCCAAAAATTTATATTAAATAATTACTAGCTTTAAACGGCAATAACTTGTTTCATTTAAATGGAACACCCTATATATTTTACGTGAACCAGATGCACAATGTAATTGTCTATCAAATTGTATTATGCCATTTTTTACCCATCTCTTCAAGTTTTCGTAGAAATTGCATTTTGTTATAATTTAGACCTCATTTATCACTATACCCATGGAATATTGACATTTCAGATTTTTTTATAGCACCATAATATGTACAAAATGTACAGGTGGTAAATATTGCATGCCCATTGGCATACAAAAAAACTATTTAAATCTTTGTAAAAGAGTATACCAATTAAATATACCACCATTATTTCCTACCAAAAAAAACACAAAAATAAGTTAATTACATACTTTTAAATTGTTTTAATTAATAAATTATTCTAAATAAATGTGGATTTGGCTCAGAAATCAATATAATAATAAGTTATGAAAATGAATGTCTCTGTTTTTATAAATAAGCATTCGTCAATAAATGAAATAAAATTTATAAGGTGTTACTTTTTACCACACTGTGTAATACACACACAAAATTCAGTTTTTTAGTATTTGGAACAATTATTACTACAACGTAAACAGTCAATTAATGTAGTTTGAATACTGGGATCATATTAATTGGTCCTCTTTAACAAAAATATTAAACAGTTTTTTTTTTATTTTTTAATTAAATAAGCGAACTATATCAACAATATTAGTATATGTACCCTTTGAAAATTTGTTACATCTTTAAAAATAAGCTAAAATGTCAATATTCCATGGGTATAGTGATAAATGAGGTCTAAACTATAAGAAAATGCATTTTCTATGAAAACTTGAAGAGATGGGCAAAAAATGGAACAATACAATTTGATAGACAATTACATTATGTATCTGATTCACGTAAAATATATAGGGTGTTCCATTTAAATTAAACAAGTTATTGCCGTTTAAAGCTAGTAATTATTTAATAAAAAATTTTGGACACTCTGTATTAGATCGTAAAATTTTTTATTATTGCAACACAATATATGACCAATAAATAATCTTCAGTAAATATTTAGTATTAAAAACTTTTATACCCTTGGAGAAATAAAGCCTTAAATTTTTTTCTGCAATTTCATAAAATTGAAAATATTTCAAAAACGGTAAGGTTTAAGTGTGATAAACCTTAATCAAATTTACCTTTATTTCAATCGTAGAATCCAAAAATAGAATAATATACAGGCTGTTCTATTCAAAAAAAATTCAACTATAATATTTTTTACTTATTTGGGACACTCTGTATCTTGTAAAAATATTTATAAATTGTAGCTTTAATAGTCCTTCAACGAACCCAAAACTTACAATTTGTAAAAATCTAATCGTTTAGCTACAATACTCCGTGTCGTATGTGGTGAACATCCCTGTATATTGACTATATCCATTCTAAATAGCTTAAGAACGGTTGCTCGCAGTTATTTTTACCAAGAGATGTATATTTTTTTCACTCAGTAGTGTAATACAGGGACGGACGAAAAGTTATTATTCTTCAAAACAGTTAAAAAATGTAGGTGGCGCCCCTTACAACTGGGAGTCATATTGACATCGAAATCAAATTTCTCGTATTAAATAAACACATACTATTACTAATTTTCATCAAAATACCGAATTTAGTTGAGAAATTATTAGGAAAAAATCGAAATAAAAATGAAACCTCTACACCCTGTATCTCAGAAACGAAGCATTTTAGGACATACTTATGGATGTTTCGTATAAACTTTTATACGAAGTTTTTTACTTATTTTTATGTACCGAATATGCTGCTGAAGTTTCCAGAATACAGTTCGGACCACCCTGTATATTTATTTACACAGAGTGTTATATTGTCAATGTAAAATATGATAATATTGGTAGTAAATTAATTAATTTAAAAGAACCAAAAAAAAAAACAGATTTTTTTTAACTTAAAACGGCAAAGAGGAAATATATTTCTTTCATCGAGATCTAAAAGCCCCGAAAATATTGGAAGTTTTTGACAGTTATTGTGAATTATTGGTAGTATATTGTAAATTATTTATATCACAGTTTTAACGTTTGAAGAAGTCTTAACAGCAGTACCTATTACTGTCAAAAACTTCATTAGTGATGAGTTGAAGTAGAAAGATTTCATGCAGTAAGTTGAAGGAAAAAGTTTATGTTGTTAGAGCATATAAATTTTCCTAATTTTGGTAACTGTATAGGAAAAATATGAAATGTTGTTATTCCCTTTTTTTGTTAGCAAAATTTTCGCAATGGTAAAGTTTTGTATACCTGTGTGTTTTCTTACTTATGTTTATTTTTTAATTAAAAATCTACGATTAATGGAAGGAGAAGAAATGAATGTGTACCTAAATCAAAGTAAAATAAGAAATAAAATACAATGAGCAAATGCTGAGAATAGATAAAAAAATAATTGTTGAATAACTTATGACAAGTGATTGTTTTTACCTTTTTATAAGCCTCTACTTCTAGCGATCTACAGCCAAACTTCACATGGTGCTGCCGTATCACAATCCCGAAAACATGCAACAGTGAATTAATAATCAAACTTAAAACAGTGTCACGCCACTGTCTGCATAGTGGCATCAGTGTGTGAAGTAAAGTTAATTCAAAACTACTGGGTAATTTGGTTAGTGCTCTTTACATAAATAAAATTCTGAATTTATATATACCTTGTACATTTTTTTCTTATTTATATCTTTAAGAAAATGCTTTTGACTTTTTAGGGGCATTTTAAAAAATATTTTTTATGCTAGTATCACCCAAACATTGTTTATTTTGGATAAATTATATTAGATACATACAAACTTTAAGTCAAATTTTAAAGTAACAGCTGTAAACATATCCATTCCAATAAGTCATTTTTTTTAAAAAATAGTTGTTAATTTCACACACCAGAGAAAAAACCTCAACTATATACGGTGATGGTTTGAGAAAAAAAAACAATGTGCTACCCTGCATAATCCAAAAAAGCACCAACCTTACAAAAATTCTACAAAAAAGCGATTGCATCTGTTTCATAATCCTTTAGGTGTATATTTAAACAAGAATCATTTTAAAATTACACATCACCTTCAATAATTTTCCAAATTAATGTATTTAGCAATAAAATCTGTCATAATATGATATAAAAACAATTTCAGACCTTTTTTCTATTCATCTGCCAAGAATGGCGTTCAAAAGAAGAAGAATAATATATCATCTGATCTAATAATATTATATTATTAGAGTATGTCCAACAAGGGGACCCATAACAGTTACAGTTATGTCTGTCGTTTTATCTCACAGGTAAATTGTATTTGCTGTCATTTTTTGGATGTCGTCTGTCGATATCTCCCTTAACTCGTTGGGCTATACGATCCTGGTCACTTCATCTGCGTGATCTATATTTTAAAGCATGCGACAGAGATAAATATAAATGACCGGTTCACAGACAGAGAGACAAAATAAAAAGCGGCATACAGTGTTGCCGGTTTTTACCTGTGTAGGAAAATGTGTGTAGCAATAAATAAACTATTTTAAAAACTTTCATGTTTTCTACTGAAATGAAGATAATATATCTAAGACAAATATAATCTATTACAGTTGTAGTAAAATGAGTAATTAATTGTGGAAATTAAAGTTCCAACCCTAGATGTAACATTTTTCGTAAACGACTTGAAATTTTGATGCGAAATCCGGCAATACCGCATAGAAGTGATGTATCGACCCAATTTTTATATCTTTTTTATACATTTGATTACCCATTAAGCTGTCTACATCATTGTCTTACACGTCAGTTTACTGTTACTATTGTAAATATGATAAAAGTGATTTTAATTGTAAAAACTGAAATCTAAAAACAATTTCGATAAAAAAATCATAATTACAGTGCTACCTAACTTTTTTACACAGGGGACATACACCCTGGTCCTAGATATAGTTTGTCTCAAAGGAATATATGACAGAGTAACAGCTGTCTACCATTCAAAAGAATATTGTTTCGCTGTCATGTTCAGTTGTTTCTCGAAATCATAACCAAAAAATTACATACAAAAAATTTGCAGAAAATTAATTTTAAGCTTCGTTTCCGTGCATCCGAATTTCTTAATTTTTTTGAGAAAAACTGACATTATATCCATAGATAAAGGACATAAATTTAGATTGGAATGCCTGTCAAAATATGTAACTGTTTTGGGTTGGGACCGTTGTACGTGACCTGGCGCTGCTGTATAGCGGTTGCTAAGAGCAACCGCCAAACAAGGACAGAAATAATTTTCTCTTGTCAAAGTCAGATCTTCAAAAATTATAAAACCTTTCAAAATTTAAACCGCCCTCATTGAAAAAATACCGAAAAGTTTTTAAAGCGTCCATTTTCAAAGTAATTATTGCTATCTTGTGAGTTTAATTTAAATTTTATTTATTCAAACCCGTGATAATTGTGAAAAAGTGACATTAAAAACTTAAAAAGTTGTGTTGTGAACTGAGAACTGCAAAAAACATCGTGGATAACGTCGGTTTCCAATGTTTCATAGGTATTTCATACATGTCCTTATATAAAATAAAGTTTCTTGTATGCAACACACTGTATTTTATTTATAAAATTAAAAGAAAATAATAATACATTTGAATAAATAATATTTGGCGACACAATTCTGGAAAAAGCCGAACCGCTCCGAAATTATTAAAAGCTTTGGGTCGCGACCGTTGCACGAATAGCGCCAAATAGTATTTACATTCTCCTTATGGGCACTTATTTCCAATCAAAACTTCTTTCATTTATCTATGATTATATCCTTTAAAAAGTATTGGAGGAAAATATAATCTATATTAATTTACAAAAACATGTTACTGAATATCTGGAAAATGTTTGAAGAAGATGTGGTTTATATGATTCTCGTCGTACCTGTTATACACACAGTGCACGATACTCACCTCCTTGGACATCATTTGATAGTTAGCTCTGTCTTTATCTCTATCTTTCAACTGCTCATAGAGTTCGTTGATTTTCCTCTGAGCCTCGTCTCTTTCCTGCTCGCGTTCCACAGCCTGCTCTTCGAGGAACTTTTGCGTCGTTTTGTATTTTTTATCGGCCGCCTCGATCTAAGCAACGTTTGGAATTTTTGTACGGGTTTTTCGTAAAAACTTTTTAATCGAAAAATATAGGATAGAGGGTATGCGAGAAGTGTGCCTAATATTGTGTAAAAGCCCCAAGCTACGTATGATACCACGTGAATAAACAGATGACACATGCTCTTGTTTATAGTAGACAACATACATTCATTGCGAACATAACAAAAGATGCAACAAGTTGATGTTCGAGTTCCTATAATTTATTTATAGTGTAAGAATGCAGTCAAAAATACTTTGAATTCTCTAAATTTTCAACATTTAGCAAAAATTATTGAGAATTGTGATAAATCTTCATTTAGTAAATCGTTAATAAAAACATGTTTATCACATTAAAAATAGTGCAATGCTTTTTAGGAAATTAGCATTATTGCCATCAGAAGTTTATATACAGGGTGATTCTTAACCTATACGCATAAAGTTGGGAAATTATTGCTGATGACAAATAATGACTAATAATGAAAAAAAAAGTTAGTAAAATATTTTTATTTACGGAGATAGAAACTATTTGAAATAAAAACAAAAAACGTAAATTCCATTAAATTGAATGTGCATTTACTGATAAAGTTGATAAATTTTTGTGAAAAAAAATCTCAAATTATTTCAGAATCTACAAATATTTTACTTAATTTTTTTTTCATTATTAGTCATTATTTTTCATCGGCAATTAATTTCCCAAGTTTATGCATATAGGTTAAGAATCACCCCGTATATGTTTTATTTCATGTCATCACTTTGTATAATATTCAGTATTATTTTAGTACAGTGACGTGCATATATTGTATGCAAAAAGGCGTTGCTTACTTAAAATCATTTTTTTTCAAACGTCACAAAGTATTGTTTGTGACATGATTGATAATATAAAAAAGTCATTTTAACGCCTAGGCACAAAGTAAAACACTTTTACACCTAAGCATAAAAGTAAGAAAATATATTATTAAACTGACATAAAGTGTCAAATTCAACGAGCAGTAACCATAATTTCTCGATATACAGGGTGAGTCTTAAAGAGGTGCAAATATTTTCAGGTCTGGAAGATCTCGATAAAAGAAACATATTTTCCCTTTACTATTTTTCAGATAAGTCCAAAATAACCGAGTTATTTAAGTTTGAAAATAAAAAAAAAATAATTTATTTTGAAAAAATTTGGAGAGCCACCGGATTTTTCTATAATTGCATCCCTTTGAATAAGAAGACTAAGGAAGGAGCATAATGCTATCCATGTATTCATGCATGGTGGGCGGAAAAAGGACTCTAGGGTGGGGATCCTTGACAGTTTTGTTTGACGATTCATTTGACACATTTGAATTTGATTTGAAATTTTGTGGATTTGTCAGTCTTTATGGAGCTTATTTTATGTTATTTATTATTTATTCTACTACTGATAGTTGTGTAAAGGTAGTAAATCTAGAGGGAAATTGTGGCAGAACTTAAATTAACAGTGACACTATCGCGAGTTATCGAAAAAGACTCTAAAATAGTTGGTTGTGTAGCGTGCGGTAGATCTCGACAAAAATCGAGTGAAATAATGAAACAACTTTTCGCTAGTAAGTGGCTATATAATATACATACGTGTAGTAAACCGATCATTTATGAAATTCACTTAAATTAACTAATTATATATTTTTTCTTGCATTTTTGCTTTATTTGCTACTTGTCAAAGATTAGATGTCAAAGAATTTAGATACGTCAATTTGACTTACCTGTTTCAGTAGCGTATCGGATGTTTATGTTAATAAATAATTATTAAAACTTATCTATTTTTATTATAATAATATGTTTTTATAATTTTAATAACAACCTTTGAATAAGAAGACTAAGGAAGGAGCATAATGCTATCCATGTATTCATGCATCTACCCGGAAAAACCCACCATCATAGTTTTGCATTTTTAAATAAAATTCTCTAGGGTGGGGATCCTTGACAGTTCTGTTTGACGATTCATTTGACACATTTGAATTTGATTTGAAATTTTGTGGATTTGTCAGTCTTTATGGAGCTTATTTTATGTTATTTATTATTTATTCTACTACTGATAGTTGTGTAAAGGTAGTAAATCTAGAGGGAAATTGTGGCAGAACTTAAATTAACAGTGACACTATCGCGAGTTATCAAAAAAGACTCTAAAATAGTTGGTTGTGTAGCGTGCGGTAGATCTCGGCAAAAATCGAGTGAAATAATGAAACTAACTTTTCGCTAGTAAGTGGCTATATAATATACATACGTGTAGTAAACCGATCATTTATGAAATTCACTTAAATTAACTAATTATATATTTTTTCTTGCATTTTTGCTTTATTTACTACTTGTCAAAGATTAGATGTCAAAGAATTTAGATACGTCAATTTGACTTACCTGCTTCAGTAGCGTATCGGATGTTTGTGTTAATAAATACTTATTAAAAATCTATTTTTATTAGAATTATATATTTTTATAACAATTTTAATAACTACCAACATTTATTCAATTCACGTAAAATAAAACAACAAATTATTGAGTCTACCCCACGTCTACCCTACATCATAGTTTTACATTTTTTAAATAAAATTAGAACGACACTGATAAACCGGAATTTAAGTCGGCCATATTTGAGGCCCATCGCGGTGTACCTAAGATTTTTGATATGCTCCTTCCTTAGTCTTCTTATTCAAAGATAACAACCAACATTTATTCACAACGTAAAATAAAACAACAAATTATTGAGTCTACCCCACGTATACCCTACATCATAGTTTTACATTTTTTAAATAAAATTAGAACGGCAAGATTTTTGATAGGCTCCTTCCTTAGTCTTCTTATTCAAAGTTGCATCCCTTTTAGTGCCGTAACCATAGAGTAAAGCCGTAACTATGGTAATATCAGAGATTAAGAAATTAAGCTGTACGCACACTGGTGCGATCACGATCTCCACGCGGCCGCGGCCAAAAGTTGCTGAAGAATACATATGAGCCGTTTCACACTGGCGCGATCGAGTTTTGGAGACAAAGCGGCTTGGCGGCGTTCTATTCTGCGGTGGCGATCAGATTCAACTTGTCGAGTTTGATCGCGTGATCGCGGCCCAACTGATAGGAATTTTCCATTATTTTGTGTGTTTTTTCTTGTTGTAATTTAGAAATGGAGTTAACAGAGCAGCTAATTAAGGCTGTAAAAATACACAAAATTCTATATGATTTATTTGATCCAAGTTACAAAAATAATAGAATTAAAAATAAAAAGTTTCAAACAAAATTGGAATTGCAATTGGGTTGGATACTACATACATGGATTTTTATTGTTTATGTTTAAATATCGTAGGTAAATTTTAAGAATGTTTTTTTTTTCGGTATACATAATTCAGATTTTTAATTTGTATACCTATAGGATGGCGCACTACATATAGGTACGGTGGTGAACGTGAACGCGTTGGTGTGTGCTAGAATGATCGCTGATGTTATCGCTGCCCTGATCGTGATCGTACCAGTGTGTGTGTAGCTTTATACCGTGGGAAAATTTGCGATGAACAGGCAGTTCTAAAAAGTTTTCGAAAAAATATACAGGGAAATTTAAAAGAAAATGCACGATTTTCAACATTTTTTTAGCGAAAAAAACCACATAGACGTGTTCCTGGGGTCGAAATATACCACCCCTGAAAATATTTGCGCTTATTTAAGACTCACCCTGTATATTTACTTACAAGATATTACTTTTAAATCTTTTTATATTATTTAGAACGTTTAAAATTGTTTAAAACATTAATTGTGACGTTTAAAAAAAAGCATGTTCTATTCCGTGTAAAAATTACTTTTTGCGCCTCGCCTGTAATGTCGTCAAACATACAGTCTTACCACAAAAATATTGTAATGTTACGTGAATGCCAGTGGGATGACAATAACATTTTATAACAGAAGTATGAAGTAATAAACCTTTTTTTTTGGGATTTTTCTCTCACTGTCTTAATGGTAATCTATCATCAGCAATGATGGAAATGTATTTCGCTTGCTGTTTTACTCTAACTCATTAATTCCCCATATATATCTAGAAGGTTAAGCTAGAAGGACATATCACGAATAACCTTGTATACAACAATATACTTTTAATAATACTGTCGATTCGAAATTACATAAAACATCATTTTTTCATCACACATTTCACATCAGAGGCTATTAAGTTTATTTTTACAGCAGAGCTCAAAATTTCCAAATTAAATAACACAAAAAATGTCTACCTAATACATTCCTTATTGAAAGGCGCAACTTATGATTTCAATTCAATCAATTCTAGGAACTCATACATCAATCTGAGTTGAATTCTTTAAGCAAAATTAAGTTATGAAATCTTTTAAGCTACTTACCTGTTGTATCATGTCATTCTTCTCCCTTTTAGTGCCTTGTTTAACCCTCAGTCCCACGCTGTGATACTGTTCTATCAGTTCGAAAATGTCTGGATTAATGCTAGCCCTGGACTGTGCCATCATTGTTCTTGCTCTCTCTTGAAGATCTGAGAGCGTTCTTATGGCATCGTCTGAAACAAAAACGGAATGGTAAACTAAGTAGATAAATTAATATGTCCACATTAAACAATATTATCAGTCCCTATTATTTAGTTTTCTAACAAACCATTAGTAATATCAAGTAATCTATTTACGTAATGCGTTCTAGTGGAAATGGTTATAAGGGGGTTATTTTCTCTAAAAAGTGTATTTTGTTTTATAGAAAAAAGTACCGTAATATCAAAAAAACTGAGTCAAAGACGGCTGGGGTTTGAATATCGATGATAATTTCGGGAAGGTCAAGCTCTAGAAGTCATTTACTAAGAATTTACACAAAACTTGCCTAATATTAACACTAATTATAGAAAGATTCAACATACATACAATCCTAAATGTTCACCCTTATACCATCAACCCCTATTTTTAATAGGTGTTTTTTTTAATTTTTTGTTAGCTTATTACTCTGCCGAAATTGCGTGACCGATTTTGATGAAATTTTATATGTATGTATATTCAGTAGGTCTTGTATAGAATAGGTTATCTATTTTTCATACCCTTAAGTGATAAGGGTGGTCCACACCACATTTATTTTTTTCTTTTTGAACTTTTTTTACTTTTTTTATTTTATTTTTTCATGATGTGGCTTTAAAAAATACATACAACCCTAAATTTTCACCCTTATACCATTATTAATGCATGATTTTAATGAAATTTTATATGTATATTCAGTAGGTCTGAGAATAGGTTATCTATTTTTTATACCCCTAAGTGATAAGAATGGTCTACCCCAATTTTTTTTATTTTTTTATGATGTGGCATTAAAAAATACATACCTACAACCCTAAATGTCCACCCTTCTACCGTCAACCCCTATTTTATATTACGCGTGGCCGGGTCTGCTAGAAATGTATAAAATACAGGGTGGGTCTTAAATTAGTGCAAATATTTTTCGATGTAGTGTATTTCGACCTCAGAAACACGATTATGAGTTTTTTTCAGCGAAAAAAGATTGAAAATTTGGAATTTTCTTAAAAAAATTTTGGAATTTTTTTTATTTTTTAGTTAAAAAACAACTTCTTGATAATATGACAACATAGGTAGTAGATTAAACTTACAAGAAACAAAATCCAGAAAAGATCCATTGGTTCTCAAAATTTAAGCAAAAAATTACTTTTTTAGAAATTTTCTAAGTATAACTCCGTTATTTTGGACTTATTTGAAACAAGGTAAGAAGAAAATATATTTCTTTTATCCAGGTCTACCAGCCCTGAAAATATTTGCACTTATCTAAGACTCATCCTGTATAATTCATAAAATTTGTAAAAAAGTAAAACAGCAACGTTTACCAGAGAACAGATGTTTTTGCTGCATAGCAATTTTTCTTTTAACCGTGTTATAGACAATCTCAAATGTCAAAACCATGAAGTCAAAAAACTTTAGTACAATGTACAGGGTGGCTCGAATTCGACGGTCATCATTGGGATTTCGGAAACCGTAAGAGATACAGGATCGGTTAAATGGAGGCAAAGTTGCGCAATTTGATGCTCAATAAAATGCCGAATTCGTGAGCCACCCTGTACACTAATGTAATAACTTGGTGAGTAAAAGAGTGCCCATGAAAATTATTTAAAACATACCTAATTCAGGCAATGGAATACTTCCATCTTCACCATATCCCTCAGACACGACTTCCCTCCTCCCATCCTCCACCAATTCGGCAATTTTATATTTAGCCTGCTCCAATTCCGATTCTAAAATTCGAATTTTCTCCATCAAAGTTAAAATGGCATCGTTCGATTCCGACAATTCCTGTTTCAACCTGAAACATCAACCATTGAAAAAACCAATAAAAAAAGTTTAAATATTCCCCGCACCTTTCATTCTCTAGCGTCTCAAAGTTTAATTTTTTCGACAGCGAATTCAATTTATCATCCACCGAATTCCTGGGCGATGCCACAGGCTGAACCCTAGGCAAATTGGTCGTAAGGGTCAAAATAGCGTTGGCTTCCTGTCTCAGCTTATCCAAACACATCCCCAGCTCGTTCTTCAGATCCTCCGAAATGTCTATCGAAGAATCGTTATTCTGACTTTGGTGCTCGATCATATTGATGAGCTCGCTAAAATTTGGGGTTAAGTGCACCCTGGGCACGTTGGTAAGACTGTCCAGTATCTTACTAGAATTAGTCGTACCGCTGGACGTGTCCAAATTTAATTCGTCGTCCATATTACTCGAGTTTTTATCGATACCCTGCCTTAAAAGTTCATCCACTAAAGTATTGTTCAGCGCATCCTCAGCTTGAGTAAAGTATCTCAAAAGTTCAGAGAGAAGGTTTCTCAAAGAAATAACCTGTTTCTTTAGATTATCTCTAAAAATAAAACAGAGTCATAAATAGAAGTAGAAAAAAATAGAAAATAGAAAAACAATAGTTTTGCGTCTGTTAAAGCCTAACCGCGAAGGTACTTTAAAATGGCTGACTTAAATACCAGTTTATCTGCTGCGTTCTATTTTACCGCTGATTGAAAGAATTGGAAAGATACGCAACCTAAGAGCTCGAACTCACTGTCCGTCGGCTGGCCGTGTATTGCGTTTATAGCTGCAGCCAGATGAACGACCAGTTTCAACAGAGTTGTCAGATCTAACGATTTTTTACGTTTTACCAAATAGAAAATATTTTTTTCAGAAAGAATTAAGTTTCAGAAATGTTAAAATATCCGAGTTAACTAAAAAGCGAAGTTGCTATTCATGAGCTTATTAAATGTTCTAATATTAAATAATGCATTTAAAATATTCTTGGATTTTTCGTTAATAAATACTGGTGTGGTAAATGGAGTAAGTAAAATCTCCAACCCCCCGGCTACACGATAACGTCGTTATTTCCATGTTTTTCAAATCCGCGATGCCTGCTATTCCATCAGTCGTTTCATAATAGAATATTCTACATCCTATGTCTATGTAATTTAATATGTGTAGAGTGAGACATGTAACTCGTGAGATTTTCAGCATTATATCAATAAAGGACAAAAACAGTATTGTTCCTAAAGGTGCGTCCAGACTTCAGCATTTTAGCCCGAACGAATCGAGCGCGCACGAACAAGCAGAACAAATAGGCCGAACAAAAAGCATTGTGTACGCGCGACCGACAGAAAGGGATGTATTTTGTTTCTTTTTTCTACTGATATGGACTTCTACTGATGGCTCTTATCGACTTTAGAAGTATACATATATTAGGGCCATCGTAAAAAAGTTTATCAGACACTGGCTCTAAATATAAGCAGGTAGAAAATTTAGCTTCCAGTTATTTCAATGTTTACAATATAAATTCCTCTTTTTTATTGTTACTGAGAATCTACAACAGTAAATACTTCTATTTTTATGAACGTTAAAGTTACTTTTACTCTTAATTTTTTTAAAAAATAATGTACCTAGTAGAAATATAGTCTAATGGACCTTGTTTGAAAAACGTTAAATTAAATATAATATTTAAAATACAGTTGTCCTCCTTGTACATGACTACAATACAACTAAAAAAACTAATTTAATAAAAAAAAACAAGGGGTTGTAAAAAAACTTTAAATATGATTTTTTTTATATTTTTTAACATCGAAAGTTGAAGGTATAATTATAAGGTAAACAGTTATCATATATAACAGGTATCGATAAATAGAGTATGTCATATAAAATTTTTTTGAATTTTTACTAGAATCGACCCTTGATAAAAAAGGGACTAGATTTAAGTTTCCCTTTGATCCCGTCTGTATACTATTTCTTTGGATTTTCTGCACGTGTGCAAAAACTACACTAAAACACTATATCTTATAGAAAATAAAATATTGTGCGTTGAATTTGAGGGATTTCGTCTGAAAAATTATTAATTTAGAAGAAAACCGTCAACAAGCGGCAGAAAATAATAATATTTTAGTGCAGTCTACTGGTCGCAACGACCAACGGACGGCCAGGACGTTAGTGTGCGCTGTATCATTTGATTTAATGATTTTAGAAGTAGCAGTGGCCTGGCCGGTGCGACCTGGTCGTCAGTGTGTTCGAGCTCTAATGGGCAAATTCGTGACAAGGCTGATTTAATTTCCCCTTACGTCTCAAGTGCTGTACGGTGGAGACACTGATCGTGCTGCGGCCAGCGCATAAAGTACTTATTTTCTCTAATTCGGCCAGCGAAGGCATATCGAAGACGGTGTAGAACTGAAAGCGACAGTGTTGCCATATAATGTGTATCTGTAATACGTTTCACGAAAATATTTTTGGATCAAAAATCCGCGTTTATGTATTGAAGATTTGGACTAGTAGTAATAATATTTAATAATAAAGTAGGTAAAATATATAAAATATATTAGAATATATTATTTTTTTTTTACTTTAATGTTATTAATTGTGATTAATAAAATTGCGTTTCTCTGAGCAAGGAGGCCGAATTTGACAAAATATCAAGAGATAACTTTTAATCAGCACTAAACGGCCTACATAATTTTGATGTCAAAAGAAAAAAAGTCAGTGGCGCACCTTCCTTTTTTTTTGTAAAATATTCTAGTGTTAACCCATATGCACATGCCTGATGAGTCTATCGACACTTTTGTAGCATTAAAATATGTAGCATTCATAGTAACTTTTACCCTCAAAATTTCATTCGAAAAGCTAAAAGTACTTGGAAGAAAATTCGAAAAAATATAAAGACTTTAATACCCTGTAGCTACGAAAATAGTAGAATTGGATCTATGTTGATATGAAAAATAAATCTTATTTTTACGTGAGGAATATCCCCAAGAGAGATGGCATATGTTTTTGAAACACCCTGTATACTATGCATAAAATCAATTAGGAAAATTAACAAGAAAGGACCTAAAATGTGTTCAGAAAAACGCAGAAAAAAAATAAATTCAAATGTGTCAAGTGAAATGTCAAACAAAACTGTCAAAAGAAGGTATTTCAAAAATGATACTTCACAGGCTGCTTATTTATAAATGGTCATATAAAACATTCATTAAAAATACCTTTCTTTTAGTAGCGCGGTATCACTTTTGCTAATACTGTCATCATCCTTCAGACTTCTTCTACGAGCCCTTTCAATAGCCCCATTCAGTAATTTCAAATGCTCCCCTTTGAGATTGGCAATTTCTTTTTGGTGTTCCTCTTTCAAAATCCTTATTTCCGACTCGTATTTTTCGACAAACCTGTCGCGTAGTTGTAGCAACTCCGATGGCCACTCTTCTTCATCCGCTGCATTTGAAACTAACCTCTACAGATGAAATAACGTTTAAAAAATATTTAATTTAAATAAAAGTAATATAAGAACCTGAATCTGCTCTACTAGCTCGTTAACAAGATCAATCTTAGCTAGATTGACTTGTTCTTGTAACCTTCTCTCATAACTTTCAATTACTTCATTGATTTCGAAATCTCCAGAACTTCCCTAATAAAGAAAGCAATAAATATCAAAATACAGGGTGGTCCGAACTGTATTCCAGAAACTTCAGCAGGATACTTTGCAGATAAAATAAGTAAAAAATTTCGTATAAATGTTCGGAGATACAGGGTGTACAAGATTCATTTTTATTTCGATTTTTTCCAAATAATTTATGAAGTAATGTGTTTTTTGACATGAGAAATTTGATTTTGATGTCAATATGACTCCTATTTGTAGGGGGCGCCACCTACATGTGTTTTAACCTTTGAATAAGAAGACTAAGGAAGGAGCATAATGCTATCCATGTATTCATGCATGGTGGGCGGAAAAACCACCATAAAAGCACTCTAGGGTGGGGATCCTTGACAGTTCTGTTTGACGATTCATTTGACACATTTGAATTTGATTTGAAATTTTGTGGATTTGTCAGTCTTTACGGAGCTTATTTTATGTTATTTATTATTTGTTCTACTACTGATAGTTGTATAAAGGTAGTAAATCTAGATGGAAATTGTGGCAGAACTTAAATTAACAGTGACACTATCGCGATTTATCGAAAAAAGACTCTAAAATAGTTGGTTGTGTAGCGTGCGGTAGATCTCGGCAAAAATTGAGTGAAATAATGGAACAACTTTTTCGCTAGTAAGTGACTATATAACATACATACGTGTAGTAAACCCGATCATTTATGAAATTCACTTAAATTAACTAATTATATATTTTTTTCTTGCATTTTGCTTTTATTTACTACTTGTCAAAGATTAGATGTCAAAAGAATTTAGATACGTCAATTTGACTTACCTGCTTCAGTAGCGTATCGGATGTTTGTGTTAATAAATAATTATTAAAACTTATCTATTTTTATTAGGAATTATATATTTTTATAACAATTTTAATAACTACCAACATTTATTCACAACGTAAAATAAAACAACAAATTATTGAGTCTACCCCACGTCTACCCTACATCATAGTTTTACATTTTTTAAATAAAATTAGAACGACACTGATAAACCGGAATTTAAGTCGGCCATATTTGAGGCCCATCGCGGTGTACCTAAGATTTTTGATATGCTCCTTCCTTAGTCTTCTTATTCAAAGGTTTTAACTGTCCGCGACTTTCTACGTAAAAATCGTCTCTTGGTAAAAATCGCTATGAGCAACCGTTCTCAAGATATTGTCGAGTTATCAGACTGAAATAATAAATTTGAGAAATTTTTATTTTTTTAAATTAATCTATGATAAAACAGTTTCTGTTGAACTTGTGGCACAAAAACATTTCTAATTTATGATTTCAGTCTAATAACTATGTACAGGGTGGGTCAAATTCGACGCTTTTAAATGGAAACACCCTTTTTTTTAAAAGTGGCGAACTTCAAAAATTCTGTATTTTGAAGGGGATTGTAACAAAATATCAAGTGTACTATATTTTTGGAAAGGTAATTTTAAATTCTTTTCAGATAATTAAAAATATAGAGGGTGTCCCAAATAAAAAATAAATGTTTCTGTTGATAACCCTTAAATTGTTAATTTAAAAAAATATACTTAAACCATTAAATTCTACGTAAAAAGGTGCTTTGGAAATGTTTTCATAGAAATACAAAATTTTCCATAGCAAAAAAGTTACAGTGATTTGATAAAAATGCACATTTTTGAAAAACACCCCGTAACTTCGAAACGGTAACAGATATTGATGTGCGGTTTTCGCCATCATGTTTTTGATGAAAATCGAGCTCCAGACACCGATATTAGTTTTCGTCTATCTCCTATAGAAAAGGGTGTTTCCATGAAAAAGCGTCAAATTTGACCCACCCTGTACAGTTGTACAAATATAGGAAGAGACTTGGGGATAGTACCGGTCGCGTGTTATTTTATATTTCTCACGTCTCTAGCTATACTTGTTAAGTTGTAATCAACATGTTTAACTTATATCAATGATGATAGGTACTGACAATTTCGATTTCAAATATCTCGAGAACCATTACCTGTAGCGATATTTACAAAGAGACTATTTTTATGTAAAAAAATCGTAAATGTATATTTTTTTACTCAGTTGTATTAATTTAGACAGGTACAGAAGAAAAGTTACTACTTTTCAAACCAGTTAAAAAATATGTAGATGGCGCCCTCTACAAGTAGGAGTCATATTGACTTCAAAATATCCTATAATAGGTCAGTTTTAAAGGGAATTTATTCATTTATTTCAAAAAGGACACTCTATATATTATTTTGGTGTTTAATGTAGAAATGACTGTTTAAAATACTAATAAGCTTAATTTCCAAACAGATAAATACTTTTCTAGGTATTTACGTTTTTATGATTTAGTGTCAGTAGATCTTATAAAAAAATAAAGTGAAAAAAATTTACTACTTCAAGACATTTACCTCACATAACGCATGTACCTATGTATGTCCAATTTATTTCTCAAAACTTCTGAATATATGACAGAAATAAAACATATTAAAATACACAATTTTTAACAATCATTTTGCTTACAAAAGTGTATTATTGTGTATTGTATGAATGTTTAAATGATCACAATACACACAAGAATTCTCAAATGTTATTTTTAAGTTATATAATTATTAATATGTTTAATGATAATTATGAACTATTTCCCCTCTGTAAGATAGATAATACACAGATAACACAGTAAACAATATTGAATAAAACATATGATATCATATAATTATTTTTATACAGGATATATATGTTATCATATACCTACTGATATTTAAAAAAAAGAAGAAAATAGTTGTTTATTTTTTGGAGTAAATTAATAATCATGAACATACACTTTTTCAAAAATAATTTTGCTAAACACTTACCACTTCTTGAATAACCGAGCCAATACTCATATTACCATGATCCTTCCTACTTTCTTCCAACTGAAATTTCAAATTAGATATTTCTTCTAAATACTTGTTTCCAATTGCTTTAATCTCCAACTTTTCACCTATTCTCAATAATAAATTTAGTTCGTTTTTCACTTCCAGTTCGATTTTCGACACATCCTTATCACTCAATTCTTCCAATGAATGTTTCGACAACTTGTTTAAAAATCCTGTTAAGTTTTCTTTAAGTTTTTCAATGTCTTCTTTTGATTTTATAACTCTGCTGTGGTCGCCGCCTGGACCAGGCTGGTTCGATAACAGAAAATCATTGCTCAGTTCAACATCTGAACTGGAATCTGACATTTTACGACTCTGCTGGCTGAATATTTCTTCGGAGTAACTGAAAAATAAAACTAAGATAAAACACTTCTGGGAAAATTAAGCTGTAACCTTAGAGCAATGTATAAATAGATACACTCAAGGCCAGTAATTTATAGTACAAAAATTTTTACTTTTTTCATAATTTTTCACAAAAATACATACTTTTTCTCCAATTCAACACATTTCTTTTCAAAATATGTGCGTAATTCTTCAACTTCTTTAGTATGTTTATTTTCTAGCTCGACTTTTAGTTCCGTTAACTCAGTCGATCCACATTTAACATTTTCTAGCAATTCTCTTAATCTGCTGATTTCTTTTTCATAGTTATCTTTGTCAAGTTGTATTTTTTCCTAAAAATTAAATACATCTGTAAGTTCAAAAACAGCAGTTTTCTATAGAAATACTTACATTTAAATTTGATATTTCATTCTTTAATTTGATAATGATATCATCATCACAATTGCTTGAGCTATCCTAAAATATTTAGTTAGTGAGTTAAGTTTTTTCATAAAAAATAATCAAGTATATACTTCTAAATTAACAGGTGCTGTAACATTATCTGTCTTATCTATTTTATCACTTTGGGGTACAGCACATTGGTGTTCTTTAACCATTATTGCAGTTTCTTGAAGTTTTGTCTGTAATTGAGCAATTTCTTCTTTAAACAATTCTACTTGGTTGAGCAATTCTTTTCTTTCTGATACAGACTGATCTAAAGATTCGCTTAACTGCTGAATTAGATCATTTTTATAAATTATGGCACTATTATATTCCAGTAACTAAAAAAAGAAAATATGTAGTATTTTATTAGCACATATATTTCATTCTACCTTAGCTTGACATTCTTCTTGCAAATGCTTGTATTCTGTCGCTGATAGCATACTTAATGTGTAAGTAGGGTTGCTCATTTCTCTAAAAGAATCTAATTCCTGTGATATTGCATTAATCGTTGAGTCTTTCACAGCCACAATTTCTTCTAATTGTCTAACTCTTTTCTCAATGTCAACATTAACATCATTATCGGGTTTATTTTCTGTAAGTTCTATGTTTAATACTCTGTCATTTAAACTAGGGGAGTTTAATAAACTTTTATCACTAAAATCTACGTTTGCAAACATGTTAAAACTTTCTTCTTTGCTTTGTTCATTGTCTCTTTCTATTTGGGAATTCACTAAAAGTTCCTCTAAAATACTCTTGGAGTTTTTAGGCTCGTTAATTTTATTATCATTTGTTTGAGAAATTCCCAAATTTTCAAGGAACTCATTGCCATCGGCACTGAAACTATTTGAAAATAAATTACCATCAGAATCTGGCAATAACTCTGCCGACTCAACGTTTTCCAAGGCACTGTGGTTCTGTATTTCAATTTCTTGTAGAGATCGGTCATTTTCAACACTACCATTTGTGGATGTTATATGCTCACTAATTGAACTTTCGGACACATGTTCTTCATCAGCATCGTCCTTATTTGGCACAGATAAAGTTTTTTCTTCATTTTCCACTTCACTGTTACTTTTAATCACTTTATCCTAAAATATAAAAAAAATAAATAAAGAGTATAAAGGTAGACAGTTAGATGAACACACTGTTTTATTAGAGTCTTCCACGTTACTCTCCTCAGATTCATCCATTATTGAAGAAAATTATTGTTTTTAACACCAAAAATGATGTATTAAATGATAAAATAACTTTTTATTTCACTAAAAACAAACCGCTTGTCAATGTACACATTTGTAAATTTTGACACAAATGGAAACGAGAAACGACAGTTCTGTTTGAATATTTTATTTCTGTCTTTTTTATGTGTTAAAGAGAGCGAGAAAATTTTCTTTAAACTTTTTATCCGGATATTGTGGTAATGATAAGTATGTTGCATAGGTTTTCATCTCTGGTTTTCCTAATCAAAATATGGAATTAAAGATAAAGATAATAAATCATCAAAAAATTATAAAAATCCGAATAAAATTCCGAGCAGCGTCCTCTGCCGGAAATGCCAAGAAATATGTCAAAATTTCTGTATCCATATTTAACTTGGTTCAAGGTATGGAGTGTAGATACCTCTACACTGCATAGTTCAAGGCGCCAAAAGTGAATTTTGAATATTATTCCTTAACACATTGGAATACTTACTGGTATTACATTCTATAAACATTATTCTATAGTTAAGTATTAAAAATTTACCAAATACACGACTTCCAAAGCGACTTAAATAAATAGTACTAATGTTAATACAAATAAAAGGTATTTATCGAAGATTTCATTAAGATTGTTTATTTTTAAACAAACATCTTTTATCAGGCTAAAGGAATTATTATGAGTACTTACTGTATTCAGTTGTTCTCCTAAATAGCATCATCATTCTGAAGAAACACCATCTCAAAGCCATTTTTATAAATTAAGAATTTTTATACTGAATAACGCGTATATCTCAAATTAAAAAAAAATGTCCGTCTCATACGAAGTATCAATTAATGCCGATAAAAAAGATTTTACAAATAATAGCGAAGTGGTTTATAAACCAACCACAGAAGAGAATAATAAATTTGATAAAAGTTTTCACAGTTTGAAACCCGAAAATGAAATTGTTCCTAAAGATTCGGGGTATTTATATATTACAGCATTCATTGGTAAGTTTTATTCTAATTAACATATCTATTATATTTTAATTTTTTGGTCTTGCTTGTTAATTATTTGTATACAGGGTGCTACAAATTCGAGGTACGAGCATTGGTATCTCGGTAACCGTAATAGATACGAACATGGTTAAATTGGGGCAAAGTTGCGCTTTGGGATGTTCACCAAGATGCCATTAAAAAAGTTTTAAAAATTTCAAGGATTGCTGATTTTTTTGGAAAAAAACGATTTTTTTAAAAATGAATTTTATTTTTCCTGTCCTTACTTTTGGGAAAATCAAAAAACTAATTGCACATTCTCATAGCCACTGTATTAGGGTTATTTGATATTGTTTTTAGATTTTCAAATTAGCTGATAATTTATGAGATACAAAGGCCAACTTAATTTTTTTAAATACGGACCTGCATTTTTTATTACCGGTTTTGAAAGAACTCGGCCTCCTGAGTACAACGATATGCCACACTTTATACTTTTTTTGTTGTTTTGGGTACCTTAACAACAATAAAACTCTTTAATTATTATTTAAAATAATTTCAAGTCCGACTCTGTTTTAAATTATTTGATCTGATTATATTCATCGCAACAATATTGATCAGCGCTAATTAACATTGAATTTAGCCCACGTCATGTTTAAGTTTGAAGGCTTATCAATGTTGTAACGATAAATAGATTAAATATTAAAAAAAAACAGAGCCGTACTTGAAATTAGTTTAAATAAATTGTGTGTTCAAATGTCCGAAACAAAAAAAAATATTAAGTGTAGCATCACATTATACGCAGGAGATCGAGTTCTTTCAAAATCTGAAATAAAAAATGCAGGTCCGTACTTAAAAAAATTAAGTTGGCCTCTGTATCTCACAAATTATCAGCTAATTTGAAAATCTAAAAATACTATCAGATAGCCCTTATAAAGTGGCTATGAGAATGTGCAATTAGTTCTTTGATTTCCTTAAAAGTAACGACAGGAAAAAATAAAATTAATTTTCAAAAAAATCGTTTTTTTCCAAAAAACTCAGCAATCCTTGAAATTTTTAAAAAATGTTTGATGGCATCTTGGTGAAGATCCCAAAGCGCAACTTTGCCCCAATTAAACCATGTTCGTATCTATTACGGTTACTGAGATACCAATGCTCGTACCTCGAATTTGTAGCACCCTGTATAGACCACTTTTATATAATATAACCATCAGACATACACTTCAGGTGAAAATATTAATTAATAAAAAATTAATTCAGAAATGAATGCATGATAAGTTTTTTGCTTCTCATTCGAGTAGTGTTGTAGTTATACATATATACGTTGTATACAAATATTTCAGAGCAATCTTCAATTCAAAACGAATTCAATAGACGCTGTTTTTTTAATGTATAATTAAATGTTGTAAGCCCACGGCTAAACAGAAAGCGAGTTAAACGATTTTGCGGGTGAAGTGTTTTTTCGTCTTTTTTATATATTAAGAAGCCCTAAACTCTACATACATTTTGGTTGGGCTACAATGTGCTATGAGAACATGCCCAACAGTAGCAATGGGGGTCATCCTAGACCTAACACAATTGTAGTGACAGCACATTGTCGTCGGTAGTTATGACAATGATCAGAACACTCAGAAACAACGGCGAATGCAGATTCTGTGGCTAAAATGGGGAAACATCAGAACACCTTATCACTGAGTGCGCCGAGACTACAAACGTTCGTGCAATAAACTTTGGTATGGCTGATGTCGAAAATGGAGAGCTAGCCTCTATGAAGCCGTCTCAGATACTGACTTTTGTCAACGCTCTGAGACTGTATGATTAGTTATAACTCGTTATAACTCAAGAAAGGGAAACACAAAATAGATCTGTAAGGTCGCGGTGATTAACACCCCTTCTAAACCTTCTACATTCTTTTATATAAAGCATTTTTGTTATATTTTAAAACTAAAATATAAAATGCCAAAAAATATGTCGAAAACATGTATTTTGTTTTTTTGCTTGAAAACAAATTGGTGTTTAATAGTTTTTAGATTGTTTATTTTATTTTGCAGTTTTCACATTTAATAAATAAATAAAAATAGAAAATAAAAAATGTACGAAAAGTTGTAATTGTTGCTGTCAAGTAAAGTAAAACTCGAACTAAAATCGTTGCTAAAATCACAGCTAAAATGTTACCAAATAAAATCAAACTAAATCAAATACGTGTAAAAAATACTTACGTAAACTAAAAATAAAGAAAGTTATTTTCATCATGTCATAGTTGTGAGGATAAATAATAGATAATTTAAAAGAATACAATGCAAATATACCTATTATTATCTTTTATTGACAAAGACAGATATCTTCTTAGATATAAGAAGATTTTAAAAACAATAGTTTTTAACAAATTTACCTTTAAAAAAAGTGTATACTAATTAAATATACACCATTAGTTCCGTCCAAATATTAATCAGATACATACTTAATTAAAAACAAAATTTATTTTTTTAGTGGATTCGAGCAATTATTAATCAACGCAAACAGTCAATTAATGTAGTTCGATCATATTAATTGGTCCTCTTTTTTACAGATACATATTTAAAGAATTTTTTTTATTTTATGAAATAAGCGAACTATTATCGACAATACAGGGTGTCCCAGAAATAAGTGCAAGTATTTTAAGGGTGGTAGATCTCGATAAAAGAAACATATTTTCTCTTTATCGTTTTTCAAAGAAGTCCAAAATAACGGAGTTATTTTACTTTGAAAATTTCCAAAAAAAAAGATTTTTTGCTAAAATTTTGAGAACCACTGGATTTTTTCTGGATTATATTTTTTGTAAATTTTATCTAATACATATGTTGCCATATTATTGAGAAATTATGTTTTTTAGCTAAAAACAAAAAAAAAAATTTAAAAAAATTTAGAATTTTTAAATTTTTTTTTCGCGAAAAAAACGTCATAGGCGTGTTTCTGGAGTTGAACTATACCACCAGTTAAAATACTTGCACTTATTTCTGGGACACCCTGTATAGTAGAAATTTTGAAAATTTGTTACATTTCTAAAAATAATTTAAAATATCAAGATTCTATACAAGGTGTCCCAGAAATAAGTGCAAGTGTTTTAACTGGTAGTATAGTTCAACACCAGAAACACGGAAATGTTTTTAGTTTTTAGTTAAAAATATAATTTCTTGAGAATATGGCAACATAGGTATTAGCATTGTATTAGGTTAAATTTACAAGAAAGAAAATCCAGAAAAGATCCAGTGGTTCTCAAAATTTTAGCAAAAGATCATTTTTTTGGAATTTTCAAAGTAAAATAACTCCGTTTTTTTCTTACTACTTATTTGAAAGTTCGACTTATTTGAAAAACGATAAAGAGAAAATATGTTTCTTTTATCGAGATCTACCACCCTTAAAATACTTGCACTTATTTCTGGGACACCCTGTATATGGGTATATTGATAATAAATGAGGTCTAAATTATAACAAAATGCATTTTCTACGAAAATTTGAAGAGATAGAGGTAAAAATGGTATAATACAATTTGAAAAGAAATTGTGCATCTGATTCTAGTAAAATATACAGGGTTTTAAAGGGGGGGTCCAATTAAATTAAACAAATTATTCCCGTTTAAAGCTAGGAATTATTTAAAATAAATTTTTAGACACTCTGTATAAGGTAGTATTATTTTTATTATTGCAACACAATACCTGACCAATAAATAAACTTCAGTAAATATTAAGTATTAAAAACTGATACCCTTGGAGAAATTAAAGCCTTCAAATTTTTACTGCAATTTCACAAAATTGGAAATATTTCAAAAACGGTAAGGTTTAAGTGTGATAAACCTTAATCAAATTTTTACTTTAATTTTCATCCTAGAATCTAAAAATAGACTAATATACAGGGTGTTCCATTTCAAAAAATACAATTTTGATATTTTTTCTAGTTTTCTAGTCTTCTAATAATTCTATCATTCACAATTTCTCAACGACTTCGTGTCGTATGAGGTAACTGACCCTGTATAAAGAGATATATTTTTCTTTAATTATTTTAAACAATTTGTATCAATTTTAGCTGATCTTCTTGGTTTCGTGGCGGGAATCGGTTTCGCATGGACATCTCCGGTACTTCCCAAGCTTCAAGGACCGGATAATCCCCTTTCAGAGCCTATAGATGCCTCACAAGCCAGTATTATCGCCTCTATTTTATGTGTCGGAGCGGCATTTGGCCCTTTTATATTCGGATATGCTGCAGATAAAATAGGAAGAAAAAAGACCTTGATTCTGACAGCATTGCCTATGATGGTCAGTCTGGGAATATTGGCCTATACCGACCAAGTCAAGCTGTACTATTTGGCCAGGTAAGTTTTATATTATTTTAGTTATTTAATATAACAGTGGCGGCTCGTGGGTATAAAATTAGGGGAAGAGTTAATTTTTGTCAACATTTTTTAAAATATTATTTGAAAAATTTTTGCTGCATTCACCATTTTGTCAACATTTTTTTTTGTTATTATTTATACACTAATTCCTATAATATTTTCGTTTTAGTTTGGACTAAAACACATTAAGTAAAAAGAGATACAAGATACAACCGGTTTTCGATAAACACATTATTTTGCATTCCAATGAAAATAAAATTAAATTTCAATTAAATATAATAAACATTATATACAGTGTCCCTCATAAAGTTGGATCAATATGGATGTTTTTTTTATATTAGAGTATTAGAGTTTTAAGAAATCTTTTTGTGGCAATCACTTCTGCTTTGAAAACAACTTAAAATGCACCAAGTCAAAGTTGACAGGTAACATCTGGGAGCTGTCAAATACAAAATATTTAAAAGAAATTTTTAAAAATTGGTTAAATTATTATTATTATAAAAAAGGTGACTAACAAAATTATGTTTCACCTTTGACTTGGTGCATTTTAAGTTGTTTTTAAAGCAGAATTGATTGCCACAAAAAGTTTTTTTTAAACTCTAATACCAAAAAAAACCGTCCATATGGATCCAACTTTATGGCGAACACTGTAATTATTGAAGGGCTTCCCCGAAAAACGTGGTAACCGACATTTTCTTCAAAATAGAGAATTCAGTGAAATAAGGTTGTAATTTTCATTATAACGTTTTGTCCTCGGTATTTTCACTGAAATTTCGATATTGAAAAAATTGTTGGTTACAATCGAGAAGCCATTCAATTATTATTCAATTATTACATTAATCATTATTACATTAATGTTTACTAAGCAATATTAGCTACATAGCCAATTAAAATCAGAAAAATAGGAAGACTTAAATTTAATATTATAAGATTTACCACCTTTTCTTATTTCTCTTTTGCAATTTATGGTTAAAGATTCAGTTGGTCATTCTTGAGATAAAACATCCCTCTTATCTTCATCTGTCCACCGTCTGAAGGGAGTTTCCAATAAATTACAGACCAAGTCATTGATTGGGTTAATTTTTTAACACATACACACACACAAAACAGTTTTAAAACACAACAACAAAACAAACAGCAAAAATTAACAAGTTAAATCAACAAAAATCATTAACAAACAACAATAAATAATCAACAACAACTTTACAGTCTTTACACGGTTAATTACTCACCGAAGTAGCCGAATATTAGCATAAAGGAAGACGAAGCGAATTGCCCTAAAACTCATTCACATCGGTCGCCGATAAAAAATTTCGGAGCGGGGAATTTACATGCTGCCGTCAAACTGCCGGTAAGCTGACTTCACGTTACCATGGAAACAGTTCAGCCGCTCGGCTCAGAAATATTTTCACTTCACTCAGCTTCATTTGTGGCTTCGTGGAAACGTAGGCGCGTGCGGGCCAATAATGCTACTTTTTCGGCCGGAATTAACTATGCGGTGGACCTATTATGCAGAGGTCCGCCCGGAAAAAAAAATAATTTATAAAAAATTACCATTTTATTATTTAGATGCATTAAACTAAATTAATATTTTAAGCAGTAAAGTTTTTTCTTTAATTTGAGTATTTTTCTCGGTGAAGTTCCCCTTCACCTACTGCACCTGACGAGCCGCCAGTGTAATATACAGGGTGTAAATCCTAATATTCCTAGGATAGAGAATCAAATTATGTTGACTGGACACAATTTATTTCTATTCCAAAGTGCTTTGTCCTTTAGAGAGCATAAATAAAAACATAAATCCAAACGATATAGATAATTTAGATTATACAGAGATTAATTCTTCATCTGCGATATCAGCCGTACCGTCGCACCAAAAGTACCGGTTTAGGGCACGAATGGTTGTCGTTTCGGCACACTCAGTGATGAGATGTTCTGATATTCCCCATTTTTCCTCCGCAGGAACTGCATTCAGTTGTTTCTTAGCTTCAATCTATTGGGGTGTTCATTTCTTCTTCTTCTTCTTCTTCTTCTTTCTCAGCTTGGTTCCATCCAGTTTTGGATATAGGCCTCTTCTAGGTTTTTCCATGCTTCGCGATCTCTAGCCAATCTTATCCATTGTCTTCCTGCCACCGTTCTAACGTCATCGACCCATCTCTTTTTTGGTCGGCCCATACTTCTTGTTCTTCCCCTAGGTCTCCATAGAATGACTTTTGGGGGCCATCAGTCTGGATCCTGTCTTGCCACATATCCTATCCATTGCCACTTCAGACTTGCCACTCTTTTAACAACATCTATTAGTTTTGTTTTTTGACGTATGTGGGTGTTCCGTATTTTTTCCCTAATGGTGACTCCCAACATGATTCTTTCCATGGCTGTTTGTCTGTCTGTTTTTCGGGTAATTGCCATAGTCTCTAAGCCATAATATGTAAGCACAGGTAGAATGCAACTGTCGTAAGCCTTTTTCTTTAGGTTGATGGGCACCTTTTTATCCTTGAAAATATCGCTCATATTTCCAAGTGCTACCCATGCCAAATGGATCCTGCGTTTGATCTCCGTATTTTGGTTCTCTTTACCCAGGTTGATTTTACGACCTATATATAATGGTCTACGTTTTCAATAACAACGTAGTCTACGGTAATGTTATGGATATTGTTGCTCATTATCTTGGTCTTCTTCAAGTTCATTTTAAGGCCAATTTTCTGGGATTGGTCATTTAGCTCTTTTAGCATGGTGTCAGTTCTTGAATGTCGGTGGTCAGCAAGACAATATCGTCCACGAACCTAAGATGGCTAAGGTGTACCACATCGATGTTTAGGCCTCTATTTTCCCATTCTAATTTCTTGAAGACATTTTCCAGTGCCAGTGTAAATAATTTGGGAGAGATGGTATCTCTTTGTCTCACGCCTTTGCCTTTCTGAGGACTTTCTGTTCATTAAGGACTGTTAAAAACCCCGTGACAATCCCAAGATTGTTCTTACTTAAATCAAAGAAAGTCTTTGATTTTTGTCGGTCGTAAATCTTCAGAAATTTCTTCGAGATTCTTAGACATTTGGAGGATTCCCATTCCAGGATAAGAATGGAGTCTTCCAGGTTCTTGGCCACGATTCACTTGAACGAACCGTATTGTAAACAATGAATCAATTCTTACGACTCTTTGAACGCACGATCGCATTGCGATCCGATTCAATTCTCACGATTCTTTTTTACGGCTCAGCGTTCAAATGTTATGGATCCGTGCTGGCCACAATTCAATTGAACGGACCGGATTGCAAGCAATGAATTCTCACGATTCATTTTTAATACTCGTCCAAATGAACGATTCTTTCAATCTTTGCCCATCTCTAGTACAAAGTACCTATACAGGGTGTCCCAGAAATAAGTGCAAATATTTTAAGGGGTGGTAGATCTCGATAAAAGAAACATATTTTCTGTTTATTGTTTTTCAAATAAGTCCATAATAACGGAGTTATTTTACTTTGAAAATTTCCAAAAAAAATGATTTTTTGCTAAAATTTTGAGAACCACTTGATCTTTTCTGGATTTTCTTTCTTGTAAATTTAATCTAATACCTATTTTGCCATATTATCAAAAAATTATGTTTTTTAACTAAAAACTAAAAAAATTTTCCAAAAATTTTTTCAAAAAATTTCGAATTTTCAATTTTTTTTTCGCGAAAAATACCTCATAGGCGTGTTTCTGGGGTTGAATTATACTACCAGTTCAAATATTTGCACTTATTTCTGGGACACCCTGTATATTCAATATCTTCAGAAGTTCGATTTTTTTAATCTGCAAAACGGCATTTTATTGGTCATAAATTTGCATAACTTTGCTATGATTTTACCTTCTTCCTATCTCTTTCATACCTCTCTATGGTTTTAGAGACCCCAATATTTGGCACCCTGCGCTATCGATATTTTATAAAATGACCAAAAAGGCAATAAAATATGCAGGAAAAATAGCAGGCAGTGCGTAGAACGATACAAGATCCGATTTTATTATCTTTTGTTGCACGTCATTATTGTTCTTTTACCATTTTAATATCTACTGTACATTGTCCCTATTGTGTACAAAATATATATTTATGTCAGTTTTAAGGCTTATATTAAAATATTTTATGTTAGTATTAACTAAATTTACATCTTTTATTTACTTTGTTATTACATTTCTAAACCAACAATTGTTTTCAGTGGCTTAATCAAATAAATACTAACTTAGACACGCTTAAATTATTTTAATTATATCAACCACTCTTTAGAAATATCTTGTTCTAAATTATTATTTTTATGACTGCAGATTAATTAGGATTATATATTATGTGTAACACGACTAACAGAAACGTGATTGAATGAAAAATGAGGTCGCAACACTTGTAGAAAAAACGTCATTTTTAAATTACATACATGGTGTCTCAATCTTCCGTCGATATAGAACTAGTATGTATATTTGGAATCTCAATAAGTTCATTGAAGACAATTTACCTTTATACAAAAGTTCTTCGTTTGTCCGCTAGAGGGCATCAAACTTTAAAAAAAATAAACACATTTTTTCAGGTATTTTAAAAACCGTTATTCCGATATGTATGAGATTTTGGGTGTCTATGTTTTGCCAAGTGCTCTAACATTTGGTTTTCATAAATATCAAGAAAAAGTACGAGAAGGGTGAAAACTACCCACAGTCGGAAACTCTACGCACTGTGTTATGGAGACATGTTCCATTTATATTCAATACCAGAATTTACCCATACAGCACATCAAATCACATTTACGATGGGTTTACATTATTAGATGTAGACACAGGGTGACACAATTCCCCCGATGTAAATATGCTACGTTTACACATTGTAGTTCAACACGTATGCACAAAGGTTAAACGTCCGCCTCACAATGTAGCCACAGTATAGCATTTACGTATACACAAAGTAAGGGATACACAGTGTGCCGTAGGATACACAGTGCTTGTGTATTACGTTTAAACTC